TAATCTTTATCTACACTAATATTATAAAGAGGAAAGATTTGTATTTTTGTGTGTATGTATGTTTGTAATGAATAAACGCAAAAACTACTTTGCCGATTTCAAAAATTCTTTCACCATTAGAAAGCTACATTCACCCCGAGTGACATAGGCTATATTTATTGCTAGAAAAGATTAGGGATGTTTACTAAAACTTTAGTAACTTAACTCAAGGTGTAAAAAAATGCTATAAAATATCTTCGGTCGCGTGCGCTGCGGAAACTATTGGTGATAGAACAAAAGTATGTTCTGCAATATTGAAGAAAATATCAATAACTACAAAAAACTTCGCGTCACTATATGTCCAACTATTGTCGTTATGTCACAATGATCACTTTTTAAAATGTTGTAAAAATGTCCACCCGTGCGAAGCCGGGACGGGCCGCTAGTAGTAATATAAAATATAACATAGGTTTTGGTGAAAAACAGCGCTGTAGCGCCTCAAACATGCAGCGATTGCTTAACACAGGGGAGAAAGGGATTGTTAGTAATGGAGACTGAGAATCCCATTGCTAGCAATATACCCAACCAGGTCGACCTCCTCGCGGTTCCCCCTGGAAACTATCATGGTTAATTCCTGATGAATTCATCACGATGGACTAACTGGCCTGTTTTCATTCTCATCTATCACCCTTCACTGGTGCTCCGCCAGCGTATACCGTTAGCGCAGGCGGGGCTACCATACCAGTTTCACCCATCAAACAAAAAAAAAATTGCTGAAAATCTATTTCAGAGAACTTTGCGACACACACGCGGACACGAGTACACATTTTGTTTATTTTTGTTTTTGTTTATAATTATTTTGTTATAGTATAGTATATTATTAATATAATTGTTTCTTTCTTTCTTTTTTTCTATACCACGTCAACAGACAGTGTTTTCATTTAAAATTAATATAACTATTTTTTTTTTATTTGACAAAAAACAAATGTTACAAACGCAAGATACAATGGGCCCTACACTAGGCGAGCCTGCATCGCGGGCACCCGACAAAGATTGACAATTCACAATCTGTTATAATAAAAAGTATATAGTATTACAATATTTAAGCAGAGATAGATCTTTTACAATGTTTTTATTTACAATAATAAAAAAAAACTTTTTTTTTTCGATGAATAAAAATTGTATAAAAACTAATGCTCTAATGTCTTGGAAGCGAGGTAGTTTTTTTTTTATTATGCAATTCTACTAAAGGAATTTGAATAAAAACAGATATAAGTCTAAGGCTTGCCATAAATCGAACCGCGCCCTTGATAATATAAAGCAACGATCCGTAGCTACGAACGCCTACAGCTCGCGTTCAACGGGCCTAGGCGCGCAGTCAGATTCGCGTTTACGTCACAGCCGCTCATGATTAAGGATCACGAATTGATCCTGAAACTAGTCGAGTTCTCTCGATCCAATCACATAGGCAGTTATTACATTAAAATATAAAGCGACGTGTTCGTTTGGACACTTTTAATTAAATGCTGAATTATTTACATTGGTATTTACTTGGTATATAAGTCATACAGTTTTAAAATCACAAACTACTTGATGCATTTATTATTTTTATCTAAACGTCAAATAGGTTACTTAATTACAAAGTTATTTTAGTCTTGTTTATCGTTACGTTATGCCATGTGTTTTTTCTTTTAAAGAAAAAAAAATAAAACAATAAAACCTTCTGTACACTTAATTCTTTAACCTTATATTCCTGCCTTCATTGGAATACTTATTCTATTCAATATTTATACAGCTATTTACTGTTTAGAAATATCCAAAAGTGGATAAGAAATATTGAAATTTCTCCACGCCCATTTTGTTTATCTCCAAAATTTACCAAATACAAAAATTTCTATTCAAAATTGCAAAAAAAAAAAATAATTACGACAATTACTAACTTTACGACAATACCAAATAGTGATTACCATTGTAAAAAAAAATATAATAAGTTTTTGGCGCCAAATAAAAAAGAAAAAACAATATTGTACCCGTCACGGCGGGAAAATAACAGTGACTTGCATTACGTAGCTACAGAACTGAGCTCTCACATCCGTAAAGACGAGAAGCGTTATTAATCACAGCTAACGTTGAAAGTCGATTGTAAAATTCAATTAGCGTAATTAATGACTTTAGAGAAGGGCACACCGCATTGTGTTAAGGTTGGCAGCACTGGCAACAATGTAATTAGTCTATGGTTTAAAAAGCAAGCTTTTGCATTATGGTGACTAGTGTTCTGTAGGCCGAGTATCTATTTGTATTCTAAGATCCCGCCGCTGATTTCTGATTAAGTAATAAATTTCTTTATCTATGTATATATATCAAAATTAATGCCACTTTTCGTTGTAATTTTATAACTCAAGAACGTGCTCACCTATCCAAACCAAATGTTTACGCTTTGTTCGGACTATTTAGTAGATGGTTTATGTGAAGTTTGCACAAAATCGCTCGAGCGGTTCTACATTTATCACATTTTTTGTAACAAATGAATTCAATAAATGGCGGATCATTTTGTTAATGGGTATTTTTGTTTCAAATTCAAACTTTTTTAAGATGGGGATTGTGCTGTCAAATGAAACTTTTTTCAGTGTTGACAGTATTGTTCAAATGTATAAAATATAATTTATTTTTTATTATTTCATACTACGCTACGCTTTATACGTAGCGAAACACGTACCGGGCCGCTAGTTATATATATATAAAAAATAAGTAAATTTTATTCCACTAGAAAAAAAACACTGACTTCAATTATGGTATTACCTACCAGTAACTTTGATTTAAAAACCGAACTATTTAACCGAATTGGTAAAATTTCTGTGTGACAAATCTGAAAGTATGTATAACCTTTGAAATGATAAAAGTATATTTCAAATCTATTTTAAATGACGGAGTTATGAGGTAACAAACATAAAAAAACACAACCAAATAAAACCAAGTAAAATGTTCTTCCTTTTACTTTTTTTGAAGTCGGCTAAAACATGGAGGAACTGCAATACTACAGAAGTTACAACATGCGTACATCACAACACAACCGGAGGACGGCGTGTGCGCGCGTTTATCTCACTTCCGGGGAGGGCGCCACCTCCGCCGGAAATCAGTTGGGTTGGTAGCGATACGTATCACAGTAACATGATACCATTACGCTATCTTTCGACTGAGGGGTTGCAGATATGTTCGGACGGTTATCATAGAAAAGAGATTATTGTCCCAGCTCTGTTTCAAATATAGACTAAAACGAGTACATACTATTGGGGAAACAAAATAAAGGAGAACATAACTATCGGTAGTATCTGATCCTCAATATGATATTTTACTTATGTGTGTATGTATATGTGTATGTATGTGTGTGTGTGTGTGTGTATGTATGTATGTATATGTATGTGTGTGTGTATGTATGTGTGTGTGTATGTATGTGTGTGTATATATATATTAGTATTTTTTTTAACTAGTATCAAGAAATAATTAATTGTAAGTTTACTGGCAATAAATGTTTCTATTCTATTCTATTAAATTGTGACTGTGGATTAAATATAGCGATCCGGCTTCGCACGTTAGATAAATAGAAAAATGTATATTTTAAATTAATATCGTAATAATTGGAATGTTATAAACATTTAAAGCATTTATTTATGCGTGAAAATGCGGGAAGATACACTAGCGGGGTACCAGTGAGCGGTGATAGGTGAGGATGAAACGGCAGGTCAATTAGCCCATCGTGACGAATTCAATGATAAATTGGTCACGATAGTTTCCAGGGGGAACCGTGTGGAGGTCGACCTGATAGGGTATATTGATAGCAATGGGGACTAAACTCCCCATTACTAACAATCCCTTCCCCCAACATTTAGAACATTATTAAATACCGACTTTTAATGGGAAATTTTGGAGATCTTGATATTTGATAGATTATTGTAAATTTCTCCGTCTGGTCCCACAATAGAATAGGCCACCCCTTCCTTTCCCGTGGGTGTCGTAAGAGGCGACTAACGGAACATAATGATCGACGGATAGGCACCAGCGTCCCTTTTTAAAAATTTGGTGATGTTAAATTTTTGGTAATTTGGCAATGTTTGGCTAACTGCGGTTGCCAACCCGCCAGCCAAACGTGGCATCTACTGGCAAGACCCCCATCCTTTTATGGGAGAGTCCTATTTTTTTTAAACAGAGGGCAAACGAGCATGTGTCTCACCTGATGGTAAGTGACTACCGCCGCCCGTGATCACCCACAACACCTACGGCATTGCAGGTGCGCTGCCGGCCTTTTAAGAAGGAATATGCTCTCTTCTTGAAGGTTACGTTGTCGTATCGGTTCGGAAATACTGCTGCTGGAAGTTGATTCCAAAGAGTGGTTGTGCGTGGAAGAAAGTGTCTTGAAAAACGCACGGTGGAGGACCGCCACTCGTCCAGGTGGTTCGGATGGAACTTTAGTTTGTGGCGGGTTGTAAATGCTTATGTTCAACAGTGGTCAATAAACGGATGATATTTTTTTTTATACCACTGAGGTGGCAAACAAGCATACGGCCCACCTGATGGTAAGCGGTTACTGTAGCCTATGAACGCTTGCAACACCAGAGGTATTACGCACGCGTTGCCGACCCTAAAGAAACCTTTTTACCCCCTTTTGAAGAACCCCATGCTGTAGTCTCTTGGGACAACCTCGGCAGTGAGCTCATTCCATAACCTGAGTATTTTTTTTTATTGAATGAAAATGGTATGGTAACCCGGCCTGAGCTAACGAGATACGCTGGCGGAGCACCAGTGAAGGGTGATAGATGAGAATGAAAACAGGCCAGTTAGCCCATCATGATGAATTCATCAGGAATTAACCATGATAGTTTCCAGGGGGAACCGTGAGGAGGTCGACCTGGTTGGGTATATTGTTAGCAATGGGATTTTCAGTCTCCATCACTAACAATCCCTTTCCCCCCTAACCTGAGTGTCGATAATATGGTGATGATATGATGTCCGATGATAAAACTTACAATCGTAGTACAAGTTGCCAACAGCTGAAGTCAGTTTGGGTGTGCCCTGTCCTGATAGAGAAGCCATCCTCTCGCCCTGCAAACAAACGTTACATCTATCTATACCATATTTATACTTATAATAAATCTGTAGAGAGGTCAATTCTGTACATGAAATATATTTCCAAAATAACTATCAGGAGGTGATTAGTGATCGATACTGATGACAAAAATGCAATCAGTAAAATTTTTGTCTGCCTGTCTGTATGTTCGTTATAGAAAGAAAAACTACTCGACGGATTTTAACGAAACTTGGTACAATTATTCTTCATACTCCTGGGTAGGTTATAGTATACTTTTCATCACGCTACGATCAATAGGAGCAGAGCAGTGAAGGGAAATATTGGAAAAACGGGAGAAGTTACTCCATTTTTAAGCTTCCGTCGTGTAAAAGTGCAGCCTTAATGGCCACTTTTTAAAATGTAAAAATGTCCACCCGCGCGACGCCGGTACGGGCCGCTAGTTAGTTAATAATTCCATTAATGTCAACTTAAGTTTTAGACCTAACTAAATGTTTTGGACCTAACGCCATGTCAGGTCATTTTTCTTCTGTACCTACCTACCTACGTACGTAGTAGATTAAAAAAAAACTATTTAAAAGTGCTTGTAAACAAGTCTATCTGAATACGAGTAGAGATGATTTGAATTTAAATTTATAAACATAAAAATATCATGTCCCTCAAAAGGGAGCATTGAAAAAATATTTTTTTCAATTTTTTTTTATTAAAATTGGTTTGGCGCTCTCGGAGTTCATGGTGTTATGGGACTTTTATATATCAATATATGGCAAATAAGCGTAAACCGTGGAGTGATTTGTCATACGATCGACATTAAAATACATTAGACGTTTTATTTTTAAGGTATTTGACAAAAGAAAAAAGCTGACAAGCCACCTGATGAAAAGTGGTTACTGACAATTAAAAAATGTATTGTCTATGGAAAAATTGAAAATGTGCAGCACCTTTATGGAACATGGCAGAAACCAAAATGAATGGAAATCATTTTTAAAAATATAATAAATTTAAATCCTACTGCCAAAGTTTTCCTCTGTTTAAGTAAATTAATAAGTATAATTGTTTAGTTTTAATTAAAAAAGTAAATAACCTATTTCGTATGGGATTGACATATTAAAAAAATAAAAATCCCAAATTAAAAGTAGATATAAAAAAGGCTTGTGGTTCTGGCATACAATAGGCCACTCCTTCCTGTCTGGGTGTCGTAAGAGGTGACAAAGGAAAGACTAGAGATGGGCAGCAGTGTCCCTCCTAAAATATCTCCAAAGCCTAACTGCGGTTACCAATCCGCCTGCCAAGCGTGGCAACTATTAGCAAAACACCCCTTATGAGGAAGGCTTATCTTCAGCAGTGGACAGCTAACGGCTGATATAATAATGATAATGATAAAAAAGGACTATAAACACGGACAATCACTCTGGATATCACTGAGTCGATACATTATGATGCTTATGTGTTGCCATTTCTGAGAAATAAAATATTACATCTCTGTTCCTTGTAATTTCACTGCCACTACCCACCCTTCAAACCGAAACACAACAATGCGAGCATAGCTGCTTTATATCCAATATACAAATGTATGAAAAGGTGAATGGATGGATGAGTTATTCGATATGATTACAATGTAATTCTATTTTTTTTTTATTATTATTATTTTAAGGGCTTTTACCTTCTTCAGGTATATCAGTCCTATCGCACCCTGAACTGATTTCTCAAACAAAACTTAACTACTTTCCCTAGACGCGGAAAGAGAAGAATTAATGGGCATCAATAATTTACAGAGATGTTCAAAAATTTCTGGTTTGAGTTCAGCTAACATAGATTGAATAAGGCCTACATTAAATTTATTTAAGTTAAAGTGGCGCATGAATTCTTCTCTTTCCTTCTTGTTAATACGACACTCTAATAGAATATGATGCACATCATCGATGGTATTACAAGTTTGACAATGGGCTAACAAGGACATAAATTGCATCAGTCACCCCACAGCTTCAGAACTTCACTAAATATACTCTATAATTTATGGTACCCTTCACTGCCACTCCTGAGGATTATGTTATTTTTTTATATACAACTTAGAATGGCAAACAAGCTGACGGTCCACCTGATGGAAAGTGGTAACCGTCGCCTATAGACATGAGCAGTACCATGGACATAACAGAGTATACTGTTTTGCCCATGATACCCCCATGCGTTGCCATTCCTGAGGACTCTGATGTTATTCCTCTGTACCCAGTAAATTTACGCCATATCCCACTCTTTAAACCGAAACACAGCCGTGCGAACGCAACTGCTTCACGGTTGAAACACGAATGGGACAGAGGTAGCCAAGCAATCGACTTTTGTACAAAGTCTCCCTCTGGTTATGTCTCTCATATCAAGTCTTGCAGTAAAATCTTTACCAGAAAGATTGTACTGCTGTTTCACGACAGATATAGAGACAAGAAAATGGTAATGCCCACACAGAGAATGAAGAGACACACATAACCTTGCTAATAGTAGTATGTAGTGATCAAATATTAGTTCTTGCAGTTCATTATTATTTTAAAAAAATAAGTCAAGTCGGAGAGGCAAAGAGCATGATGTATACTGCCTAGTCGTAAGTTTATTCTTTCTTCAATATGAACTATGTACATTAAGGTATGCACACACACGTGCATTCATGTGCATTATACATTAACAATAGTATAATATTTATTTTAAAATTTATGTTGGTCACAAACTACACATAGAAGCCATGATTGTAGATTTTTATATAACAAAATCTTAAATCACTTTATTATTGAATCCAATATTTGTATTTAAATATGTAAAATGCGCACGTACCTATTATTACAAAATGACAAAGAACAAGCATACAGACTTGGCAATATAATAATTTATACAATATAATAGTTATACTAATTAAATTTACAATAGACTTACAAATTAACTAACAATTAAAACATGCAATAATTAATTTTATCATTTTGCATGCAATTGAAACTAAAAAATTAAATCATATGCCAGTTAGCGAACAAAGGTGATGTAACTCAAAATGGCGGCAAAGCGTTAAATCAAAATGGCGTCACAATATAGCGATTAAAATGTTCAGAATGTGAACGAACCAACTGGATATGTTCAGCAATTTGCTTGCAGTACGAAAAAAAGCCGTCCAGTGTCAGCTTTGACATTATTCTCTAACTTCTAGTCTAGTCTGGAAACAGAAAAAAAAAATGTTAATTTGTATCATACAACTTTTATTTTAGTTTTTGTTTTCAGAACGGCTGTTGCTTTTTTTTTTCTTTAGTCAATAATGAAATATACTTTATATCATGGAATACCGCGCAAGTCTATTGCACATGCGCGGAATAATCCATACTGGAAGGTCAAAGGAAACAATCAAATGTCATGATAGTAATTTGGAGGTCATGATGATGACGGAAAACAAAAAAAATAAAAACTACGCTACGTTCTAAAAACAAAAAAGGAACGTTAAGGACATAAAGTATACGAACCTTAATCGATGCGGCTTACTTAATTTAATTTGAAATGTTAATAATTATTTAATTAATCTACAATATTGATTAATCACTACTTGTACGATATATTTTTTGTGGAGAAACAAATTAATATGTGCCGGATTGGGTCGTAAATGAAATTATATATGAATAAGCAATGTTCGCGTAATTTCGAATGTTTATATATGTTTTTCATATATAATGTAGATGGAATTAAAGGTTTCCTATACGATCTCTCAGCTCTTTCAAGCTGGGTTCGTCCTCCAACTGCGTTGGAGCTAGACTGAGAATTTCAGGGAGGTTTCCTGGGGTCGTACAATCGGCGCCTGCGCGGTGCAAAGGTCGGAGGTAAAATGGGGGTGGAATTTAGGCCGTGGGGGGTGCTCAATAAATGGAAACGGGTCGACCCCACTTGGCGGGGATCCGTTGAGTTGTTTCATGTGCGGTTTTGATTTAACTGCTTTTGTCATGATGTTTTCTCATGATTTTATCATGATGACAGTTGATGGTGTCTGAAAAGTTCTTGGGGTGTTATCCGACTAACGAAAAGAGGGTTATGTTTTACGGACGTGCGCACGCTTGACCGCTTCCTGTTACGTCATCCTACATCTAATTACTATAAATGCAAAAGTTTGTAAAGATGTGAATAGGTGGATGGATCTTTATTTCTCTTTCACGCATAAAAGACTAAATAGATTTAAATTAAATTTAGTACATGGGCAGATTATGCTCTCGCGTATTTGGAGCCTACTGAAAATTAACGTCGTACATTCAGATATGACACTTTTTTTTATACAACTTATAATGGCAAACAAGCTGAAGACCCACCCGATGGAAAGTGGTAACCGTCGCCTATAGACATGAGCAGTACCATGGACATAACAGAGTATACTGTTTCGCCCATGATACCTCCCATGCGTTGCCATTCCTGAGGACTCAGGTGTTATTCCTCTGTACCCTATAAATTCACGCCATATCCCACCCTTCAAACCGAAACACAGCCATGCAAACAACTGCTTCAAGGTAGAAACACGAATGGGACAGAGGTACCTAAGCAATCGACTATTGTACAGTCTCCCTCTGGTACTTAACACATACATACATACATAGATAAAATGTAAATATTGTGAGCAAAGGTGGATTTATCACTCAGCGAGATATCTTCCAGCTAACCCAATACAGTGGAAAAGCGTACGAGAGTTTTTTTTTTAATGGGTGATAATGGAATGGTGGCCCCGCCTGCCCTACCGGTATACGCTGGCGGGACACCAGTGATGGATGACAGGTGAGGATGAAAAGGCAGGTCAGTTAGTACATAGTGACGAATTCCGTTAGACTTAATCACGACGGTTTCCAGGGGGAATCGCGGGGAGGACGACCTGATAGGGTGTATTGCTAGCAATGGGTTAGTGAGATCCCATTACTAACAATTCCTTTCCCCCCAGCATACGAGAGTTAGCAGGCATATATTTACTTTATGTACTAAGTTTTTTTTTATAATTGATAATGAAATAGTAACCCCTTCTGTGCTAACGGTATACACTGGCGAGGCACCAGTGAGGGATGAGATCGGGAAGCATTACATTCTCTCGATTAAAAAGACACAGTATCCAAGGACTGGTAGAAAGATTGACAGACAGAGACTGAGAGCTGGTTAATAGATTGGCCTCATCGTATTTATATTAACAAGATTTAAACCTGACATCCAAACAGCAGATTGGATTATTGTTCTATAAGGAACAGATTGCCAATTAGCAGACTAGAAAAAGAAAAAAAAATGCTGTTGTAGATCAAGCAAGGGCAAAGCAAGATATGTCTAATATCTCTGCAAGAGATTTAGACAATATTTTTCACCACATAGTTTTTTTTTTATGGATGAAAATGCTATGGTAACCCCGCCTGCGCTAACGGGATACGCTGGCGGAGCACCAGTGAAGGGTGGTAGATGAGAATGAAAACAGGCCAGTTAGCACATCATGATGAATTTCCCCCTTTCCCCCTTTCACCACATAGTTATGACACATTTTTGTTTTGTCAAAGATTGTCTGGGAGAGAATCCTATATAGCATCAAGTCCGTCTTTCTGGGGGAAGAGATTTTTAGTAATTGAGATTGAGAATCCTATTGCTAGCAATGTACCCAACCAGGTCGACCTCCTCGCAGTTCTCCCTGGAAACTATCATGGTTGATTCCTAATGAATTAATCATGATGGACTAACTGGCCTGTTTTCATTCTCATCTATCACCCTTCATTGGTGCTCCGCCAGCGTATCCCGTTAGCGCAGGCGGGGTTACCATACCATTTTCACCCATTGAAAAAAAGTCCGCCTTTCTTTTATTGTGACCAATAAAGAATAAATAGATAAATAAAATCAACTAAGTATTTTTCAAGTTTTATACATTACATAATAAAATAAAAAAATCCTCTTTATAATATTAATGTAGATTACTAAATCCGATAAAAAAACAAACAAAGATTGTTTACAGAAAATACCAAGTATAAAAAAAAAACAGTTTATACAGGCCGCATTATCGATCCGGGCTAGAGGGCGTGGTTGTCTCTGTCACGCCCCGACCGTAGGGTGTGAGTGGATGGGGTGGATGTCGGCAAACATTTACCCGTATTAGGGACTTACTGTTGCAAATCTATGAGGTAAACTTCGACTGATTTATCTTTTTTTTTATACAACTTAGAATGGCAAATAAGCTGACGGCCCACCTGATGGAAAGTGGTAACCGTCGCCTATAGGCGTGAGCAGTACCATGGACATAATAGAGTATACTGTTTCGCCCATGATATCCCCCATGCGTTGCCACTTCTGAGGACTCAAGTGTTAATCCTCTGTACCCAGTAAATTCACGCCATATCCCACCCTTCAAACCGAAACACAGCCATGCAAACACAGCTGCTTCACGGTTGAAACACGAATGGGACAGAGGTACCCAAGCAATCGACTTTTGTACAAAGTCTCCCTCTATTCCTTTGTGATATTTAACATATTGCAACAAAGTAGATGTGACGTGACAAAGTCAACAATTTTTATTTCATAGTGATTATTAGAATGGCAAACAAGCTGACGGCCCACCTGATGTAAAGTGGTAACCGTCGCCTATAGACATGAGCAGTACCATGGACATAACAGAGTATACTGTTTCGCCCATGATACCCCCCATGCGTTGCCATTCCTGAGGACTCAGGTGTTATTCCTCTGTACCCACCTACGGAAAAGAAAGGGATGGCCTATCCTATACCGGGACCACACAGCTAAATAGTAACAATAACTAATTAATTGAATGTTTCCATTTGTTATTAATTTCATTTGAAACTTGTTCAGCGTTTCATTAAGTATCATTATAACAAACTATTTTTCTGGTCTCACATTTCGCATACCGATCAATACCCATAATCAAACGAAATATCGCATAATTCGGAAATCTAATTTTATCGAAGGTCGCCATAAATAAAGTATAAATATAATAAATGTAATAGATAAATATTATCAGTTAAAAGCTGTGATAGTTAAAAAGGTTTGGAGATTGGCTTATCATGAGCTCGGAGATATTGCGTACAGAGTAATGGTTGGGAACAGATATTTCTTTATATATATTTTTTTATACTTTTTTTTTTTTTATACCACTGAGGTGGCAAACAAGCATACGGCCCACCTGATGGTAAGCGGTTACCGTAGCCTATGAACGCCTGCAATACCAGAGGTATTACGCGCGCGTTGCCGACCCTGAAGAAACCTCTTTACCCCCTTTTGAAGAACCCCATGCTGTAGTCTCTCGGGAAAACCTCGGCAGGGAGCTCATTCCATAACCTGAGTGTTCGTGGGAGAAAGCATCTCTGAAACCGCGTTGTACGCGACCATTTAGGCTGTAAGGTATGAGGGTGAACTCCCTGCCGATAGCGAGCCGTACGATGATAGAAAGTGGCCGTAGGCATCATATTGAATAATTCCTCTGAGCACAATCCGTTGTATAAGCGGTAGAACACGCAGAGTGAGGCAAAATCTCTCCTAAGACTTAAGGGTTCGATACCGCTTGCAAGCATGGGATCATCGACAATTCTCATAGCTCGTCGTTGCACTGAGTCGAAGGGTTCAAGCTGGTATCTAGGTGCTCCCGCCCATAAGTGACAGCAATACTCCATATGGGGCCGGATTTGCGATTTGTAAAGCATTAATCGCTGATCCGGCGTGAAGTAATGCTTCGCTCTATTGAGCACACCGAGTTTTTTGGATGCCAGCTTCACCTTATCTTCGAGGTGGCCACGGAACTGTACGTCACTAGAGATGTCGACACCAAGGATCCCAATGCTTTTAGAGATGTTAAGAGACGTGCCTTGGAACTGTGGGGCCACAGCAAATGGGGTTTTTTTAGCGGTGAACGCGCAAGCTTGTGTCTTAGAGGGGTTAAATTGGACCAAGTTTTGTCGACAACTTAGAATGGCAAACAAGCTGACGGTCCACCTGATGGAAAGTGGTAACCGTCGCCTATAGACATGAGCAGCACCGTGGACATAACAGAGTATACTGTTTCGCACATGATACCCCCCATGCGTTGCCATTCCTGAGGACTTAGGTGTTATTCCTCTGTACTCAGTAAATTCACGCCATATCCCACCCTTCAAACCGAAACACAGCCATGCAAACACAACTGCTTCACGGTTGAAACACGAATGGGACAGAGGTACCCAAGCAATCGACTTTTGTACAAAGTCTCCCTCTGGTAAAATAATTCAATATGGCGTAAAAACTGAAGGTTTACCTGATGGAAAATGGTAACTGTTGAATATAGACATGAACACATCGCCGTGCGTGTCCCGGCATAGAACCGCCCCTACCTTTCGCGTGGGTGTCGTAAGAGGTGACTAAAGGAAGACAAGGGATGGGTAGCATCGTCCCTCTTAAAACATCTCTAAAAGCTTAACTGCGGTTGCCAGCCTGCCTGCCAAGCGTGACAACTACTGGCAAAACTCCCTTTATGGGGAAGGCTTATGTCCAGCGGTGGACAGTTAACGGCTGAAATAATTAGGACATGAACAGTACCATGGACAGCACTGAACACTTTATACAGCCGTGGTACTTCTCCAATGTGGGAAAGAGTGGATTATTTTTTTAATGGATGAAAATGGAATGGTTACCATGCTTGTGCTATAAATTTACGCTGGCAGGGCACCCGTGAGGAATGATAGGTGAGGAAGAAGCAGATCAGTTGGCCTATCGTAATGAAAATTAAAGATGGTTTTCTCCCAGAGGAAAATATTAGGTCAACCCCCATGCACGGGTAGGTATTGTCAGTAATGCAGACTACCAGCCCCATTGCTAGCAATATACCCTATCAGATTACCTGCCATCCGTCACTAGTGCCCCGCTATATATAATTTTTTTTGATGGGTGAAAATGGTATGGTAACCCCGCCTGCGCTAACGCGATACGCTGGCGGGGCACCAGTGAAGGATGATAGATGAGAATGAAAAAGGTCAGTTAGCCCATCATGATGAATTCATCAGGAATTAACCATGATAGTTTCCAGGGGGAACCGCGAGGAGGTCGACCTGGTTGGGTATATTGCTAGCAATGGGATTCTCAGTCTCCATTACTAACAATTCCTCTCCCCCGAGCTATATACCATTAGTGCTACCATTCCATTATCATCCATTAAAAAAAATACCTCCACGTGCTCGCTGTCTTAATTTTTCTATTGTGATGGATGATAGGTGAGAATGAAAAGGTACATCAGTTAGTGCGTCGTGACGAATACATCTGGAATTCAGCACAATGGTTTCCAGGGGGGAGCGCGTGGAGGTCGACGCGACGGGGCATATTGGTAGCCATGGGACTGATAGTCCGCATTAATAACAACCCTTCCCCCTCCCCTTGACCCCAATTGACCTGGTTTATCACCTATCAATCATCAAAAAATTAAAAAGTTCTAAGCAACTAAAAACATAATTTTTTTTAAATCATAAAACTACAGTATTGTTTTCTTTAAAAAGGCTGTATTAAGGTTTCTTCAGGGTCGAAAACGCACACGTGACACGCCTAATGTTGCAGGCGGCCATAGGCTACAGCAAGGGTGGTCAAATATTTTGACAGTCGGGCCATATTGCAGATGAAAATTTGACAACGGGCCAGTTTTTTTTTTTTTTTTTATTTTAAGTTTAATTTTTGCTAAGGATGTCAATTAATGAATTTTAAAACCAACATTTTTGAATTAAAATATTTATTAAGCTCTGAAAAGAGCGGTGTGTCCGGGAGAAAATTTTGGCTCCCACCGGCCCTGATAATGTGTATAAGTATCGCTTAATATTTTATCTAAATATTTTTTATGCACCAATTTATGTTAGACAAACACTAACATTTGTGTTTTTAATAATAATATATCCAATGCTTCAGGGGCCAGACAAAATTCTACCGGCCAATTGCCCAGGTCTGGGCCACAGTGACCGTTCACCATCAGACGGGCTGTACGCTTGTTTGCCACCTTTGTGTTATAAAAAACAATGCAGTCTCTGCAGCAATATTAACCTACATTTAAGTGAAATAGAAATTCAGTAGCCAACACTGCACTGTCACTTCAGAAGGCGCTCCGTAAAAGGAATTGCGGTGAGTAATTATGCAATTGTCTACAAATAATATTTTTAAGCAATTAAATTTAAATAACATTAAATAAATACAAAATTTTTTTTATACAACTTAGAATGGCAAACAAGCTGGCGGCCCACCTGATGGAAAGTGGTAACCGTCGCCTATAGACATGAGCAGTACCGTGGACATAACAGAGTATACTGTTTCGCCCATGATACCCCCCATGCGTTGCCATTCCTGAGAGCTCAGATGTTATTCCTCTGTACCCTGTAAATTCACGCCATATCCCACCCTTCAAACCGAAACACAGCCATGCAAACACAACTGCTTCACGGTTGAAACACGAATGGGGCAGAGGTACCCAAGCAATCGATTTTGTACAAAGTCTCCCTCTGGTGAGACTTTGTACACTTTGTTTCTCTACTGGCAAACCCCTACTTATGGGGGAGGCCTATGTCCACCAGTGTACTCTTTACCGCTAATATGAAATGGTAGGCATACGGTATCAAGTTAAAATATTGAGAGGTAAGCTTAGAGAAATAAATGGCACAGTATCGATCCCAATTATATACACTTTTTATAATTACTCTGGTTGTCTGGAAGAGATCGCTCTTAGCGATAAGGTCGCCCATTGTTTTCTCATTGTGATTATTTCTTGTAATTGTTTATATTTACAATAAGTTTACTATTATAATCTTTTGAAGGAAACAATAAAGAGTATCTATCTATCTATCTATATGATTATGCAGTACATACATAAAATTCCATGGCCATCACATAGTATACTGTGACACCCACACACCTGCGTGTCACCGAGCGTTCTCAACGCTTATTGGATTTTAATAATGCCTACTTAAAACTTTTTACTTAACTCTCAAAGTGTCAGAGGCAAAGATGAAATGTCGATAAAGGTCGGTTAGAACCAAAAACTTTTAGTGCCTACACAAGAGTTGTACATAATACCAAGTTGGCGTATATAACGATGTTACATAAACTGCCTCGATCAATACACGACTCGTTCCGTCTCACTCTAACATTGTTATACCGTCTCTCTCCCCCGTAGTACAACCTACATTGTGGTGGCCACGGGAGTACAATTATTTGTCAAATAAATTGTAAATGAAATAATTTTATATTTATCGAATAATAATATATCATGGGCGAAACAGTATACTCTGTTATGTCCATGCTACTGCTCATGTCTATAGGCGACGGTTGCCACTTTCCATCAGGTGGGCCGTCAGCTCGTTTGCCATTCTAAGTTGTATAAAAAAAAAATGTTATTAGTAAAATAATGTAATATTTGTGAAACAATTGTCGGAGACAACAAAAACACAGTAAGCTCATTAATTTACATACATACATACATATCTGTCACGCCTGTCTCCCATTAGGGTAGGCAGAAACAATGGAACGCCAAATGCTTCGATTCAAACAGACTTCTTTCGCTTCCTCCACATTCATCAATCTTTTCATACACGCTCGCCGGTTACGGGTACATTTAATTTGTCTTTTACCTTTATTTATATAAATAGACATCGAATAAAATATAAACGAAATATTGTGAAAAATTTTAAATAGAAGATTTTTTTTATACAACTTAGAATGGCAAACAAGCTGACGGCCCACCTGATGGAAAGTGGTAACCGTCGCCTATAGACATGAGCAGTACCATGGACATAACAGAGTATACTGTTTCGCCCATGATACCCCCATGCGTTGCCATTCCTGAGGACTCAGGTGTTATACCTCTGTACCCAGTAAACTCACGCCATATCCCAACCTTCAAACCGAAACACAGCCATGCAAACACAACTGCTTCACGGTTGAAACACGAATGGGGCAGAGGTGCCCAAGCAATTGACTTTTGTACAGAGTCTCCCTCTGGTGGATATACAATGGCAATGGCGCCAGTGAAGGATGAAATGATGAAGATAAAGTCAGGTCAATCAACCCACCAAGTGGATTTTTTTAAAGGGTGATAATGGAATGGTAACCCCGCCTGCGCTATCGGTATACAATGGCGGGACACCAGTGATAGATGACTGATGAAGAAGAAAGCAGGCCAGTTAGCCCATCCTGACGAATTCAACTAGAATTGGCCACGATGGTTTCCACCACAGGGGGAACCATGTGAAGGTCGACCTGACAGGGTATATTGCTAGTAATGGGGCTATTTGACCTTATTACTAACAATCTCTTCCCCCCCCCCCTCATAGTGGATTCGGTAGTAATTAAATACGACGGTTTCTAGAGGGAGACTGCGGGGAGGTCGACCTGATATTGTTAACAATAGGGCTATTAGAAGTATTTAAAGGTTATCATTATGACTGTTAGCGAGAGAGTGAGAGGCGTGCGGTGCAGTATCCCTTTCTAAAGAAATGACGTCAAAATGACAAGGGTCTTAATCCGTCTGACCTACTTACTGATCAATGATTTTACTAGACGTAAAATCTATAACATTGGGGTCGACTCTGAGACACCATTTCTTTAAAACTATGTCCAAGATTAACTTAAATTACAACAATAATAATATCATAGTGAAAAAATCATTTGAAATACCGATAGGAACAGTTTCTTGTAGATTTAAGTCCAGTTTTATTACAAATACTAAATTTGTAGTCCACAAAATAATAATTTAGCGAAAATACCAAATCAAAATATTGGTATTAGAGATAAGTGTAGAGAAATAAAAAAAAAAGAATGGAATTCCTATTATCTATTTATTTTATTTCTCGAAATAGTATATTTATGTTCACATACTGGCCACTAATAAAATTGTAAGCACTGGCCGGCAACAATCTGTTGCATTTATTCTTTCAATGAATAAATCAGTGTTCAACCAACTTGCTTGCGTATCACTACAGTATACTCTGTTATGTCCATGGTACTGCTCGTGTCTATAGACGACGGTTACCACTTTCCATCAGGTGGGCCGTCAGATTGTTTGCCATTCTAAGTTGCATAAAAAAAAAAGTGGAAAGACTAAATCTTTGTTAAAATATGTTTAGGAAAACGACGTTTCGGAATCGGTTCCATTGCGTTCGTAGCGACTTTTCGTAGAGCGTCGTAGCACCTCGTAGCGTTTAGTCTACGAAATACATAAGTTTACGGACTAGTCAAACGATTTGTTCGCGTATTAATTTGTCCTTATTGTTTGCGTCGTTTTTATTTCAGCCGTAAACTGTCCACTGCTGGACATAAGCCTTTCCCATAAGGAGAGTTTTGGCCGTAGTTGCCACGTTTGGTAGACAAGTTGGTAATCACAGTTAGGCTTTTAGAGATGTTTTAAGAGGGACGCTGCTGTTCATCCCTCGCCCATTAAGTGTTCTTAGTCGCCTCTTACGACACCCACGGGAAAGGAAGGGGTGGCTTATTCTATGCCAGAAATAATTTACCTATCATCATGCCAGAATTATAAATGGTATCATTAGAAAAGATTTTCATAGGCGTGTATCTGGAAGTCGAATTAAAAATCATAGGTTTTTTCTGGTAATTGATTTATTTTAATAATTTGTTTTAAAAAGCAAAAGATATTGTCATATTATTCGAGTAACAAAGTGTAAATATGATGCCTACGGCCACTTTCTATCATCGTACGGCTCGCCATCGACAGGGAGTTCACCCTCATACCTTACAGCCTAAATGGTCGCGTACAACGCGGTTTCAGAGGTGCTTCCTCCCACGAACACTCAGGTTATGGAATGAGCTCCCTGCCGAGGTTTTCCCAAGAGACTACAGCATGGGGTTCTTCAAAAGGGGGTAAAGAGGTTTCTTCAGGGTCGGCAACGCGCGCGTAATACCTCTGGTATTGCAGGCGTTCATAGGCTACGGTTACTGCTTAGTTGTTTATATTCATACAAATTCATTATTTATACTATAATTTAACTTTACAACTGAATTAGAGCAAAACAACGTTCCAAAAGGGGCGGTAATGAAAAAACAATTACAATTAAAAAATATCTTTTAAAACAAATCTTTATTTCTTGTCGCATATGGTAAAAGAAATAAAGAAATAATTATTGGAACACAAATACTTCTTTTTTTATTTTTATTTTTTTATGCGACCAAACGGTGAGTATCTGCTTTTAAAAACGAAAACGTAGTCGCGAGCAAGCGAGTGTACCAGAGGGAGACTTTGTACAAAAGTCGATTGCTTGGGTACTTCTGTCCCAATCGTGTTTCAACCGTGAAGCAGTTGTGTTTGCGTGGCTGTGTTTCGGTTTGAAGGGTGGGATATGGCGTGAATTTACTGGGTACAGAGGAATAACACCTGAGTCCTCAGGAATGGCAACGCATGGGGGGTATCATGGGCGAAACAGTACACTCTGTTATGTCCACAGTACTGCTCATGTCTATAGGCGACGGTTACCACTTTCCATCAGGTGGGCCGTCAGCTAGTTTGCCATTTTATTTGTGTAAAAAAAAAAAATAAATAAAAAAAACCCCTATATGACATATAGTTTTGTCTCTGAGTCTATATTTAAAATCTTTGCTCATTCTTTTCCTTTCTAATCATTTATTTTCTTAAAAAAAATTAGTGCTTAGCGGATTCTGGTTAATTAAAATGCCAGCCTGACTATCGGGGGCTTTATTTTTTTTTAATAAGAGCAAAGAAATTTTGAAAAAGGAACACCGATATTTCACAGATGGCGGGAAAATTTTTCACCCTCGCTTTGGGCGTGGTCCTATTCGGTTTTGCGTCAAGCGAGACCCTCCAATTAGACGACAATGTGCCTGAGGAGCAGCCAATCGAAACGCAAGTACAAAACGTTGAAAAGAGACGGCTGGAGACACCCGAAGTGGTTCTGCAGTTGAAATACGACGGCGGCGAATTGAATAGGATATATCTCGCCCAGTTCAGAAAGGGGATGGATACGTGGACACCCTCAGTGCCCGCTCGCAAGAATCTGTGTGCGGACCTGTGCCACGCAGGTTCTTGGCTGTTTATGTTTTGTTCCTTTTGTTCTGTTTTTTTTTTTTTATTGGTGAAGGAAATGTTTTGTACAGCCATGTTCGTTTGTGTTTAATGTTTCGTGATTGTGTAAATAATGTATAAATAAATTATAAAAGATCTGTAATGATCGTTAGAAAAAACATATTTTCTGTGATGACGTTGTGTTGAAAATATTTTTTTAAGGTAAGTTTATTTATATAGATTTATTTGAATCATTTTAACATACGTAAATTAACAAAATTCTTACAAATAAATAAATGAATTATATTATTTAAATAAAAGTTGATTAAATATATATTTATTTTTAAAATGTATATAAAAATTTTTGTGTACGTCCAAATTAGTTAAAAAAAAATATTAAGAGACATAAGTTTTTTGTCGACCTTTCTCAACCGACTTTAACAGATGTTCTGAATCTAACTTTAAATTTGCACACAGATATGTCACAGCATATTTTTTATAAATTCTGCACCGATTTAGATTATTCCTTTTAGAAATAACCCATTTTAATCCTATAGTAATTTTATCATAATTAAAATGGGAATTGAATTGTGAAACATAATTTAAATTAATAGAGACCATTATTAAAAGAACCGACGGCAAAAAATATGCACGTTCACATAAAAAAAAAATTGAATAGTTTATACTCTTTTTTTTATACAACTTAGAATGGCAAACAAGCTGACGGCCCACCTGATGGAAAGTGGTATCCGTCGCCTATAGACATGACCAGTAGCATGCACATAACAGAGTATACTGTTTCGCCCATGACACCCCCCATGCGTTGCCATTCCTGAGGACTCAGGTGTTATTCCTGTATTGTTCCTGTCTGTAGGTATATATAGGTTATTGCAGGGAGTCAGTGGCTTAGGACCGTTCTGTATGGCAGTCTATGGGGCAGGCCTATGTCCAGCAGTGGACTGATAATGGCTGAAATGATAATAGGTGACGATTACCACTTTCCATAGGCTTGTTTTTTATTCTAAGTTGCATAAAAATTTATGGTCGAGGGATGGACAGATAAGTTCTCTTAAACGCCTCTTAAGACACCCACGGGAAACGAAGGGATGGCCCATTCTATGCGGGGACCACACGGCATTTACTCATGTACAACCTAGTATATTTTATGGATCTATATATGCTTAACAATTACCAGAATTGTCGATAAAAAATCAAGTACCTTAACTTCGTCACACCCATTTTATTTTTCTGCAAATATTTCTCAAAAAAAATCTCGAATATTCACCTAAAATTGTCACTAAACTCCCATTGTAGTAATGCAATTTCTGTTATGCCCGCGTACTTTATAATTTGCTGTCATGTTTCACCTTTCAAACCGTAACAGCCGTTCAAGTACAGTTGCTTCACGTTAGAGACACGACGGAGGTTAAATCTAAGAAAAAGAAATTACATAGAAGGAATGATAAAGCAAAAACTGTAAATCATATGGTTGCCTTCTTTCTTCTTATGCAAATATAATTAGTAAAAAGAGGACGAAAGATACACCATCAATTGCTATTTTTCTCAATTCATAGCAGGCTAGTGTATAGAAAATGTTTGATATGTCAATTATTTGTCAATGACAAATTTTACATTACTAGATTATATATTCGACACAGTTTATGTAGAAAGTATGCAAGCGGATTGTATCTGAATTTGGTAGGGTTATACGACCGTATAACATTGTCTGTACACTAGCTTGCTATGAATTGAGAAACTGCATAGCAACTGATGGATGTATCTTTCGTCCTCTTTTTACTAATTATATTTGCATAAGGAGAAAGGAGGCGACCATTTGATTTACAATTTTTATTTTATCATTCCTTCTATGTCAAATTAACTTTACACGAGCAAAAACTATTTCTATTCTATATTCCATTTTCGAATTAGATTTTTTTTTGACACATCAATTAATATCGACATAAGATTGTCTAAAACTAAACATATTTTTAAAAAAGAGTTTAAAATGTATTTAATTAATAAACAAAAAAATGGTTTACCTAATAAGTATGTAGCGGGAATATGTATCGCTTGAGTGCTTGAAAGGAATAGAAAGTGACCTCTGACTACCCCTCTTCTAATGGTATTTGTTATTTATTTATTTAGTACTAGCGGCCCGTCCCAACTACGCACGAGTGCACATTTTTACAACATAAAAAAAGTGGTTATTATGACATAACGACAATAGTTGGACATATAGTATCGCGAAGTTTTTTGTAGCTATTAATATTTTCTTCAATATTGTAGAACATACTTTTGTTCTATCACCAATAGTTTCCGCAGCGCACGCGACCAAAGATATTTTATAGCATTTTTTATACACCTTGAGTTACGTTACTAAAGTTTTAGTAAAGGTCCCTCATCTTTTCTAGCAATAAATATAGCCTATGTTACTCAGGGTGAATGTAGCTTTCTAATGGTGAACGAATTTTTGAAATCGGTAACTTAGTTTTTGAGTTTATTCATTACAAACATACACACACAAAAATACAAATCTTTCCTCTTTATAAAAAAGTAGTAGATAAAATATTAAACGGTATGTTTAATATTGTAATGGACACAGGCATTATATTTTATTCATATTTCTTTTTTTATTATTATTTTTATTAAGGAATTTCGCGGCTGACTCTTGCCCACAACAGAATATCAGGTTTTGCTCTTTCTAGGGCAAAACAATAAACTGAGTTGTGACCATTTTGTGTCACTATGGCACGCGCATGTAACAAGGAAATTGTTCTTTTTACATATTTTGCTTTTTTTTTGTATATGCATTCTTTTATCTCTTTTTACTTTGAAGGTTTTTTCAAAGTAAAGATTTGTTTGTTTTTCTGTTAGCTTTAATTTTGGTAATGACACATTTTTTTTTGTAAAAACTGAACTTCCTGTCGAGGTTTTACCAAGAGACTACAGCATGTTTTTACAACACAGGGGGCAAATGAGCATGCAGCTCACCTGATGGTAAGTGACTACCGCCGTCCATGATCACCCGCAACACCAGCGGCATTGCAAGTGTGCTGCCGGCCTTTTAAAAAGGAATACGCTCTTTTCTTGAAGGTTATGTTGTCGTATCGGTTCGGAAATACTGCTGCTGTAAGTTGATTCTAAAGAATGGTTGTGCGTGGAAGAAAGTGCCTTGAAAAACGCACGATGGAGGAACGCCACTCGTTCAGATGGTTGGGATGAAAGAATGAAAGCGTGGAGTAAAGAGGTTTCTTCAGGGCTGGCGACACAAAACAAGCGTTCACAGGCTACGGTAACCACTTACCATCAGGTGGGCTGTAAATTATAAAAAAATATTATATACACATACAATAAATTAATTTTCTTTACCAGGATTGGGTGGAGACGTCTGCGGCGCTGCCTGCCACGACCTCATACCAATAGGTCTGCAGAGTGCCTTGACAGACACCGGCAATGCCACTGACGTTGTCTATGGACATCCGAGATTCGACGTGTGCCCCACACTGTGCGACAACTACCTTGGTAAGCTTCACAACTCTACTTGAGTTCCCTAATAACATACCTTATTTTAACGGTGACAAACTGCTGGGAGAAATGGAGTGTCATTGAATATTACGTGATATGTTTGTTTTTTTTTTAATGGATGACAATGGAGTGATAACCCCGCCTGCGCTAACGGTATACGCTAGTGGGGCATCGGTGAGGGATGATAGGTGAGGATGAAAAGGCAGGCCAGTTAGCCCATCGTGATGAGTACACCAGAAACACAACACGATGGTTTCCAGGGGGGACCAGGTGGAGGTCGATCTGACAGGGTACATTGCTAACAATGTGGCTGATAATCCGTATTACTAACAAACCCTATATAATATGCAAATGTTGTTAGGCAATTTATTAGATAACAGTAGATGCTCCTCCATAGACCTACCCTTTGTCTTTTTCTCAATGTCCTCTACCCAAAGGTTGTCTGGAAGAGATTGCTCAGCGACAAGGCCGCCTTTTGTATCACTTCTCATTAATATTTACTGCATTTGTTATTTCTCTTTTTACTTGGTGCAATAACAGTATTACAGACGTTCATAGGCTACGGTAACCACTTACTATCAGGTGGGCCATATGCTTGTTTGTCACCTCAATGGTATAAAAAAAAACATATAATCACAATACCTATTAGAACCTAAAAGAGTAGCTGTTGAGTTACTTTTGGCTTCTTCTCAGTTGATAACAACGTCTCGAAAGCAGTAGGTACAATTATAATAAATTGACGATTTAAATGAGCTTGTAAACAAGTCTGTTGGAATAAAGATTTATTCTATTCTATTCTTTATTCTGTTCTGTTCTATTCTGTTCTGTTCTATTCACTAACTAAAATAACTGGCTTTGTTTTACATGAGATCTTACAATTTTTTATATCGGAAGAATTGCGTTGCGGGACTTGACTTTTTTTTACATTTTACGTTTTTGTTTTTTATACAACTTACAATAGCAAACAAGCTGACGGCCCACCTGATGGAAAGTAGTAACCGTCGCCTATAGACATAAGCAGTACCTTTCGTTTGTTCGTTACATAAGCGGTAACGTTTCTGAAGGTATTTATTTTTAAACCTGTTATCCGTGTGAAACCGACGTTAAATACATTTGTATTGTTACCAGGCGATCCACTTTGCAATTGTGCTAAAAAGGAAGACGAGATTCTAGACAAGAATGTGGACTGGATCAGAATATGCGCGGCTTTTTGCGTTGAAGATCATTACGTGCTTGGTGGTAAGTGACAACTCCATACTAAAAAGTGGGTCAGAGGGAGGATATGTCCCATATATAAGAGTTTTTTTTTCATACAACTTAGAATGGCAAACAAGCTGACGGCCCACCTGATGGAAAGTGGTAACCGTCGCCTATAAACATGAGCAAGTACCATGGACATAACAGAGTATACTGTTTCACCCATGATATACCCCACATACGTTGCCATTTCTGAGGACTCGAATGTTATTCCTCTGTACCCAGTAAATTTACGCTATATCCCACCCTTCAAACCGAAACACAGCCATGCAAACACAACTGCTTCACGGTAGAAACACGAATGTGACAGAGATACCCAAGCAAACGAATTTTGTACAGTCTCCCTCTGGTTAAATTTAATTAACCAGTCATGTATATAAACCATAGTTTTCCAAACTGTTTTGGACAAGAAGCCCCTTTCCCAAAATGAACTGAAATCTCAGATCTTTATAGCTAAATTACTTCAAAAAATCTCGTGTTTTTATTTCTGTTGATACAAAATTCTTACCAATTTAAATACTATGCGCTTGTATAAGTGAGTAAATTTGATTCATCAAAATATAATAAAATAAATATATATAAAATTTAGTAAAATATCAAAATATCAAACAATGACATTTCCTTCTAAAATATCAATCATTCTTTTAAACAAGTTGGTACAAGTAACACAAATTATACAGTTTCTTGAAAGTTGGCAATAACAAATGTACAGTTTTCTCTCTATTGATAATTAATTATTGTCTATGTTTCGGTTTGAAGGGTGAATTTACTGGGTACAGAGGAATAACACCTGAGTCCTCAGGAATGGCAACGCATGGGGGGTATCATGGGCGAAACAGTATACTCTGTTATGTCCATGGTACTGCTCATGTCTATAGGCGACGGTTACCACTTTCCATCAAGTGGGCCATCAGCTTGTTTATCATTCTAAGTTGTATAAAAAAAAATTAACTCTTTTTGTTCTTGGCAATAAATGTTTTCTTTCCTCTTTCTTTCTTCAGTCTTTTCAACAAAAATCCTTGTTTTTATCTATATATATATATATATAAATTTTGTAATAGTCCACTAAGGGAGGGCGAAGGATGGACAGCAGCGTCCCTCTTGAAACATCTCTAAAAGCCACCTGACAAGTATGGCAACTATTGGATAAACCCCAAAGAGAAGGCTCATGTCCAGCAGTGGACAGCTAAAGGCTGATGTGATGACGATGATGATACATTTTATACCTAGAGTCCAGGTGCTAGACTAATACAAAAAGACACGCTCATGAGTACAAATGTTTGAGTTCGGGTCTCGAATCCATAAGCATAGGAATGTGAGGCAATGCATTAAACCACTGCCCCATCAAAGCCGCCATACCATAGTCAAACAACTATTATATTTTCCATAGGTTGTCCACCATGCGAGCAGATTACCACACTAATCCCCACCAGGTCATTAGGCACCACACGTACCCTGAACACTGCTGACGGCTGGTCAGCCTGGTGTGACGCACAATGTCGCCAGGGGCAGGGCGGTGCGGCTTGCAACTGTGATCGGACCCCATTCCAGTAATTACAGATCAGTAATCACATCAAGATGTAATATTACAAGAATCACTCGTAATATAATGTTACAAATGATCACCTGTAATGTTACAATTGGTCACTCGTAACACTTACATTACAAGTGATCAATTGTAACATTCACTTGTAATGTAACATTACAAGTGATCACTTGTAATCTAATGTTACAAATGGTTAGTTGTAATGGAATATAACAGTTACAATAAAGAGATTACATGCCAACTTTTAACGTTCAATTGTATTGTAATATGTTATTTTGACAACAGAAATTATTGTAAAATATAAATATGATCAATTTATATTACAAAGTCTCTATTATTTCATTAAATGTCAAATTTAAATAATATAAAAAATATAAATGGAAAGAACATATATTTAAATATATAAAAAAAGTTTAAAGAAAAAAGTTAAGTTTATTAATATTCAAATATAATATATTACATTACAAATGAACAGTTCACGCCTAATTGTAAAGGAAATTTTAATTCTTATAAACTAATATTTTATTGTATAACGCAATTGATTTATTATATATATGCAAGTAGTCATAATGTACTTTGCAAATAAAAATATATGTATATTATATATAAAATGTAATTTAATTCACCAATAACTTTAATAGCAATATTGCCGATTTCACAGATGATTGTTTTGTATTTTTCTTTTTATTTATATTATGTATATTTATTATATATATTCGACGAGTATAAATTATGAATCTATATTTCGTACAGTAAATGTTTAATTTAAAATCGGAACCACCTAATATTCACTAGTTAATATTTAACCAATATAATAAATAATATCTTAATGCACTTTATTTAAATTATTAATCTTAATTACAATTATATTTCCATTTTTTTCTAGTTTTAGAAATAGCGTAAGGTAAGTACATGGCTTAAAAGGTTATAATATTATTGAATATTAATAAATAATAAACAAGTATTTATTCTTTAATGATAAATAATTGTAATTTAAATGTAATTAACATAAAAATACTGTGTGAAAGACAATATATAATTGTAAATGTTGTAATTGTAAATGCACTTTATACATTTAATGTAACTTAGTCGATGTTATTTTTAATTTCATTTATCACATTAAATTGTGTTCCTATTATTTTATTTTTTTATTTCATTTACATTTCCTTTGAACCTACCAGTCAATTATAATTAATTTTGACTCCCTAAATTTTTCAATTTTACAATTCGTATGGTCATAGTGAAAATAATGTAGGCGCGTCAATGTCATAGTAGGTTGTGTTTTTGTAAATTGTAAACGTCAAAATTCGTGCTTGAAATATATGTTGTAGATGTTTTACAATAATCGTTAGTAATATATAATTAATATTATATATTAAGTGTAATTAATATAATGATAAAAATCGGTATAGTTCCGGATTACCTCATTAATTGCAGTTTAATTAATTATTTTTTAAATTTATAATTTGCTAAAATCATTGAAACTGTATAAAATTAAGTAAATGTGTGCTTACATAATAAATTAATAATAAATAATTAAATTCATAGACTTACGTTACGTAGCAGTAAATACAAGTATATACGGCATAATCACTTGTTAAGAATACTTTAAACACATTAAAAATACATTAATATAAATCAAAGATTGTCATACACAGATCTGTACGGCTGTATGGGTATTCTCTATTATATTATAATAAAACAAGAGTTATTACAAAACCGACAAACAAACGTGACAATATCACAGAAACAACTAATTTTGATGTATGAAATTTTTAAAGATCTATTTTAGGATCTAGCGTCATTCGCAGCTGTATTTAATGCATTTTATAATGCATGATATAGAAAGTGTTAGAAGTGATCTTTTGAATTTCTTATAAATTGTACCATGGACATAATAGTGTAGGTATTCTGTAAAATCAATGCTACTATTCATGTCTAGGCCTGACACCTATTTATAAAAACTTTATTTACTTTTTATTGAATAGATTACAAAAAAAAATCTGCTACAAATAACAGGCTTAATGCTATATAGCATTCTCTTACAGAAAATCAACTTTTGAAAAAACAGAAATGCGGTGAAAAATATAGAAAATTGAAATATCCTTCAATCATTATGTACAACAAATTAAAAAATATATATCAGTTGTTTTTTTCCTTAATTTCGTCAATAATTATTGCGTCCTTAAACTCATTAACTCATAAAACAGTTGGGTCAGTTACGGTTTGTTGGTTTAAATAATAATTTACTTTATCACAATTTAATAGAGTATAAATAAAATAAATATGTAAATAAATAGAGATTAGAGAGAGAGAAAATACGCGCATAAATAAAATTTACACAAGAATTTAAATATTTTTAATCCGACTATATTGTTTATATATAATACGCGATAACTTTACCCAGTAACTGTGAATTAATTTTATTTCATCTTTTTTTATATTTATTCTTTAAAATTTGATATTTATGCAAATCAAAAAGACCTGTTAGGTATATTTAAGGAAAGAATGCGCGCGTGTTTGTTTTCAAAATCAAATTAATATTAGATTTCATCAATTCTCTCTCAGGTATTTATACTACATGTAAATACGTCTTATCGACATTTATCTATATGTTGCAAAAGAAAAGTGGATCAGAAATATCATGATTACTAAAACACGATAGCTTCGTGAATATTTTGTATAATAAATTACATAGGGGGTACTATACAATATACATTTCATATGAAATCGTGCCACATCCCGTATCATCTTCTATCGAAGATAGGTCATCATCAAGACTCACTTATTTCGAACTGCTGAGAAAGCAAATGTTTTCGGCCACATGTTCTGCGATCGTTAATTGTTTTATTATAACTTAAATACAGACGAGATAAAATCAAATTCTTCAGCATTTTTTTAAGGCAGTGTTCTCTAACAGTGAAATATTCACCAGTTTCATTAGTAGAACACTAAAATATTCCAGCAAAAATATACTAATCATTTCTATTTAGGCCTATATATTGATTATTCATGCAAAAAAAAACACATGTAAATATCCAGTCAGTTCAGTTCTATATGTTTCAGAGTCCTATGATCTAAATTCACCAATTATTTTGAGTCCCCAGCTTCCTGATTGAAGAGATGCGTGCTTGATTAATTGAGCCATCAATTAATCATAGACTAGATTAAAATAGATATTGCAATTGCATATTCTTTACGTAACAGTTCTTGAAATCGAAGTTTATACATTGTGTAAAAAATCTATGTCAAAAGTGGTTTAAATTGACAGTATTAGGCCACTAATGAGGGGTGATAAATAAGGATGAAATCAGATGAGCTATCCCATCGTGACTAATTTACAACAATATTTATTCCATTTTATAATAACTGTCTTGGTTTCAATCTATTTATTATCAATTAAGTATATTCCTTAGCGCATTTATTAGTATCAACTTATATTTATGGAACAGAATACAGACGTTGTCTATTTTGAGTATGAATGAGATGTATGTATCAATACTAGATAGATAATTAGCTATAGGAATCAACCAAGAATTATCACAACAAACAATATCACGTGAGTCTTCCAATAGAATAATAATTGTAAATATAATTTATTATTGTAAATTATTAATTGTAAATACAATTTAAGTAAATAAATGTTGTTAAATTTCTAAATTAAAATGTTAGTAGTTCATTGTAATTTGTAAATTCATTAATTAACAATTAATTATTATGGCTTAAAATAATTACACAAACTATATGTTTACATTATAAGCATTTAATGTAATTTATAAATATTTAAAAACATATTTGTCTATAATGTTCACTAAAATTTTATATTCATGTTTGTATTTAGTGCACCTATTCGTCTTTAGAGTATAAAATTGTCTTTACATTATATTTCATAGTATAAAATCTTCTTCTGGTAAATGAATATTATTTAATCGATATTTAAACGAAGCAGGTTCATAATTTCTACTCATACATTATACTATTTTATCTATTCTAGGTAGATATTTGAAAAAAGAATCTAACTGGATAAATCTCATTGTCTATGGCTTTGTTCATGTTATACGTCGCGGACTGCAGAAGGCTTATTAATGATCGCAGTTGCTATCCTTAATCTATGGCTTATTGTAAATGTTTAAAACCCGACAGGTTTGCAAATTAATTTAAGCTGCCCAACTACTGCTACTCATTGACAAGTTGGTATTAAAATAATAGACAAATCAGGTTAATTTGTAGTCACATAATGTAAATCTGACGAGCTTGGAAAATATCATAATAAGCCCCCGGATACTTATCTAAGCGCACCTACTTGAACATAACGTGCAGTAAAACTTCGAATATCTACAATCTATGTATTTCATATGAAATTTATACAGATAATGAAGTTTGCACAGTTGATTTTTTTTTTATCTACTGCGACCCCTCTGATAAAAAATAGGCATTGCAACCTATGGACATCTGCAACAGAAGGAGTGTTACGTATTGCTGACCCTGAAGTATCCGATTTTTCATTAACTTTAATAAAAAAAAAACATATGTACCTATAGTAGTTACATAAATATATTACAAATATTTTAAAGCGCGCTTTATGTACGTAAATAAAATGTAATGTAACGCACAATACATACTTATATATAATACAATAATAAGTACTTATTTACAAAATTTAAATAATAGTGTATACATAATACATATGTAATATTTTATATTTAAAGAACATTTTAGACTATCATGAATTAACTTCCCTTAACCACGATAACTTTAAACATATAATAAACCTATTTTAGGGATTAAGGTATTCTTTTTTTTTAATCAAATAATAAAATTTAAAAAAGTCGACAAATAAGACGGCAGTAGTTCATATAGACACACACATGCATATTAATTAAAACTGTGCATGCATGCATGCATGTACAGTTTTAATTAATAGAAATCCTATATTCAGTTGACGGTTGAAATGAATGTAATGTAAAATTTTGGAGTATCAATTCTTGTACAAATACGTACGTATTATAAAACATCCGTGATTTCCCATCTTTACAAAGATAAAATAAACTAAAAGACTAAAACTATACTCATATTTGTTTAATATATAATTAAATATAGATATGTATGTATATATAATTGATATGCAGGATTCGCTTCTGGTCTCGCTCGCCACCTCCCTAAGTTATATATCAAAATAACATTAACTTTATGACAGAAGTTGTATGTAATAATGTTTATTTAGCTCCTTTTCATGTATTTTGTACTTATATCAATAAAAAAAAAAAAAAACAACATATAAATGTACCTATTTACTGGGAGTACGCTGATGTAATTTTTTTTCTTTCTTTATTTAGAATTTTAAAATAAAATAATGATATTATTATTTAATTGTGTAATCTTAATTTTTATGTTGTTTTTTATGTCTTAAGTAACATGTATAATTTATATTTTTTTTTTATTTTTTCTTAAAAAAGAGTGTATCTAATTTAATGAATGATATTATTTAAGTGAAAAGTTTGTTCAGTGTATGTGTAAATAAATTAATAATATCAGTAATATGTAACATTACACACATGTTATATTACATAAGCACATGTTACATAACATACATTGTAATTAATATACATGTTACGTAACTTGCATGTTATATTACAACAAAAACATGCATCTACACTTTAATCTTAATTTAACTACTAGTACACATAATTGTAATACATTCACAAGAAAAAAAAAACTTATACTCACACTCTCTTTGGCCTAGTACCCATATAGATATACACAAGTACTGTTAATTAGTAATTAAGTAGTTTAAATATAATATATGTTTAATAAGTAAAATACATTGCGTTTATCGACACCATATCATGTAAAAATTATTCTAAAAAATTTATTGTTGTATTTAAATGTTAAATTATTTACTTGTAAAATAAACAATATACTCAATATTTAAAATATATAATAAATTTATAATTATTATAACTTATCATTAATATTTACACGAATAAGTACACATATTGAATCGTATCTTTAACTATCTATTGCTGAACACAAGCCTCCCCCTTGGAGGGTTTTACCAGTTGCCACGCTTAACAGGTGGATTGGCAACCGCAATTAGGTTCTGGAGATGTTTTAAGAGGTACGCTGCCCATCTCTCGCGCTCCCACAGTCGCCTCTTACGACATCTACGGGAAAAGAAGGGGTGGCCTATTCTATGGTGAAGCCACATGACAATCATTAATACTTCTTAAAATTCAATCTATAAGATATTGTGTATTAGTTTACGATTACTAAATTCCAGCGTGCATTATAAAAAAGTGGTAAATTTTACAAAATATATTCAAAAAATAACCAAAATATCCCTATGATCCATTCGTTTAATCTCGTTCGACTATGCCCATCGTTTGTTGAATTAGTTGGCTAAGAATGATACCTAATATTAACATAATATTTTTAAATCGTCAGTAATGGGAATCTAACAGCTACTTGCTAGCAATTTGCTCTATCTACATATGGTTGACCTCCATATGGGTCTCCCTGCTTTATCCTCACCTATCATCTTTCAGTGCCGTCCCGCCAGCGTATACCGATAGCGCAAGCGGGACTGTCATTCAATTATCACCCATTAAAAAAAAGGTTAAAATAATAAGCGTGATGTGTTGTTTTCTCTGTGGATGCTGTGTATGTGTGTAAATGTGTGTGTAAAACCTAGTGTATATATTGATAAAAGAGGCAGTAGGCACTTTAGTCCTCAAATGTGGTGACTTATGATGGGCATAGGTCGTAACAATTATCTATGGCGTTTTTCAAGTATTCTATCAGGTGTACCATAAACTAATTTGTAAAGTAAATTATTCGAATATTAGTATGTATATTGAAAATTAAAGTCGTGTACCTACATATGTTTATTATTTATATTTCAACTAATTTACGTTAAGGTAGAATCATGTTGCGGAACTTCAAACCAAAGGGGCGTAATAGGTACATACAAAAATCAATTTTAAATATAAATACAAAAGTTTACATATAATAGCAATTTACTTATATAATAAAATTGTAATTTGACGAGGACTGTACATGTATATATAGGGACACATTTGAGAAAAAATAATGTTATTTTTTCTCAAATATCTTCTATGTATGTAAGGTTAAATTTTTGTTACACACACACACACACACATACACACGCGCGCACGCACATACACACACACACATGCACATGCACACGCACACACACACGTACACACACATTATATTATATTGTTTCGACTTCATCTGGAATTCTTTTTTCGAATAAAGTGTAGGTGCATACATTTCAAAATAATGACATTGTTTTCACACCTAATAGATTTTGCACGAACACGCCCTTTTGGTTTGCACATTATTTAAGTATATATATATATATCTAATTAAGGCGGGAAACATAGATATTAATAATAAATAGTATATATTCGCTGTTGTTATGACAATAAATCAATGTATAGATAAAGATTTAAAAATATAACCTTGTATTTATGCCTACTTCATCAGTAAGTTTTTTTTTTATAAAAAACCAGCATTTTTTTTTATTTAGCTATGTGAGTGTTGCACATTACTATGTATTTATTTATAGGATTATTTATTCTACCTTTATTGTAAATAAATAATTTTATGTTATTGGAGAATTAGGTGATGCCAATAAAAAAAATTAGAAATAATTAATTTACTGGGGGAAATAAAAATAGTAATTTACATAAAAATAAAACATATCTAATTTTTTTATATTTTTGTGTACGATCCTGTGAATGGTTTTACTGTTTTTAAATTGTATATATATTTTTTTTAATTATCAATAATTAATGACATTCGTACATTTCTGTTTATTAAATTATAGCATAAAAAATATATATTTACTGTACTGTCGATGTTTAAATATGTGACAATGTTTTTTTATATGGGCTTGTCATTAAATAATCAGCACGTATTATGTATTGTTACATATAGCCTAGTTCGTGTAGAATTAATATTAATTTTTTTTTTTTTTAAATAAATCATTTGTTATTCGCCTCTTAAATAACCAGTGATCCAGTTTTGTAGGAGAAATTATTGATATTTATAAGTAATCTGTGGTAAGTCTAATTTATAACATAATTGTTGTGAAACCTCTTTGTATTTTTTATTATTTATTTTTGTCAATGACAATATATATATACGCTATTGTTTTTTCTTCGCCTGCTTCCATCGTTATCTAATTTTATTTTATTTTATTTTATTTATATATTATTCGGATTACTCACATTTTGGCGACCGTGATCAGCGTAAAAATGGAACAGGCATTATTACAAAGAAAAGTAGTACGTCGTCGTTTTACTATGTGTGCTAAACGTATAGAAGATTTTCTAGAGAAGAATGATAAAACAGGTATGAGCGCGGAAATATTAAATATCACCAAAATTTTCGACGAATTAACATTCCTCCAAAACAAATTAATGGATTTGTGGTTGAACATGGAGGAACGGGACGAAAATTTTTTCGATGATGATTTAGAACTGTCCGAGGCTTACACCAGTAAATTCTATTTGTTGAAACACAAAGTCAGCGAGAACTGCAGTCCTGCGGTAGCCCGCTCTTCGGCCTCTGATACTGTAATTAAAGCAGATAGTGAGAGTGGAGAGACTTCCCAAAGGCATCGTCGCCACTTTCGTCTTCCGAAGTTACAGCTTACTTTATTGAACGAAGAGATAAAAAGTTGGATTCCATTCTGGACACAGTTCAAGAAGATTGACTGCGACAGCGACATAGATGATGAAGATAAATTTCAATATCTCCTACAAAGTATTGAGAAAGGTTGTAACGCCAGGAGTTAGTGGAAAGTTTTCCACCCTCAGCAGAAAACTACCCAAAGGTAATGCAACAGCTCAAACAAAGGTATGGAAAAGATGAACTTATAATAGAATATTACGTTAGAGAACTCTTAAAGTTAACAATCGTCCAAAGGAACGATAATTCTAAGATGGCCACTCGTATCCTATATGATAAACTAATGACTCAGATTCTTGCTTTAGAATCTCTCGGCGTGACGCAAGATAAGTATGCCGCCTTTTTATTTCCAATGGTGGAATCTGCACTGCCGGAAGACATATTACGCGCATGGAACAGATGTCAGGCGAACGTCGCGACTAACGATAAAGAAAAGAGTCAGCTGACACAATTGTTACATTTTGTTCGTAAGGAAGTTGAATCTGAAGAAAAAATTAATTTATCACGAGGAGGTTTTTCTAGCGTGGATCCAAATCCTGTAATTCCGTCAGCAAGTTTTTTAAGTACAGCTGTCAGAAACAAAGAGAAAAATGTCGTGCATACTAAAAATGAAATAAGAGAATGTGTATGGTGCGATAAACCCACGCATAATAGTTCTGAATGTAAAAGACCTATTAAATGGGATTTAGAAGAAAAGAAAGATTTTCTGAAAAAGAAGAATACATGTTTGATATGTCTAAAAATTGGACATCATGCAAAAAAATGTAGAAAATATCCCAAATGCATTGTTTGTGAAAAAAGACATTATCCCATTATGTGTGCCGAATTACCTAAGATTTCAAAGAAGGCAGAAGATCAAGTACTTAAACAGTCTATAAAACCGAGTACAGTTTTATTGCAAACTGTCAAACTAAATTTAGTATACAAAGAGAAAACCATTACAGTGAGAGCCCTTTTGGATTCAGGTGCTCAACGCTCTTTTATAAGGTCAGATGCAATCGAGAAATTGAATATTAAACCTACAGGTAATGAACACTTAAGGCACAATTTGTTCGGCGGAGTAGTGACTAAATTAAAAAATCATAGATTATTTATATTAAATTGCAAAAGCCTCAATAGTAAGTATGAAATTCAAATAGAGACACTTGAGCAGAGGAAAATATGCGATAATTTGCCAAAGATAAAGTCAGGCTCACTTTTGTCACAACTACAGGATAAAGGTATTGAGATCACTGATTGTATTAATGAAGTGACAGAGATTTCTTTATTAATTGGTTCTGATGTTTTAGGTTCGTTGTACACTGGGCGATCAGAACATGTAAGTGACAATTTGGTGGCGATCGAGACAAAATTTGGTTGGGTAATTCAGGGATCTACTTCTGGTACGTATTGTAATTTTACTTCAATACACGCTTGTTCATTTGATATTGATGACCTGTGGAAACTTGAATCAATAGGTATAAAAGATGAGGCGCAGGTTAAAAGTTCTCGGAAGCGTGAGGAAGAAGTTGAGAATTTTTTTTAGAGAAACTGTAAACATAAATGGTGAGAATAGGTATGAAATTAGTTTACCATGGAAGGATACAGCAGACATTTTATCTTCTAACTTTAATTTAGCAATAAAACGTCTTCACTCAACTACTAATAAGCTTACAAAATTAGGCTTATTGAACGCGTATGGTGAGGTGTTCAACGAATGGTTAAATAGTAACATAATTGAGGAGATTATGGGTGATAATATTCAAACCGGACATTATTTGCCTCATCACGCTGTTGTTAAAGAATCTAGCCTTACGACTAAAATTCGCCCTGTGTTTGATGCATCTGCTACGACTAAAGAAGGTGTCAGTCTTAATTCTTGTCTAGAAAAAGGAAGCAATCTTATAGAATTAATACCAAAATTACTTATTCAATTTAGAAAAGGCAAGATAGGTATTATCGCCGATATAAAAAAGGCCTTTTTACAAATATCTATCCATCCAAATGATCGCAAGTTTCTCAAATTTTTATGGTGGGACAACCCTAGCAGCTCAGATAGAAAATTAAAAGTTTTTAGACACCGTCGTGTAGTGTTTGGTGTTAAAACGAGTCCATACCTTCTATCAGCTACTATTCTATACCACCTCGAGAAATATGTAGGCGATACTGCCAGTCAATTGAGAAAGAGCTTTTATGTTGATAATTGTGTAGTCAGTGTTAACAATGAAGCTGAAATGAAAAAATTCATGAATGAAGCTCTGCACATAATGAACGAAGGTAAGTTTGAATTAAGATGTTGGGTGACTGGCCCTACTTTAGATAAAAATCAAGCAGATACCTCTGTATTAGGAGTTACTTGGGATGCTCAAAATGATGAACTCTATTGTAAAGTTCCTTTTTTCAAACAAGTTACAGATAAGCTTACAAAAAGGACATTGTTATCAATGGCGCAAAGCATTTTCGATCCAATCGGGTTTCTCTGTCCTACCACACTGATACCGAAACTATTAATACAAAAGTGCTGGGAAAAGTCTATGGACTGGGACAAAGAACTTACCTTAGAATTGGGAAAATCAGCAAGAGAATGGCTTCATCATGTAAATGCTATCGAAAAATGTCGTATTCCAAGAAGATTGAGTGTATCAAATTTATCTGGTAGCAATAACACCATTCATGTTTTTAGTGATGCAAGCCAATACGCTTATTCTGGATGCGTCTTTCTGCGATCGGAACATGATAATATGGTAACAGTACAACTTGTTCTTGCTAAAAGTAGAGTTACTCCATTGAAACCAGTTACAATGCCAAGACTTGAATTAATTGCAGCTTTGTTAGCCACACGATTGGCTACAGAAGCCAAATTTTCATTGCAGCTGAATTGCAAAGAATACTACTGGACTGATTCTAGCATTGTGTTAGCATGGATAAGACGGCAATCAGGTCTAAATGTTTTTGTTCACAATAGAGTGAAAGAGATTACAGAAAGAAGTAACAGAGATGCTTGGCGTCATGTACCTGGTGAACTTAACCCAGCTGATCTTCCATCAAGAGGATGCAATGCTCAAAATTTATTGAAAAGTCGATGGTGGGAGGGTCCAGCTTGGCTTCATAATTCACAATCAGCGTGGCCCAATTCTGATGTTGCTCCAGATGAAAATGAAGTCAACAAGGAAGTAAAGAAAAGCTGTTTAACTGTGCAAGAAGGTACCAAATTTTCTGACAGACTTCTTCATTTTGGGAAGTATTCAAAAATTGTTAGAACCGTTGCATGGTGCTTGAGATTTTCCAAGTTCTATCGACAGTATAGAAGTTATAAAGATATTACTGCTGAAGAGTATGAAAGAGCAGAAACTCGATTGATGTCAATAATACAAAAGGAGTCTTATGAAAGTTTTGATGAGATAAAATTAAGACTCAAAATGGATATTTTTCAAGATAGTTAAGATGTTATTCGTGTAAAAACTAGATTGACACTAAGTGGTGACACTGAGAGTTTTATAACTCCGATATTACTGCCTAGCACAAATGTAATAGTGAGGCGACTCGTTCGATATAAACATGTTCATAGTCTTCACGCTGGAACACAAACTCTTATAAATAACTTACGAGAAGAGTATTGGATAGTTGGTGTCAGAAGGTTAGCAAAAAATGTTGTACGAGATTGTATTATATGTAAACGATATAATGCTAAGGCTAGTACTGTACCTTTCGCTCCATTACCTGCAGAACGTGTAACTTGTGGAGTACCATTTGAAGTAACGGGTATAGATCTAGCAGGACCAGTATATCTCAAATCTAATCAGAAGTGCTGGATAGTAGTCTTTACTTGTGCTACTTACAGAGCCTTACATCTGGAAATATGCTCTTCACTTAGTACTGAAGAGTTCCTGTTGACGTTAAGACGTTTTATTGCACGAAGAGGTAGGCCTAGGATTATATACAGCGATAACGCTACTAATTTTCGAGGAGCGAATAATGTCTTAAATTCAATTAATTGGGACGACGTTTCTTTCAAAACCTCAGTTCAAAAGATATCATGGCACTTTATTCCACCACAAGCGCCATGGTGGGGTGGATGGTGGGAGCGAATGATTCGTACTATTAAAGAAATTCTGAGAAGAGTTTTAGGTAAAGCTGCTCTATTAGAAAAAGAATTGATGACTGTACTGTGCGAAACAGAAGCACTTATTAATTCACGTCCTTTAACTTACATAGCAGACAGCACTGAAAATTTTACAGCTCTTACTCCTGCAATGTTTCTTAAGGTAGGCAGTACTTATACAAGTGATTTAGACCAAGCTTATTCATCTAATCTTGCTACTCGTTATCGTTATATTGAAAAAATCAATAGGGATTTAAAACAAAGATTTAGATCAGAATATTTATCGTTATTAACGCAAAAGTATGGCAAAAATAAGAACAATCTGAAACCTGGAGATATTGTACTTATTGGTTCAGATGATTTAAAACGCGTAAATTGGCCCTTGGGTCTCATTTTACAGATATGTCCTGGTGTTGATAACATTGGTAGGGTAGCTCGTATTAAAACGGCTAAAGGCGAACGTCTTCGACCTTTGCAACGTTTATACCCTCTAGAGGTGTCACAATTAGAGGATATTCAGTTTCCACGGCCATCGGGATCAAATGATAAAGTTATTGATTCTAAAGTTGAGGTTGAAAATTGTCCAGCCAAGATTACACGTTCTGGTCGTCCTGTGAAACTTCCTCATCGACTTGACATATAATTTTGTTATTGCGCTGTAGTAATGCGTATGCGCAAGGTGGGGTGTATGTTGTGAAACCTCTTTGTATTTTTTATTATTTATTTTTGTCAATGACAATATATATATACGCTATTGTTTTTTCTTCGCCTGCTTCCATCGTTATCTAATTTTATTTTATTTTATTTTATTTATATATTATTCGGATTACTCACAATAATGGTAGATAAATTAAGAATTTGTATTGTAATTTTATAAACATATCTACGTGTCTTAGCAATGTCCTTGTAAATATATAAATAAATAATTTAATCCATAAATTCGTGTTATGTACCTAATGCTGTGATATGATTTTACTATTTTAAGTGCATTCAAGAAAATCGTGTACCCAATTTGTCTATCTTTATTTCGAGGATTAACCATTAATACTGCCTAACGAACACTGACAAAATTATACAGGAGACGCGGAAATTATTCTTAGTCTAAATTTATTTTAAGTAGGTAAAAATAAAAAAGTAAAGAAAATGCAAATGGCGGACTTAACCTCATATGGTGTTAAGTCCACCATTTACACTTTGTATGTGTATTGAAGTTTAATAGACGGTTTTTTTTTATGTATCTTTAGTACGATGTATCAGTGTTTACATTATGACACGATTGTCATGTCCGTAGTTTTTTTTGCAGTCAATCCCGTGTTGATTCCATATTGTGCCACGTTCAAGTTTTTATTTTTTCACAAAATAAAATATAGCAGCGTGTAAATACAAAATCACTTGTGTTTTGTGACATAACCCTATTTTATTTTCATATAAATATAATAATAAATATTTTATCAACCGATTTCAAAAAGAAGAAGATTGTAATTTTTTTTTTGACTTATTTGATAAACAATCTTGTTATGTCTCATGACAAGCGTCAACTTGTTTTAATGTAAGTCTTTAAATTGAAAATTTGTATCTATTTTTACCACTTACTGTCGTTCGATTAAGCTTTTTGACATAGGTGCTAATGGAGTTTTCAATTTTAAGTTCAGTTACTTTTAATATAAGCTTATTATTACAGTATTACTTTTTTTACTATAATTTTATAAACATTTTAAAAACTGTTAGAGTTGCCATGTCAATATTTATAGCGCTTTAATCAAATTGGTATTATATTATTACTTATACATTATTTACTTTTTTCTACATTTTGTCTCAATTATATCAATTAATAATTAAAGAATAACTTATTAAATATTAAAAAATAAATAAAAATTAAATTTAGTTCAACAAAAATTAAATTAAAAAAAAAACAATTATTTTCACAATACGTTATACTTATCGCACAATCTTGTATTTGCTTAATAATTTTATTAATATATAACAAAGTGTAAATAAAAATAAATGTATTGTTGAATGTTTTATAAGTACAGTACACATTGGGATCGATTCTGAGACGCCATCTATCTCTTAACCTAAATTTAATTTGATAATTACACATAATAATCTACTGTTTTATGGGCAATAAAAATTTACAATAATTTTTATTTAAATCTATTAAAAGCTCAAAGGATATCTCTGGCAATTCAAAACGGAAATGTCACAAGTGTCATTGGAAGTGACAGGGGTCGGGAACGGATCGTAAATATGACTGATTTTTTTTAATAAAACATTATTGTATTTTTTTTTATTACAATAAAATAAATCTTACTAATATAATAAAATTATTAAAAGTTTAGTTTATATTGGGTCCTTAGAATAAAGATTTCAATGTAATATTTCATATCCAGTTGCGATTTTAATTTTAGAAAAAATGGCGTCTTGTTTCGTCCGCGTTACATTTTAATTGTAAAAGTAACATTAATAATAATACAATATGTTTACATAGTATACGTATAAATCACCACTGTACAACTCCATTGGAAAGTGTTTAGCAGTGATTAACGTACACACAGTCCAGCCAGCTCGCTATCATACTCAGGATGCTGTTGGCGCTAGCACGTACTCTGCGCACGCGCACGTTTTCACCATTGTAGCATAAAAACAATGCACTTACATATATCGTCATAGTCGTAGAATACTGACGAATCTTTTATATGTAATTTTTGTCAGATCCGTCAGTATTCTACGACTATGACGATCTTATTAGTAGAATCGTTCACGTTTAAGGGTCCTGATGGTTCCGAAAAACTAGTCGTAGGTACATTTTTCTTGAATTTAAAATACACCTTGACAAAAATACACCATAAATCTGTTACTTTTACAATTGAAAATTATTCAATATTCGATTAGTGTTTTGACTAATGTTACAGTTGTCTTGTTCTAATGTAATATTTAATCTAGTCAAGTAATAAATGTGTTTTATTTTAATATTTTTTATTTCTCCGTTCCTTTTTTAGAATTTCCTATAAATCAAAAACATTAAATGTAAAAAATGCCAAGTCTCGCAACGTAGTTTTTTCACTATAAAAAGTTGTAAGATCTTATGTAAAACCATAGGTTATTTTCGTTAATGTCTATGGATTACAGATATTTTTTTTATACAACTTAGAATGGCAAACAAGCTGACGGTCCACCTGATGGAAAGTGGTAACCGTCGCCTATAGACATGAGCAGTACCATGGACATAACTGAGTATACTGTTTCGCCCATGATACCCCCCATGCGTTGCCATTCCTGAGGACTCAAGTGTTATTCCTCTGTACCCAGTAAATTCACGCCATATCCCACCGTTCAAACCGAAACACAGCCATGCAAACACAACTGCTTCACGGTTGAAACACGAATGGGACAGAGGTGGTCAAGCAATTGACTTTTGTACAAAGTCTCCCTCTGGTAATATATCTTATATTTCTATCGAAGTCAATAAGCTAAAGGCCCGCCTGATGGAAAGTGATAATTGTCCATATCACAGAATACACTCCGTCCCCCATGATACCCTTCATGCGTCGCCACTCCTGTGGAGTTTTTTTAAATGGGTGATAATGGTATGGTAACCCCGCCTGCGCTATCGGTGTAAACTGGCGGGGCACCAATGAGATATGACAGATGAAATTAGGTCAGTTAGCCCATTCTGACGAATTCAACTGGAATTGACCACTATAGTTTCCAGGGGGAACCACCTAGAGGTCTACCTGATAGAGTATATTGCTAGTAATGAAACTGTTTGACCCCATTACTAACAATCCCTTCCCCCCCCCCCCCCACCCAATCCTGTTGACTACGGTGTTATGCCTCCGTACCGTGTAATTTCACTGCCGTAATTCGCCATTCAAACCGAAACAACCACGAAAGTATGGATGGGACAGAGGTACCCATGCAGTCCACTTTTATACTGTCTATGTTTGGTAAAAGGTGGCTTCCATTTTGGAAACAAGGCATGAACACAAAATGCGAAAGATTATTGTTTAAAATATTGAAACCGGTTCAGAATTAAAGAGATTTAAGGTTGCGTTCAGCCATTTTAATTTAAAAACTGCTGGACTGATATTGATAAAATTTCTATGGGACCAACCTGAAAATGAAATAGCGACCCCGTACGGACAAAACCGAACGACGATTGCACGACCTCAAATGCTTTGTAAAGCTCGACGTGAATGTCCCGGTATAGAATAGAACACCCGTTCCTTTCGCGTGGGTCTCGTAAGAGAGCTAAGGGAGGGATGGGCACTAGTAAAAGCATAACTGCGGTTGCCAACCCGCGTGCCAAGCGTGGCAACTACTGGGGAAACTCCCCTTATGGGGAAGGCTTATGTACAGCAGTGGACAGTTAACGGATGACAAATAAAAAAACCAGTTAATTATAAATAAAAAAAATAAATAATTCTTTATTTAAATAATACATAATAAATCATTACAAAATAAATATTATTAGAATTACATTACATTTTTTTTTATATAACTTAGAATGGCAAACAAGCTGACGGCCCACCTGATGGTAAGTGGTAACCGTCGCCTATAGACATGAGCAGTACCGTGGACATAACAGTACACACACATACTATATTTTGTTTATTATGCATATAATTAACATAAATTGGTTATGTCCGTTTGCCACTTGTCATAGGCCTCCTCCAACCTCCTCCACACCTCTCGTGCAAGGCGATATTAGTTCATAGCTTTCCACCCATTGCTTCCAAATCGACGACATCATAACCTTCAAGAAAAGAGCATATTCCTTTTTAAAAGCTCAGCAGTACACCTGCAATACCTCTGGTGTTGTGGGTGATCATGGGCGGCGCTAGTCACTTAACATCAGGTGAGCCGTATGCTCGTTTACTCGGTGTTATATTAAAAAAATCGTCTCTATCTTCTGTTCTATCTGCCTCTGCTTCTTTTCCCAGTTCTTGGTTGGCAAATGGATAAAACAACAAAATTCAATAAAATATCAACTGTGATATTCCTGAATCCAGCTGATCGTGGGGAAGGAATTGTTAGTAATGCAGACTACCTCCAGTCTACCTCCCCGTGCCTCATCCCCTGGAAACCATCGTGCTGAATTCCAGGTGTATTCATCACGATAGGCTATGACCTGCCTTTTCATCCTCACCTATCATCCCTCACTGGTGCCCCGCCAGCGTATACCGTTAGCGCAGATGGGGTTACCATTCTGTTGCCATCCATTAAAACAGAATTTAATATACACGTGGAAAACATTTTATTTCGACAGTCTGTTAACAAAAACAGACAAAAATCAAGCGAGAGTACCCTTCTCTTGTCCACTCTTTTTCCCTCTCTTGCACGGCACCAAAATCTGCTCAGTCCACTCCCGCACCGTCTCCAAATCCTTGATCTTCTTCGGTTTCCCTGTCTTCTGATTTATGGGTACCTTCCCTTGTGGAGTCAGCACGTTCTTCGCCAACGTCGCGCCGTGCTTTCTTTTCATATGTTTATTACAGTTGGACCAATTCGCAAACTCCATGCCGCATACAGTGCAAGAGAACGGCTTGGCACCTGTATGCAGGTTTTCGTGTGTTTTCAACACGTTTTTATGTCTGAACCCTTTGTTGCAATACTGACATGAGTACGGCAGTAGGTCTGTGTGTGTAATCATGTGCCCTTTCAAATGGTCCTTCAATCTGAACCTCTTAAAACACAAATTGCATTCGAACGGCTTGTCCTCGTAATGGGTTTTTATGTGTTTCTTCAAACGACTCAAGGTAAGGAATGTCTTTTTGCAGACCTTGCAGACCTGCGGCTCTACATTTTGGTGTATGAACGAGTGCGTGTACAGAGCACCTTTCGTGAAGAACGTCTTGCCGCATCTGTCACATGTGTAGTCTCTGTTTCTGTCTGTGTGTAACACTCTGTGCGCCCGCAGATTTGATAAACTCTTCGTCACTTTCCGACATATGTCGCACGTTAGATCTTCAATGCTGATCGGTTTTTCGCGACTCTTGAATGGTATTCTTTTAGTTTTTTTACCGTATGCAGTCAAATGGCGTTGTAAATCAAATTTGCTGTTAAATGATTCACCGCAAGTCTCACATTGGAATGACTGTAAATGTGTATTAGTGTGGATTATTGTCAATTGCTGATCATCAAATTTGGCATTGCAGTATTGACAGCAGTACCTGAAACATGCAAATAGATGTTATAGTAAGCAGAGTCGTGGGTTGTGAATTGAAAGACCCCGATTGTCAAAACAAGTTTAATACGAGCAACAAGTAATACACAGGTGTTAGCAATGGCGGGAGAGCGCTCTAGGTCTAGGCACATGTGCGAACGTATTGGAGGCCGGCGTAAGACTACTGTAGAGGGCGCCAATGTCTATTACCTATAACGAGCGGGTGGATGCCCGCGAGTTTCCTGGATTGGTCGTTCTATTATGTTGGTAGTAGTGACAGTAGGTTGTACCATAATGTAATTTTTAAGTGGAAACATATTGACTTTGGTGGTATAGTGGTTTAACACCCTGCCTACTATCGCCACCTCATCTACCAATGGTCGCAGTTTCGATACCTGCACAATATGAACATTTGTATTTATGAATATGTATGTTGGGCTGTTAGATCCGCATTGCTAACCTAGGGAAGGTAAGCTACCCGGGCCCCCCTTACAGAATACACTGTGACACTCATAGTCCACTCATGCGTAACCATACCAGAGCACTAAAGTGTGGAGGGATTGCTAGTAATGGGGTCTAACAACCCCAATGCTGGGGGGGCAAGGGATTGTTAGTAATAGGGTCAAATAGCCCCAATACTAGAAAAATACCCTGTCAGATCGACCGCCACGTAGTTTCCCCTGGAAACCATTGTGGCTAATTTTAGTTGAATTCATCAGGATGGGCCAACTGACCTGCTTTCATCTTCATTAGTCATCTGTCACTGGTGCCCCGCCAGTGTATACCGATAGCGCGGGCGGAATTACCATTCTATTATTATCCCAAAACTAAGGATCTGTCAGCCCCATTGCTAGCAATATACCCTATCAGATCGATTTCCCTGGGACAGGTGCATGGATATATGGATATGCGTGAATTTACAGAGTACAGAGGAATAACACCTGAGTCCTCAGAAATTACCAACGCATGGGGGGTTATCATGGGCGAAACAGTATACTCTGTTATGTCCATGATACTGCTCATGTCTATAGGCGACGGTTACCACTTTCCATTAGATGGGCCGTCAGCTTGTTTGCCATAATTGTTTGCCTAAGTTGTATAAAAAAAAATTATATATAATACTTAATTTTATTTAGTTGAACTCACCTTAACAATGGTCTATGTAGTCTCACATGTTCAATAAAACCATCAAATGATTTACAAATCTCGTCACAATCAATGCATTTATTCCCAAAGCATTTTCCGTGAACATTCTTCACGTGACACCTAAGCACATCCTGATTGGAAAATCTTGTACTACAGTACTGACATATCCATATGTAGTCCTTCCAGAGAACAATTTCTAATTTGTCCACCTCATATATTTCTAATCCATATGACAATAGCTCTTTCAACTCTGATATTTTGTGTTTACTCAACTTTTTCGGTAGATTCTGGTATAAATTATGGTGATTAGTTAAAGAAATCTCATTTTGGAATATTTCGCCACAAAACTGGCAGTTCGGTTGTAAGATATGTGTCTTTGTGTGGTCGATTTGGTTTATTTTCATATTGCAGTGTTGACAATAATCACTGAAATACAAAAATAAATCTTATACAAAATTACTCACATGGCAAGTTTACATTATTTTTTTTTATTAGTAAATATTTGTATAAATAATTCTATGTATACTTTTCAATACATAAAACTGGGGGGGAAAGGGGTTATTAGCAATGAAGTTTGACAGCCCCATTGCTAGCAATATACCCAATCAGGTCAACCTCCTCGCGGTTCCCCCTGGAAACTATCATGGTTAATTCCTGATGAATGCATCATGATGGGCTAACTGGCCTGTTTTCATTCTCATCTATCACTCTTCACTGGTGCTCCACCAGTGTATCCCGTTAGCGCAGGCAGGGTTACCAAACCATTTTCACCCATCAAAAAAAATATATATATACATAGAACTTAAATAAATATTAGATAAAGCTTACAAGGTTTTTATAAGACTCATAATAACAAACAAGCTGACGGTCCACCTGATGAAGAGTGGTAGTCATCACCTATAGAAATGAACAGCATCATGGACATAACAGTAACATCCGTAGTACCTTAGATGCCTTTGCTAAGGACTATGGTGTTATGCCACTGTACAGTTTAATTTCACTGCCATTGCCATCTTTGAAAGCAAAACATAATTCAATCTCACATTAACTCCTTCCTATGTTCTCTCACATGCTCGACAAATGTGGTAAAATCTTCAAAGTTACTATGACAATCGCTACACTGGAATCCACAGCAGGTACTATGCGTCTCTTTACAGTGCTCTCTCAATTCTGTTACACTTGAATAGTCCACACCACAGAATTTACAAGAAACACCATAAGAAGCCCATGAAACGTTGCATTTCTCTATTTCTGTATCACATTTGTCGTCCTCAATGTAACAGTTTGTGTCGTAATCATTATTAAAACTTATTTCTTGAGATTTCACTTCGTTTTCTCCATTTTCGTCTTTTACAAAAACTGTTGCTTCGCTAGTGAAAAAGTTACCTCGTTCTTTTAACACAACCTGCGATAGTTTGATTTTAGTGAAAAATTCATAGGAGACTTTGAAAATGTCGTAACAAGATAAACATATCGTTTCTGGTAAGGTTTTATCTCTGAAATCGACTTCATTTAAATTGAGAACTGCTAATTTCTCCACGACGCTCGATCTTGTTTGTGAATCAATTGATAGATCTATGTATTGAAGTGAATTGGCTGTTTCAGCGCAAAAACGACAATAAATTATTTCGTTCTCACTCATATTAATAATTTAAACCTTTTTTCTACTCTCTTTTATAGTAATTTTAATAAATTTTAAATTAAATAAACATAAAACAGCTGATATTTGTTTTTTTTTTAGTACGTTTGTTCCGTTGTCGAACAGGCTAAGGTCGGAGACCATGCTGCCTAGTCTGATATTTGTCCATTGCAGTTGACAACTTTGACACTTTGATTTGACAGAGGATAACAATTATAATAGATTTAGTATGTAAAGACACTACATTCATACAGCTATCTGTGATTCTTATTTAAATATATTAAATAAAATATATATACGTAATGTACATACATCTTCTAATGGTATCCGGACAATATGTATTGTGCCCACCCCAGAATCGTCTAGTGCCCATCCCCAAGATGCGAACAGGGATTTTGACTATGCAGATTATGTAAAGACATGTCTGAAGATACATAACATGCCTTTTAAAAGCCAGGAAAATAAATTTATATACGCCAACGAGTATAAACACCATCCCTTCAATTTAGTTCTTCGTACTTTTTACATTAACGAAGTGACTGTAGTATCACTGCCGCTCGATAACAGATGTCGCTGTATAAAAATCCCTGTAACTTTCTTCAGATTATTTTATGACATTTCTGGTGGCATTTTCATTTTCAGTTTCATTTTCCGTAAAGACTACAGCATAGGGTTCTTCAAAAAGAATATAAGGTTGGATAACGTAACATCCATGGTGTTACAGGTATCCATAGACTTAGCTAACCCCATCATCACAGCCATATATTTGTTTGCCACCATAGCAATACAAAAAAAAATATTTCACGGCCATATTTCCACCCTTTAAACTGAAATACAGTCATACAAGCACAGCCGCTTCATAGAAAGGCAGGCGGAAGAGAGGTGAACCATCTATGCAGGTGATTTTGTAGTGTAACAAATTGTAATAAAACTAAATATTGTGTAAATTGTGATTTATTATTTTTAAATACATAACTAATAAGTATATAAAAATAAATTAACATATATTGCCGCAATACTTAGGTACATACTTGAGCTATAAAACTAGACACTAACGTGTGGCGTCTCGTTCTAACGCGTGCGGTAGCGCAAACGTATCTACCGACAGATTTGTTTGCCTTGACGACAATTCAACAGTGTTTTATTCCTCAAGTATACATATATTAATGTATTATTATTAAGTGCCTTACAATCAAACTGATCGCCTGGTCCTCAAGCTAAGATACCCTGTGGTATGAGGTACCAGGTAACAAACATCTAGGGGCACGACCCACCACACTCAGACCCAAGCCAATTCTGAAAAGTTCGTTTCCAAAATTGGGCTGACCGGGAATCGAACCCGGGACCTCGTTTACCCATCACTGCGCTATGGAGACTGTCAAATACATTTAAAACTATATACATCTTAATACTTATAGGTTTCCTTACAACAAACAGTCCTAACAACATATTTTTTTATACAACTTAGAATGGCAAACAAGCTGACGGCCCACCTGATGGAAAGTGGTAACCGTCGCCTATAGACGTGAGCAGTACCATGGACATAATAGAGTATACTGTTTGGCCCATGACACCTCTCAAGCGTTGCCATTCTTAAGGACTCGGGTGTTATTCCTCTGTACCCTGTAAATTCACGCCATATCCCACCCTTCAAACCGAAACACAGCCATGCAAACACAACTGCTACACGGTAGAAACACAAATGGGACAGAGGTGCCCAAGCAAACGACTTTTGTACAGTCTCCCTCTGGTTTACTGTAAAACCCACTTTAATTAAACCAGTTATTTTGATTTTTAAACTATACTAGTGAACCGTTTTTGATAAAATTTCTTCTAGATAAAAAGAATTTTTACAAATAAAGTTGTCAAGTTGCTGAAAATGGCGACTACTCGAATACATATCAATCACAATGGTTAAAATGTATTCAAACAACATTACTTAAATAAACACTAATATTTTCTAAAATAATCCATTTTAAATTCATATACATGTCGAACTATATACATATACAGCTATAAAATAGGTTGCCAGCTACAAAATAAATCTCCCATATTTACGGCAAATGGATGTGTATTTTTTTTTAAATAATAAGTGCTTTTAATTACAAAAATGGACAAAAATAATTTTTAAACAATTAATAAATACTAAATATAACACGACCTTCATTTTTGTAATTTAGTAGTACATTGGGCATTTTAGAGTTACCATAGTTTATATAGATAGAGCATCGAGCGCCAGAAACAGATCAAAATTTGACTATATAAGTGATATACAACCAAGATTGAACGTAGTTATACACGGAGCGCAGTTTCAAGGAAGGAAGTTGTATGACAGATTACCAATTGCTCTAAAAACTATTCAAAATTGGAGAATATTATAAATCAAACTCCATGCCCTTCTGTTGGAAGAATGTATTTATAAAATAAATTAATTTTAGAAATATAACAACTGTGAGTTATGTATAGTTACTTGTTTTTTTTTTTTCACTTAAATTGTTATTATTAATTCATTATTTGTATGTGACATTGTTTATATGTAAACATTGCTGCATGTTTGTGCTTTTGCAGCTGTACAGTATAAAAATCCTATAATATTCGACACAATGTAATATTGTTATAGAATAAATTGAATTGAATTGAATTGAATATATTTTTTTTTAATATTTATCCACAAAATACATTTTTTTTTTTTAATTTATTAACTGTGGTGATATCTTCGTTAAAAAATTACTGATTATTACAGTAGTTAATGCGCTAACTATCAATTCACTCTTTAACCCGTTTTGCCCAAAGATTGTCTGGAAAAGATTGCTTAGCGATAAGACCATCTTTTCTAGTGTACTTATTGAAAATCCTTCAACAATTTTTTTATACAACATAGAATGGCAAACAAGCTGACAGCCCACCTGATGGAAAGTGGTAACCGTCACCTATAGACATGAGCAGCACCATGGACATAACAGAGTATACTGTTTCGCCCTTGATACCCCCCATGCGCAGCCACTCCTAAGGACTCAGGTGTTATTCCTCTGTACGCTGTAAATTCACGCCATATCCCACCCTTCAAACCGAAACACAGCCATGCAAACACAACTGCTTCACGGTTGAAACACAAATAGGACAGAGGTGGCCAAGCAAACGACTTTTGTACAAAGTCTCCCTCTTGATACAATAGTGTTAAATAAATAAAAATGAATAACGAATCACGATGCAATATTTATCTTGTCCTTTCAAATATATACGTAAGAATTTTGTATCGTTTTTATTTTTTAATTGAACCTTAAAACACAATTTCTCCCAAATACTGAGCAAAAAATATACATTACATTATGGCAACCCTATTTACGTACACATGGATAAAAATGTTTACTTGTATATTTGGCGAAGCATTTTTATGGAGACACTCTATCTATATAACCTAAACATAACATATAATTACCTATATAATCTATTTCTTAATACTTGGTACAAACTTGGCACGATTTTTTATCGAAATCGATTCACGAATTAGATATAAACACCATGGGACTGATTACACAAGTGACATGATTCAATACATATTTTATAAACACATACATATTACGTATAGTAAACATTTACACAGATACAGACGTACACGTGAACACAAACGTTTGCATTGCACGGGAATCGAACCCGCGACCGATTAGTAGAGGACGCGCCGTGTAAACTGCTACACTATCAAAATAGTTTAGTTACAATTAACTGTGCATACATTAAAGTTACTGTACTTGTTCAGTACACAAACATAACAATATTCATTTTTCTTTTCTGGCAATTCACCACGTATTATAAGGTATTTTTCTTTCTTGTAGGTGGCAACACCATGCATTTTTTTTAATATCGTTATAACCTTAATCATTTGCGCTTGTGTAATTTTTATAATGTTATAAATTAATAGAATTGGCGGTTGCCATCCGCCTGACTGGGGTTGCCAATCCGCCTGCCAAGCGTGGCAACTACCGGTAAAATCCTTCAAGGGGAGGCTTATGTTCAGCAGCGGATCGTTAAAGGCTGATATAATGATAATGTCAGTCTGTATGTTTGCTTTGGTATTACGCAAAAACTACTGCACTAAATTTGATGCGGTTTTCACAGTTGCAGTCCTGAAGGTCTAATTTAAAATTCGATTTGTTTTAAAAGTGGGACCTTTTAAGTTGGAGCATCAACAAATTTTAAAACATATATTATATATATATATATATATATATATATATATATATATTTTAATACGCCATCTAGACGCATACGAAGTTGCGGGCAAAAGATAGCTTATAAAGAGTTGCATTTATTACTTTTTTGTTTTTAAATTAACTAATTATTTAAAAAACCAACAGATAAATATTTTCTTACTGTAAAATGATACGTTTTTTTTTTTATTTTGTTTATTGCGCCAAGTAAGAAAAACAGATTATATCTAGACATTATTACCTGAAAAATTCTAACAGGCATCATTTTCCATTTTGATCGTTTTCTTCTTCCCCCTTTTGGCGGGAATCATAATTTTACTTTTCCACTCCTCCATACCCACGACGTCCTCTATTTGCACCATTTGTCCCGTTTCCGAATCGATCGGGAACACGCCATCTGGTGTTATTTTCTTTTTCGAAGTGTCCGTTCCGTGCCGCCTCTTCATGTGTTTATTATAATTCGACCAGTTCGTGAACTCCATACCGCATTGCTGACACGAGTACGGCTTGTCACCGGTGTGTTGTCGCTCGTGATTCTTCAATATCTGCTTGTAACGGAACGCTTTGTTACAAAACTGGCATACGTAAGGCATAGAGTCGGTGTGCACGATCTTATGGGCGTTCAACTGGTACTGCAGCCGGAAACAGCGTCCGCATTGTTCACACGAGAACGGTTTCACACCGGAGTGCATCTCTACGTGTCGCCTCAACATATTCGGGTACAGGAATGCCTTATTGCAGATCCTGCAGACGTGCGGCCGTATCTTGTCGTGCGACATAATGTGCGACGTCAACGTGCCTTTATTGTAGAACATTTTGCCGCACCTCTCACATGTGTAGTTGCGTTTACGGTCAATTCTGTGCAACTTCACGTGGTCACGTAGACTGTTCGGGTTTTTGTACACCTTCTTGCAATGTTCACACGTTAGATCCTCAACTGTTATAGGTGTTCCTGGCTTCCTGCGAGGTTTCCTCTTCGATTTAACAGCACCGTACTCTTGGAGATGAGTCTTTAATGCATCTTCGTTCAATATTTCACCACATAAAGGACACGGTAGTTGAGACTTCTTAAAATGTTGTTTCAAATGCGTACCGATGGAATCTGCTTTGTCCAATACCTCGTTGCAATAATAGCAATAGTTCCTGAAAAAAGAGATTTTAATAATGTAATTGTATGTCTAAATAGTACATTTATTATAATCTTTTTATTATTATTATTTCAACCACTAACTATACATTGCTGAAGCCTCCCCCTTGGGGGGTGCCGTGTGGTTCCTGTATAGAATAGACCACTCCTTCATATCCTGTGGGTGTTGTAAGAACCGACTAAGGGAGGGCGAGGGATGGGCAGCAGCGTCCCTCTTAAAACATCTCCAAAGCCTGACTGCAGTTGCCAATCCGCCTGCCAAACATGGCAACTACTGGCAAAACCCCCCAAGGGGGAGGCTTTTTATAAAACAAGCCTTAAAAATGGCTGTTTGTCAAATGTTTCTACACTGTAAATGGTTTTATTGATATTAAATCAAAGGTTGTATTTATTGCTGTTATTGTAAACTATATAATGTAATTTTTTCCAATTATTTAATAATAAAAATAATTCAGAAATTTAGTGTTTGGATGTTTGTTCTGGCATCATGCAATGCAAACTACTACACCAAATTGGATACGGTTTTCAAAGGCCTACCTTACAACTGATGTTTTATCTTAATACATCATATAGGGGGGAAAGGGATTGTTAATAATGGAGACTGAGAATCCCATTGCTAACAATATACCCAACCAGGTCGACCTCCTCGCAGTTCCCCCTGGAAACTATCATGGTCAATTCCTAATGAATATAATTCATGATAGACTGGCCTGTTTTCATTCTCATCTATCACCCTTCACTGGTGCTCCGCCAGCATATCCCGTTAGCGCAGGCGGGGTTACCATGCCATTTTTACCCATCAAAAAAAAATAATCATGTAGAAATAGTCCATTTCATGAAATCCATACATACAAAGTCACAGACAAAAAGCTAATATCTTCCTAACTATATATATTTTTTATTGCACTTATAAAAAACATATTACCTGTATTTATCACATTAAATATAGGCCTAGTTGGTCAGTAGGTACCCATAGAGTTTCAAATAAAATAAAGACTTGCTGAAAAAATCAAAACAATCACCTGAGACTCTTCCGATGTTTCCTGACGTGTTTGATGAATGATGTAAAATTATCTTTCCTTGCTGTCTTACAATCTATACACATAAACACAGAGCACTTGTTGTGGACCGTCCGCGCGTGCAACCTCAACGTGTCTATGTCCAGAAACTCAATATTACACAATGAACACATCCACGGATAATCTTTCCATGATTTGATCTCATTTTTACCTAAATCTGATAAATCTTTCGCGTAAATCTCAATTTCAGACGGCGCATTACACATCGCCGCTTCAATAATATCATTAACGTCCAGTGTTTGGTCAAACTTCTCATCCACGTTCGTCCCTGTACCATGATTATTGAAATTATCAACAAGTTCCTCTTTAGGCTCACTTTTAACTTTAATATTTGTACACGTGAATGACGAATTTTTTGACACTTTCAATTGTGATTCCTCTTCCTTCACACCAACGTCGTCTTCAACCTCACCAGGTGACGGGTAATCACCGAATATTGCCATACAATCGTCATCAGGATGCGAGTAATTGCTCTCTTTATTTTTTAAAAATAAATCCAATAGCACGTCTTGTGATTTCTTGACACGATTTAAGAACTCATAAGCTTTATTTAATGAATCGTAACATATAAAACAGACAGTTTTCGGTAGCATATTTTCGCTTTGAACTTCAACATACAATGCGTTCAAGAATGTAAGTTTATTGTTGATTTCATTCCATTTCTCGCCGTCCGTTTGAAGGTTTAGTAATTTATTTAAACTTTTTGGTTCCGCACAGAATCGACAATATGTTTTTTCTGCGCTTTCCATTGTTATTTCATAATTATAGAAAATATTCTAGTTACGAAAGTAAAATACCTAATCAAACAAACCCCGATAGCATTAATTTTTTTTTTTTAGTACGTTTGTTCCGTTTGGAACAGGCTAAGGTCGGAGACCATGCTGCCTAGTCTTCAAAAAGATAATTTGTCTGGAATTTTATTTTTCTAATGTCGCTTCAATTATTGTCATAATCTTCAATATTTCATTTGTCAAATCCGGTAAGTACATTTTCATAAATATCTTTTCTTGAGTTTTCTTAAACCAGTGGATTTATCAAATTAAAAATAAATAATTATAAAAAATCATTGTCTTGCAATTCAATAAAAGTATTCTTATAGCTCCTTGAATGTTGTAGTAATATAAGTGAAAATAGCTTTGAAACAAGAAGGAAATCTTAAGAGAAGCGGGATTGAGTGCGGGATATTTTCGGGTTTTTTGAAGATAATCCTAAGTTCGTCAAACATAATGTGTCTTTGAATGACAAATTCAGAGCAATCAAAAAAAAAAAGGTGATGTAGAGATTGGGCTGTATTTGAGTTACACCATGTGCATGATGGGGAAGCGATCATGCCCATTCGGTGCAGGTGTTCGTTGAAATGTCCGTGGCCGATTCGTAATCTACAAATATTGGTGTAAAATTTTCTGTTTGTGTCCTTTCCTTTGCAGAACCACGGTTTTCCAATACGCCAATTAATTTTGCGGTACCATTTGCCTTTAGTCTGTAATATTTGAGTCCAATGCTCCTCCCATTTAGTTGTAACGATTTTATGTATTCCAATACTACAATCTGAGTAAGGGTAAATCTTGAACACGAGCAGCACTTGAATTAATAATTTTAGCCAAAGTGTCTACTTGTTCATTCCCAAACACTCCAATATGTGAAGGGGTCCAGATGAAGATAATATCTTTTCCATATATAGTACAGAGATGATAATATTTATTACGAATTTCTTGAATTAAGTAGTTTGATGATGAAATGATTGTGTTATTTTTTAATGCCATAAGAACACTCATACTATCTGTAATTATAATCCATTTCGAATATAGTACCTGTTTTTCTATGTATTCTAATGCTAAAAATATAGCTTTTGCTTCTGCTGTGTAAATACTAGCCAAAGTTGAAATTTTATAACCGTGACCAAATCTATTTGACAAATCGTAAAAAGCCACTGAAGTGCTAAGTGCATTTTTGGAACCATCTGTATATATCTGCCTGTAGTCAATAAATTCTGATAAAGTCTCATACATATCGTGCTTTTCTTTTATGTCTTTATGTATAACAATTTTGATCTTACAGAACTTACTCTCATAAAGGCCATTATAACAAGGAAGTATCTTACTACTATAGATGTTATATTCATCTCGTAAATTCAAATCATTGATAATAGTTTTATTCAAAAACATAGAAATGGGGCAATTTAATAATTTGAGTATGAGTGGGTTATTGGAAACTGAAAAAACTTTGAAGAGAAATTTGAGTTTTAGGTATTCGAAACGAAGAAGGATAGGAGGCAAATTACATTCTACTTGCATTGAGATAATTGGAGAAGTATACATAGCACCTAAAATAAGTCTTAAATTCATATTTTGAATTTTTTCGAGTTTTTCTACTAATTTATGTTCTGAGGCATAACAAAAGAAAGCGTAATCAAAATTACTTCTAACAAGAGATTTGTAAAGTAAAAGGATAATTTTAGGATCAGCTCCCCAGTTACGACCAATTACAGATCTTATTATATTAGTGGCTCTTAAAGCACGATCTACTAAGCAATCAACGTATAGATCCCATTTTAAATGCACTGGGATGAAAAATTACCCCCAGAAATTTAACGCTACAGTCTGTTGGAAGAGTTTGATTATTATATATAATATTCATTAATGGAACATATTTATGAACTTGATGAAAAACAACTACTTTACTTTTGGTTAAACTAATATCGAGGGAAAGAAGAGAAAAATATTTCTCAAGTCTTTTTAATGACTCATTTAACACTAATTGCATATCAATAATATTCTTTCCTTTTATATAAATTAATAAATCATCGGCAAATTGCAAGTTGTTCACACTGTTTCCTAAAACTAAATTAAGTTTATAGATATATAAAATATATAGTAGCGGGCTTAAAATACCACCTTGACATACTCCTTTAGAGCTTAACCTAGGTCCTATTAATTTACTATTTACTTTAACATACACTTCTCTATTACTAAGAAAATTATAAATCCATTCGATAAGTTTCATTGGAAGAAATGAGGATAGAATCGAAGATAGAACTGTTAAATTTACATTGTTAAAAGCTCCTACGACATCTAAAAAAACAGATAGAACATATTCATCGTTATTCAAAGCAGTACTAAGGTCGACATAGAAGTTCGCTAAACTTTCGCGCGCTGAATATCCACGGCGAAAACCAAATTGATTCGATGGTAATATACTATTACTTTCAATAAAGAACTCTAAACGCTGTTTAATTAATTGTTCGAATAATTTGCCTGCACAGGACGTCAATGTTATAGGTCTATAGGAGTCGAAATTTGTAGGATCTTTACCGGGTTTAATTACTGGAATCAAACAATCCATTTTCCATTCTGGTGGGATAATACAGTCCTTCCATAAATCGTTAAAAATTTGTAAGAGTTTAGTAAGGTTTATTTTATTCAGCAATCGAAACATATTGTATGTTAAGCGATCAAGGCCACTAGCTGTATCTTTTCTAGATTTTACTGCACTGGATATTTCATCAATTGAGAATGGGTCAGTGAGAAATTTTGGGCATGAATTAACAGAATTAAACTGTTTGTCATCAAAAGGTGAGTGTACAAAATCAGGAGTATATTTGCGTAAAAAATCATTGACCCATGATATATCTTTAAAATGATTTTGACGATGTTTTGAATTTAGTTTTCTCATATTTTGCCAAACAGTGGAAATTGGTGTTAATCTATTAAATTTGGAACAAAATTCCTGCCACCCCTGTTGTCTTACTTGCTTAATTACTAACTTTTTAACAGCTTGAACTCTTTTAAAATTTATGTAATTATCGAGAGTTGGATTTTGTTTAAACCTAAGGTAAGCCGCTTTACTATCATTGACAGCTGTCGCACACCTGTTATTCCACCAAGGTACTGCAATATGTTTGTGCCTCTTTGAAGTATTTGCACCGCTATTTGATAAGTTCCTACGTGGAACGGAACGTTCCACAGCTGTCAAAATAATTTTACAGAACCTATTGTAATTGTTTAAGGGTTCATTGACATCATACTCGAAATCCAAAAGTAATCGATTAACAGTTTCAGAATAAAGATCCCAATTAACGAGACGTAGGTTTATACGATTTAACAAAAGTTTATTAACTTCATCTATAGGAGCATGTTGTTCACCTGACGGAGTTGATGAAGAGTTCTTTGTGTTTATTTTAGTAAAAGTCGGCAGGTGATAACTTCCTAACGGATCATCATGAACCGACCACTCGCATTTTAATGATATGGATGGGGATACCATAGTTAAATCAAGGCCATTGGGTCTCCAAATATGAGAGCCAACAGTAGTAACTTGCTTATCATTTAATAGTACCAAATTACATTCATCTAAACAATCAAGAATGTCTTTACCTCTTGTATTAGTGGAGGTACAACCCCACATAGTATGATGTGCATTTAAATCTCCAGATATGATAGTGGGTTTAGGAAGAGACTCCAAAAAGAACTTAAATTTGGCTTTAGTAAAACTAGGTGTACTATTGGTAGGACAGTAAATACTGGCAACTGAATACCAAGAATTATTAACTTCAATACTAATAGCTATAGTTTGCAAAGAATTGTCGAAAAAAGAGTGAAGTTTTTTATATCTAATACTCTTATGTATAATAATCGCTACTCCATTGTGGTTATTACCACAATCATTTCGTTCTATACAATAATCTTTAATTTTTAATTTGTAATGTGGTTTTAGCCAAGTTTCTGAGATGAGAGCAATGTGAATATGATGTTCATTTAAAAATTGTGTAAAAATATGTCGATTGCTCAGTAGGCTCTGAGCGTTCCACTGTATGATAGTTAATTGGTCTCGATTGAATTTTGTGAAATAGGTCTATTACCAAAAGTATCATATAACACATTCAAAACACTTTTAGTGTTAATAGATGTGTTCTTTGTGTTATGTAGTGAAATAAGTTTGATTATGCTTTCTATTAAAAGTGATAAACTCTTGTTATCAGAATTTAGAATTGAAATTAGGTCTACATTTTTTTTAGGTTTGTTACCCAGTTTAGGAAATATTTCAGTGCTAAGTATATCTCCAAAAGAAGCAGGTCTGAATTTAGATCTATTTTCAGCAATTTTCTTTTGTTTAACAGGGCATTGCGGTGATACACTTGTGTGATTTCCATTGCAGTGTACACAAATAGCGTTTTCCATTCCAGTTGTACAAGTTTTATAATTATGCTCACCTTTGCAGATGCTGCAACACTCAGAATTCTTACAGAATTTAGCTAAATGTCCATACCTCAAGCACCGGTAGCATTGTTTAACTGGTGGTATATATGGAGTGACATTGTGGCGCCAACCTCCAATATCCAGATATTCAGGTAATACAGATGCAGCAAAAGTAATTGTCACGGTTAGAGTTGGCTGTAACACATATCCATGAGTCAAGGTATTTTTTCTTAAAATTCTTTTAATAGCAATAATTTTCTTAGAACTCGATATCATAGTATATATTTTTTTATTAGATATATTTGTAGGTACATTTCTAATAACGCCTGTAACTTCTGTTGAAGAAGCAGGAATACTGGCCTTAAAATGGTAGTCATTTAAAAAAGTTTTATTATTTAAAAAAGCATTGGCTAAGTCTGGCTTTTGAAAGTATACTCCGATTTTGAATTTATTTATAGATCTAAGATAAGTTACCCCTTTATTAAAACGTTTCAAACAGGAGGAGAGTGAGAGCAAGTCTCTGGATCCAATGGTTTTCTGACTATCTGAGGATTCTACAAAGACAACAAATTCTGTCCCAGGGGATTCCTCGGGATATCTTCTAATATAATCTGTGACGTAGTAAGGTTTATACTTATCGGCCTTATCAATTTCAGATTCTGAGTCAGTAGAAGTATCTTCCGAATATATATCCTTGTCATTACAAGGTTCATGGTCTACATCACCTGAATCGTCATCTTTTTTTTTCCTTTTCCTACAACTGCGCTTCCCCATGAATGCTAATTATATTACTGTCACTGAATTTAGTGAAAATATAATATTTTATTCAATAATAAGAATTGATAGAGATAGTTTTTATAAATTAATAAAAAAATTTAAAAAACCCGCTTGTTCTTATTCGAGTTTCCCGCCTTTTTTTTTTTTTTTTTTTTTTCCCGATAGCATTAAAAAAATTTACATGACACTATCTTGAGATTTGACATTGACTGTTACACATGACAGTCAAAACGACTTTGTTATAGAGTAATAAGTATGTTTAGTACTAGCATCGCTACTTACTAATTAATGGAAAATTTACAACCTCGGTAAAAATAAATATGTTTTTGAATTAACCTAAATCTCTAATCTAATTGAGTAAAATTTAAAAAAAATAACAAACAAGAATATCTTTGTTGATTTCATTTCCAACATCTCCGTAATCTGTGATTTAAATCGTAGAATACTGCTTTCCAGGTCCGTAAAATAAAGAAAATTGATACATATTTAATTAAAAAAAAAAATCTATGATAAAAAAAAACTAAACAAATAATAACAATAATAATAAATTCTAAAAGATAATTTTTTACCAAACTCAAATCAAATTTTTATAATAAAATGAATAATTCAGATTCCGCTTATTGTAGATTTTGTGCAGAAATAAAACCTGACAATAAGATGACAAATTTGCAATTAGATGATCAAAAAAGGGACGAAATATTCAGCAAACTAAACAGATTAAATGCAAATATGGACCTTTGTGACGATTTGCTACCGAAAACCGTGTGTTTTGTATGTATTCACGCGTTAGACAAGGCATACGAATTCGTCAATGGCGTGGAACATGCCCAAACTGTTTTAAGCAGTATTATTTTAAATCAAATAAAGAAAGAAGACTCGTTATCAGATTCCGAAACATATTCGTATGAATTTCACGATGAAGTTAAATTCGACGAGAATGATATCAAATTGGAATCTGATAAAGTTAATGCTGGAATGAATGAAAGTCGTTCTAAACATCTTCGTAATGGTACTGGCTGTTTGATGAAGAAAAATAAGAAAAAAAGACCTAGAGAGAGTGTCAAGAATAGTTTAGATGCTATACCGTTGGCGCAGCTCAAACTAACTTGGAGAGACTATAGTTGGACTTGTGCATACTGCGAAACTCAATTCCAATCTGTTGATGAGCTAAAACTTCATTCAATTCAATACCACAATTGTTGCAATGCTTTTAAATGTAGCGATTGTAATATTCGAAAGTTAAAACTAGACAGCTTTGTTATACATGTAAAACGACATAAGAAATTCCTTAAATTGTCTTGCTACAGCTGCTACATGAGATTTTCAAGTCCACACGAGGTTAATGTCCATAAAACTTGTCATATTACATCAGAGTATTCCTGTAATGGTTGTAACACCATGTTCGAGAGTTTAGAAGAGATGAATCAACATACTTCTTTGTATTTTAGAGATAAACGCGTAAGAGAGATCCCTATGATAAACAATTTGAGTAATAATCTAACTTGTGTACTTTGTAAGAAATCATTCAAACACAAAGGCAGCTTGAATACGCACCTTTTGATACATACAGAAAGAAAACGTGACCACACGTGCGAGAAATGTGGGAAATGTTTCTTGAATAAACAAAATCTCGCTGGTCACATGTTGTTACATAATGATAGCAGGCCCTTTAAATGTGAGATATGTAAAGCGACGTTCAAAACATCAGGACATTTACGTAACCATGTTGGTGTGCATGATGCACAGAAGCCATTTGCTTGCGATCAGTGTGGACGCTGTTTTCGTCTTCAGAAACAGTTATCGTCTCACCGGATAATACATACTGATTTGCTTCCTTATGTCTGTACTTATTGTAATAAAGGGTTCCGTTTCAAAACTATTTTAAATCAACATATACGTCTGCATACTGGAGTAAAACCATATTCGTGTGAGCTCTGCCAACGAGACTTTACAAATTGGCCCAATTATAATAAGCATATGAAGAGAAGACATGGTACGGACATGTCAAAGAAGAAACACACACCAGACGGGGTGTATCCGATAAATCCTAACACTGGGGAGGTTATTATATACCCAGAAACGAATAGTACACTGGAATGGAAGAAGAAAATGATGGTGCAAAGAAGGCCTGGCCGGCCAAAATTAAACCTTAAGGGTGAGACAACAGATCTGGTATTGCCACAACCTGAAAACTTGAGTAGGAATATTTCTAATAGTGATGCAGTCCAAGAATAAATATATAAAAAAGTAGTTTTATTGTTATATGTATTTAAAATAATTTAAAATATACCTAAACAGACTTTAATATAAAATGCAGCAATATAATTTTATTTCTATATTAGTTATTTTAAGCACCTTTTACATGATATTTTTCCACTTGGCTATTAATAAATAATGTTGCCGTATCTAGTCTTAAAATCCTTATAATTTGGGTAACGTAAACTAATGTAGTTTCTATACTCAAATTATTATTTTTTTTTTGTTTATTTGTTCTCTAACTATATTACCAATTTGAATGTTTTGAACTTTTGTACGCAACATACAATTTCGACATGGCAACACCTAATGAAAATGGAAATGAGTGATTGTATTTGATCACATGTGGAAGTGGCTGCAAACTGCAGCAATTTTTATACAAAATGTAGGTATAAAGTTTTTTCTAAGTTTGTACAGATTAGACTTGGTAGCTTTTTTCATTACTAATTATTTGCTAATCTTGTAATGGCCACCTAAACAACTGCACAGCACAGTAATAATATATTCTATGATGGATATACCCCAAAAGTTTATTACCTGTTCCACAGCACTGATTCAGAGAAATACATTCTTTATTTTATAAAAAACACGTTTATTCATAGTATTATAATGTTATTTAATCCTGTTAATATAATTGTTTTTGTAATTAGTAAAGGAGAATTGTTAATACTATGTTAGATTTTTGAAAAAAAAAACAAAACATCACACTGAGTACCTCAAGCCATATAGACCCCCCCCCCCCTCGAGTTAACCAGGCCAAACCCCTCAGTTTGGCCAGTTTAAATATCCTAAATCTCAATTTTCTACCACAGAGTGGCAAACAAGCATACAGACTCTAGTCTTATTTTACTGACATAAGTAAATTATATAAATATATTACCTATATAACATGTCTTGGGCAAATATCTATGTGAGAATTTCTCACATACATAGAGGAAGGAGGCCAACACTAAATGGGAAGAGGGCAGGTCCTGAAAAAATTGGTTAATTCGTGAATTTTTAACGAATCTGTTATGATTTTTTGTCGTTTTTAAGATGTTGTTACTTTATTAAAAGAAATGTTCCGCCATACTGTAATGGTGCCTTTATTTGTAATATTTATAAGTATTAAAAAGGACGTAAAAATTGTTTTATGTCAGTTAAGTTTCTATTATTTAAGCTAGTCATCAAAGGAAAATATGAATGAGTTTCCTTAGACTTATCACAAAGGTACCGCTATTAAAATAAAAAAAAAATATGACATTATATTTAATTTTATTTACAAACTAATAAAGCTAAACATCTAGGTGAGACCTTTTCATTGAAAATCTTTTTAAATTTACAATTCATCAATCCTTTTTCTTTCAAATATACAAGTCTGTCGTACAAAATGAAATTTTCTAATACTGGCTGCAAATACTTTTGTAACAACACAAAAATGGCGGCCTTTTTAAATGTCACATCTGAACAATTTTGGCGCCAAATTTCTCGTAGTTTCTCGAAATCAAATTGTTTTGCAGATTCCGGGTTTTTATCATCATTTTCGTTATCTGAACATGTGTTTGGTATCAAAGTATATCCCTCCGAAGCATCTTGGATGTATGTTTCAAAATTTTTATCTACAGATTTCATTTTAACGGCTTTTCTTTTATTTCTTCTTAATTGGCAGTTATCTGTAAACAAATTTAATACATAAATACCTACGATTAGAATAAGAAAAAGGGTTGTTCTCGAGTTGTTCTAACTTAACTAAAAGTACTTTAACATACACTACTGTAAATGAGACACGCGAAGTACTTTTTTTTTTGTGTGATAATGGAATGGTAACCCCGCTTGCGCTATCGGTATACCCTGGCGGGACACCAGAGAAGGATAATAGGTGAAGATGAAGCAGGTCAGTTAGCCCACTGTGACGAATCTCCACGCGACATACTGATCAGGGACTGCACAGACTAGAAACTTACCCGAAATGTTCGTTACACATTTCTATTGTTCTTCGTGTAAACAGGTCTTAAATAGCCCAGCCCAGTTGGCAGAAAGTTACGGTCCAGACTTCCAAGATCTTTTTTTTTTTACAACTTAGAATGGCAAACAATCTGACGGCCCACTTGATGGAAAGTGATAACCGTCGCCTATAGGCATGAGCAGTACCATGGACATAACAGAGTATACTGTGTCGCCCATGATACGCCCCATACGTTGCCATTCCTGAGGACTCCGATATTATTCCTCTGTACCCAGTAAATTCACTGCTATACTCGTATCTCACCCTTCAAACTGAAACACAGCCATGCAAACACAACTGCTTCACGGTTGAAATACGAATAGGACAGAGGTACCCAAGCAAACGACGTTTGTACAAAGTCTTCCTCTGGCTGATCGAATTCCATCTTGGACATCCAAATTGTAATCAAACACATAAACATAATTATACAGAAGACCAAAGAGACGAAGAGACAAAGACCAAAATCTGCCACTATGTCTGACGTCTATAGATTATAAGAAAGTCTTTGATTCGGTCGAATACTACAGTCCGTCCAGCGGTGCCAGATTAATAATTGATTACATATAAATGTATATGAAGTTTATAATAATGAATAAATATATTCGCATACATATACATATCTGTCACGCCTGCCTCCCATTAGGGTAGGCAGAAACAATGGAACGCCAAATGCTTCGATTCAAACAAACCTCTTTCGCTTCTTCCACATTCATCATTCTTGTCATACACGCTCGCCGGTTACGGGTACTTTTAATTTGGTCCTTCTTTAGCACGTCGCCTATTTGGTCGACATACGTCCGTCTAGGGCGGCCCCTACCGACATCTCCATTCATTCTTGCTCGATAAATCTCTTTCGTAATTCTTCTTTCATCCATCCTTTCCAAATGACCAAACCGACGCAACATTTCTTTTTTTATTTTTGTCACTACATCGTCTTTCAGTCCACACTTCTCTCTAATCACAATGTTTCTTACTTTATCTATTTATATATTTGCATACTTTTGCATTATATGACATAGGGAGTAAAATAACACAAACAACAGATATAATGGAGTCGATTCTGATGTGATACATCTCTAAACCTGTCTCTAGAATTAAAATTTCAATTTGATATCACAGCTAAAACTTTATTGTAATAAACAATATGAACTAATGTTCTAATAGATTTAAATTAAAATTATTGTAGTTTATGATGGTTTATAAAACAGTAACAATATTATCAAATTAAAATACTCTCAACGACTGGCCGCGCTATGCCGTCTCACTAAGTGCTTTTTCACGCTACGTTTGGAGGATACGAGGTTAAAGGATGGAGGAAATGCATCTTGGGAAAGACCAATCGACTCGTCATGGTATGGTTCAAGTAAGATTTGGCAAACTTGAGCACTTTCAATGGAATAGACGGTAGAAGACACCAAGGGAGGCTACATCTTGGTCTTGCAGAAAGCGATCTTCTGATAATATTACGGTAACAGATACTTACGTGTATTGGCGTAAAGCTGTAATGCAGATCTTGCCAGAAGGTTAAATACCATTTCTTCCAAATTATCGTCGAAATGCGGCGGCTGGGCTCCCAACCTTAAGAACGGCACACTTATGTACTGATAACTTACTCTTTCTTCGAATATAACTCTCAATGAATTTGATAAAGGAAAATTTCTAAATCTACCATTATTTCTCAACATTAAATGATAACAACACGACATTAAAACCATAGACTTAGCGTCCGCCATCTTTAAAAACAAATTAATGGCGGTTACAGTCAAATCCGCGCAAGCATGAAGACCCGTAATACAAAATGCCCCACACTTATAGAATTTATCTTGTAAATACTCTTGTATATTTGTGTGAGAATCATCATTTATTGTATGTTTTATGTATTTAACTCTTTTTGTCGAGTTCTCGTGGTATTTTCTTTGCCGTTTTTTAGCGTTTACATAATGTCCCTCGTTACATTCTATGCCCAATATTTTGTAGTTGGAAATGTCAAATAGTCGTTGATCGAGATATCCCTGAAAAGTTAAATAATTACGACATTAATCGCTTGATCCTCAAATTAAGGTACTTTGAGTTATGAAGAAGCAAATAACGAATATCTAGGGGACCCAGTTTTGGACACTCAGACCAGACAATATAGAAAATTCTTTGGCTAAGCTACGTAAGGGAAATCAAATACTGGGGGATTGTAAGTATTGTTAGCAGACCTTCCCGCGATCCCCCTCGAAAGCATTATTCCTGATGGATTTGTTACGATATGCTAACTAACCTGACTTCTATCATCACTCACGGGTACCCCGTCTACGTATACCAATAACGAAAAGCGCAAGCGAGGTTAGAATTCCATTTTCAAACATTAAAACAATCATGGTGTGATGATATATAATTCCTGAAGATTAAAAGTTTAATAGTTATACATCCTACCAGTTCTTAATATTAACATAATTCTTACCAATCCTGAGCCAAAATCGACAATCGTATCGCATCCACTCTCTTCACAAACATCTCTTATTTCCTTCGCCAGGTATATTATCTCATGTTTCTTTTTGGGACTTAATGGAGCATCTATAGTTTCTGACAAAGAGGAATCGTCTATGAAAGTGTTGTGTGCAACACTGAGTCTTTCAAGTTTGTTGAAAAACTTATTAAGAAATACACCTTCACTATCTTTTAAGTTGAATTTCTTATCGAAAACATCTAGATCGTCCAAATTCTCGACTTGTATTTCTTCTAATATATTATTCACGAGAATATCCGTATTGGCGCAGCTGTATAAGTACTGGTATTCATTGAAGAACGTAAGACATTCCTCGAAGTAATTCTCTGACTTATCGAAGACATTTGGTAAAGACATTGTTTAGAATCTGTGGACAATCGTGCAGAAGTAAGATACAATATTTTAGCCACTACATTGGGAAATTAATGGTTGAAAGATAGGTAGCAGTGTCCCTATTTAAATATCACCAAAGTCTTACTGCGATTGTCAACCCGCCTGCCTGGGGGGAAAGGGATTGTTAGTAATGGGGTCTAATTGACCCATTGCTAGCAATACACCCTATCAGGTCGACCTTCACGCGGTTCCCCTTGGAAAACATCGTAATTAATTCTAGTGGAATTTGTCACGATGGGTTAACTGACCTGCTTTCATCGTCACCTATCATCCCTCACTGGTGCCCCGCCAGCGATATACCGATAGCGCGGGCGAGGTTACCATTCCATTATCACCCATTAAAAAAAAACCCGCCTGCTTACCAGGGGAGAGGGATTGTTAGTAATGCAAACTACCAATCCCATTGCTAGCAATATACACTGTAAGGTTGACCTTCACGTAGTCCTGGAAACTATTGTGCTCAATTCCAGGTGTATTCATTACGAAGGGCTAATTGATCTGCTTTTTCATTCTCACCTATTGTGGGCGACAAAGGAAACCAGAAATGGAAATTTATGTATCTTGGTCAAAGGAACTTAGAAGACTAAGGCCGTGAAGGCAAGCCAAAAGGAAACAATAAAGATGCTTGTCAATTTCGAATTTGGTAAATAATAATATATAATTATAAATAATATATGTGGCCTGTACTCCACACCTTTCATCCCTCACTGGTACCCCGCCATTGTATATCGTTAGCGCAAGCAATTCCATTATCCGGCAAACATCTTTTATTATTTTTTATTCTGATTACAGCCCAGAATATCCAGAACCAAACCCAATAGATGTTCTTTTTGGAAATTGGTACTTAACCGAGATTCGAACCCAGAACTTATTTACGCAAAACCCAATGATCATATTAATTCTACTAGAAGTAGCAAAAAGCTGACGGCTCACCTGATGGAAAGTAATAATCGCTGCCAATCTTGGATCGTGAGCATACCTCGTATGTCTATCAACCTGTTATTCGTGTGAGACAGAGAGACTACATTGTATCACCAAGCGCGGATCTACCGTTTTGGGCACGATGGGCAGGCTCACAACCCTAATAGACTTGACGCCTTTTAGTGGCGTAGCGGGCCGTGGCGCTGACGTTAATAGTTTTTTTTTTTGTACCGTTTGTAAACATAGGAAACCAAACTTGAATTGAGGAGGGAAGGAATTATTAGTAATGTGGACTACCAGTCCCATTGCTAGCAATGCTAGCTATACCCTGTCAGGGTGACCTCCACGTGGTTCCCCCTGGAAACCATCATGCTGAATTCCAGATGTATTCATCATGATGGGCTAACTGACCTGCTTTTTCATTCTCACCTATCATTCCTCACTGGTGCCCCGTCAGTATATATAGTTAACGCAGGCCATTATCATCCATTAAAAAAAACTTGAATAAACTAATGTTTTACAGGTTTATTAATTTATTAGGGTTCACGCCACAGCGTAGCCCATGTGGTATCTATCTATCTATCCATTTAAGAGCTGCGCTCTTGTCGGTGGAGCTCTTGCCAGTCACTACGATTTTCAGCGAGTCTCTTCACCTCTTGATACGACACGACACCAACTCCTTCCTTGATCTGCCTGATGTAACTATGTCTCGGTCTCCCTCTCCCCCATGTGGTATACACATGTATATTATATACTATACAAACTCTTGGTCAGGACGGTTTACATATATGTAACATCTTTGTGGGACTCGCATTACATCGATCATGAGGGAATTCATCCAACTCACACTCGACCGATTTTCTAGTGGCTGTGACCACAAACTTTTTTGAGGACATGACAATGTGTATCACTAATTTGTAAGTAAGTACAGAAACAAAACACAACACGAATGGAGGTAAAAGAAGGTAAACTAATAACCTTATCTTTTTTCGTCGTTTAAGTCGCTTAAAAATTTTCTATACCAACCAAGCCACCTGACGAGCCTGATAATAGCAGACTATTATTCTCTTGTAGAAAGAAACCAATGTATATTGGGTAGTTATGACGTCGAGCGCCACGTGCTATTAAAACTATTATTAGAATAATATAACGTTTATTAATAACAGTCTCTTTTATACTCCTAAATAAATATAGTTTAGTTATTTACTAATAACTAAACTATATTTATTTCGGTACTCCGAAACTAAAGTACGGGATATTAACTTTACAAGATAACGCGACAAACCAATTACAATATTATTAGTCTACATATAGCAGTAATCAAAAATTCATGTTCTTAATCATTGCAATTTTATGAATCTGGAGAATTCTTTAAAGAGATAAATCCAGGGTTATATTCACAGACACAAGTTTTACACAGGTCTTTGCATTTTATCCATTACTCTTTATGAGGAATGATTACGCTTTTAGCTATGAAACGAAACCGAACAATCAGACAAGGCTTTATAATTTACCAAAAACCCTTTGAGCAAATGGCCAATAAATAAATAAAAAATGTATACAATTCAATCTCCCAAATACGGCAGAATAAGTGGATATAAAGGGCATAACGCGACGCGTTCGGTTCCTTCGACACAATGCGTTCACCTTTACAAAGATGTTTTAAACTAAATCCGTCACTGAATAAACTTATATACTCGCACATTACTGAAGTAAGTTATCGTAAAATATATGAATAATACTATATACATCGAAACGTACAGTAAACTTCGCCTTTAGTTGCAGTAACTTCTAATATATCTTGTAACTGAGCAAGTTTTCTTGCAGCTTCTAAATTTTTAAAAGTTTTTGACCATAAAGATTTACTGAGCACAGTAAGTTGGAAAACAGAAGCTGATCATGACTAGTCTAAAACTCTAAGCGTCTAATGTAGTATGCAGATTAGAGAATACCAAATCCTACTGTTGCGGCCCACTTAACTTTTCCCAAACTTCATTGCTTTGTCCCAAATCAGCGGCGCCTTCGCCAATCACACATTTTCCATACCATTTATCTACAGACAAATATTTCTTGCAAACATCCACCAAATCTTCCTTTTGCACTGCCAAAACTCGTTCTCTTTGTGTCTGCCAAATATCATATGATAATCCATAGAGGAAGAGATCAACTCCTTTCATGTATTCTGCGACTGGTTGATCCATCTGTTGCAAAATAGACAATTTCGCTTCAAATAAGTTTTGATCATCAACTAAACTTGTGTTCTTTGCCATCCAATCCGCTGTTTTGTCGAAAACGTCCAAAGTTACTTTGGAATTTGGATCTCTGTAAGAATAAAAGTTAAAAACTCCATCCATTGTAAGTGTAGCTCCTCCGCCGTATGCCCCGTTTTGCTCCCTAACAATTGGGTGCAAATATTTTGAACTTAAAAATCTAGACAAAACACGCAACTTCGCAAAATCTGGATCTGTGTATGCTACAGTTGGAATTACTTTAGCGCAGAAATTAACCGGTATGTTCATTGAAATATGAATGCCCCGATTTTCTTTGGGCATGTTTTTACTGTCGGTCCAATTAATACGATTTAAATCTTTACTCTCATCGCCATTGCATAAATCTATGCAAAATTTGTCGAGTATTTTGTGAATATCTTTATTAGTATTACAGTAATGGAATGCAGCTCTCAAATTATTGCCTTTTAGAACTTGATTCGCTATTTCATTGACTATGGACTGTATCTGATCGATTTTGTAGTTCTTCTGCACCTCCTGCATGGTCATAACGTGATGCAATCCCAATAAACCTTCTTTGCATTGGTCTACTGAGGAGATCAGTGACCTAGCTGCTTGCATGGCGTATGTATGACCACTGTCTATGACGCCGCTAGTCAACGATGAGCAATAATTAGTGAGTAACATTGTCATTCTTTCGCTGTTCTCAAAATTAGGTTTGTTGAAAATCTCAGACCAAATATCCAGCATTTTTGGCAGATTTTCGTCAAGGCAATGACTGCTGATCAAAACACCTTGCTCATACTGCTCTTGTTGACCAATATGTTCAGTTATATGTGTGGTGAAACCCAACCCAGAAGTAGTCTTGCTAACATGTTTGTCAAAATCTCTGTAATTATATGATTTTGTGTCAAATTTGTCTAAAATATAGTTGAAAAATGGCAAAAGCTGCCTTTGTTTCTCATTTAGACATTCTGTTCCAAGAACACCTTTGAAATACGTCACTCCATTCGTATTGGCTTCACAAAGCTGAAGAGGTATAGTTTCTGACACAGTATGCTTTAATGGTGGAGCAGTTTTGTTCAGAGTGATTTCATCAATTTTCAAACATGGGAGAGCATCTAGATTCTCAACTTTCTTTTGTGCTTCTGAAAGTGCCAATCCATCATGATATATCCTTTCTTTGTCTTCATTTGTCAATGCCTTCACTTTAGACTGCAATAGTTTAGCTTCTGCTTCATTGAAAATATCATCAAATTTAGGATCAGGCTGCATAGTCATTATCAGTTTATGATTGTTTGATAGGAAGTATCTTTCAATTACATCTTTTACATAGACAGGATTCATAAGATCTGTTTTTAATTTATTAAGTAAATCATTCACTTTTAACGCATTCAAAATCGGTCCATTATGATTCCAAAGTGGCATTAGATTGAATAGGACATTTAACCCGAATTTAGGCGATTGATGCTTGATTGACAGCTCAAAACCATGCAGAACACTTTCAATGTGATCCTTATCAAAACCTCTAACAAATATATCTTCAAGAGTTTGATTTGCAATCTTTTCTACTGTTTCAAATTTAGATTTTTCAACATCTCTCAATCCAATTACAAATAATGTGTCTCTAATTTGATTATCATAACCAGTTAATGAATTGTAACCTCCTGATATGTTCTTCTCAATCAGACTCTTGTAGAAAGCTGAATTTGGTCCAATAATCATTAATTCAGCTAATGCTGTTAACATGAAAGTTTCATATATGTTTGTAATGTCAGACATTATATATCCAATGGCGATTTGATTCTGTTTTTCTATTGGTCCACCATATTGGTCTAGTCTACACGGGATAACTGCACGCTTTGGTGATTTCCACCTTTCTTGTGGTGGCACTATTGTATTTTTAGGATCCAAATAGTCATATTTGCTTAAATATGATTCATTTACAAACTTCAAGTTTGCTTCAAGTGGAAAATTACCATAGGAATATATTCTAGCATTACTGGGATGGTAGTGTGTAGCATGGAATTTTTTTAAATGCTCATGTGTCAACTCCGGAATGCACAATGGGTCTCCACCTGATACATAACCATATGTACCTTTAGGTAGTATAGTGTTCATGAACTTTTGACCGAAAAGTGAGCTAGTTTCAGAAAATGCTCCTTTCATTTCATTGTAAACAACACCTTTAAATTGTAACTCTGATTTTTTATCCTCTAACTTTGTATGTTCTAATCTCCAACCTTCTTGTAAAAAATCTAACCTAGACAGATTTGGTTTGAAAACTGCATCTAAATAGACTTTTTGTAAATTCCTATAATCAACCTCATTTTGCGAAGAGAATGGATAAAAAGTGTAGTCTGGGCCAGTGAGTGCATTCATAAAAGTTGCAAGTGACCTATTCAGCATTTTAAAGAATGGATCTCTTACTGGATACTTTTCTGAACCACATAATACTGTATGTTCTAAAATATGAGGAGTCCCCATAGAATCTAATGGCGTTGTACGGAATCCCACTGAAAAAACATTGTTAGTGTCTTCTCTCTCTAAATGCAAATATTCTGTTTTAGTTTTTTCATGTATTAAAAAGTATGCAGTGATATTATACTCGTTTATATGTTCAATCTCTGAGCAAAGGAAACCATGTACAGATTTTCCGGGCTGTATATTTTTTGCGTGGGATTCCTTCTTCTTTAGAATGCTTCCACTGTATTGTCTCGTATAAGGTAAGTGTCGAAGCCTCATCCATCCTTGATTATGAAGTCTTGAATACATTTTTCTTTTTATAATGTCCACAACGCTCCTGGAAGTACACACAACACTCACTATTTTAACAAAATAGATGAAATGGATCTTCTAGGTAACATTAAGTGTAATGGTTAAAATACTGATGACCATCCTAACGGTATAACCACAAACATGTAACATGTTCTTATACATATCTTTGTAAAAATAAATATTTACAGAAAATACATCCTACATTTTTCACTCAAAGTTCCGCAGTTTTATAAAATTAGCAACTTAAAAAATTATAAGTAATATTGAAAATTTAAATAATTTATTATGTAAAATAAAGAACCGATTCTAAACTTAATTTTTTAACAAATATTTTGGTGTAATTTAATAATAATTTACATTCAAGATGAATGTATGGAGAAAACAAATGAAATGTGATGCAACTTTGATACTTACAGAATGTTGTGTAATATAGGCAATTCAATTTTTTATGCAGAAATATAATAATCTTGGGTATTAATTTGCGAAAATTAACAAAATTATCACATATATATCATTTTTAAAGCCGAATCCTAACCTCAGAAAATAGTAGATACGATCTAATTTCATGAATGACAGCGATGACATTGACACTACTGATGACAATCCATAGATTAATGGAAAGAACAATTCCGAATCCTTTGGTCGATTTTGAAATTGAGACGCGATTTCTCCACAGGCGTTTCTCTAAACTAATCTAATAATTTAATTTAGATATATTTAAAAAATCGATAGATCGCTATATGTGCATAGTTATTTTAGATCGTTAGTTATGGAAAAAATGTAACTGACATTATGAAGACTGACATTTGAGATAGAATGACAAGTGTACGACGTTCCTTTTTCTCTTTAAAACACGTGTTTACGTGATGCACTCGTTTAGAGTGTTTATTTTAACTAAATAGTTATAAAATTAATTCAAAATGAGTTTATACAACTTCAAAAAGATCGCCGTAGTGCCTACGGCTAAGGTAAATATATAAAAGTTATTAAACACTGCTATGAAATTTTTCTTTTAATATTTGTTCCAATATAACCTGTTACACATTATCTTTCAGGATTTTGTCGACATAATATTGTCGAAGACACAAAGGAAAACACCAACGGTGATACATAAGCACTATAAGATATCCAGGATACGTGCATTTTACATAAGAAAAGTTAAATTCACACAACAAAACTTTCACGATCGGTTATCACGGATTATACAGGTATCTTCTTTTATATTTACAATTTAAAGTTTCAAGATAAACTTTTAAATTATTTAAATAATATTATAGTAAACATACAAATAATTTTACACACTCTCCCACACACATACATTCAAATACACACAGGGAGCACATTATTTCACAATTTTCATTATTACCAATAGTTATAATTAGATGAATTAACTTTATATAAAATCAACATTCTATTTGTAGCACTAAAAATTTTGCTGAACTAATATTATACTATGTAATGAGGGTTGAGCGCTGTTGTCTGAGATACAGGTTTTATAACCTAGTTCAGACACAGATGTTTAAACTGATAACTGATCTTCTTTTTTAAGCTGTAATGAATATTAATCACTATATATTTAGTGCTTTAGTTCATTTATAGTCTATGAAATACATTTTTGTATTAAATACCAGTATGTTTACTTCCTGATGAATATGTCACATAACACCAGCTGGCCTGATCTCTCTCATATGATCTGCCATACAAATGTGTTTTTAATCTAAAATTTCAGGAGTTCCCAAAACTGGATGATGTTCACCCATTCTACGCCGACCTCATGAATGTGCTGTATGACAAGGACCATTACAAACTGGGTCTTGGTCAACTGAACACGGCCAGACATCTTATTGATACGTAAGTAATGCTATTTGTATGATGGTGGCGCCCTCTGGGGTGTAAGGAAATTGCTTTATATGAATCATAACAGTTAGTATTCATTTCATATAATCCATAGATAAAATTAATTTAATCCATAGATAATCTTTAATATTATGACATATTTATATATTATTATTTTAAAAACCTGTTAAAACCTAGATAATAAACACAGAAGCAATTCTCTTTTTAATCTGAGAGTGTTGCGGTTATGAATGCACCAATTGGTAGTTCAAAATTGTTTGCAATAATTTTGTTACTTCTAAACCAGTTTTACTAATCATTTTTCTAGATTTTTTATTTAATATACAATCAATAACATTAAAAATATTTATAGAAAAACAATAATATGAACTAGATTAAGACCCAGACATGGGTACACACAACATGGTTGAAGAATTTAAAAATTGATAAGGAAGTTATACCATGCAGTCTCATATTAATTGTACATACTATATACTCACTAAAATATATCTTTTTGTCGCACTGAATCTATTATACTGGGAAGACATTAGCAGACTAACTTTTTTTTAAATTACCCACTTTAATACATGACAGTATGCAAAACTTTAAATTAGGATATTGTTCTTTTACCCCCTTATTCAGAAAAACTTTAAATCTATCATAAACACATTTTAAGTATTGAAGTGTTTTGTCTTTTTCTATTGCACTGAATTCTTAATATGAAAAAAGTAATAAAACAATAATTATAATAGGTCTGTAGAAGGTTTTAGTTTTTAATGAATGAATGAATGAGTATATTTGCATTATACAATATAGAAAATAAGCAAGACACTTTATAAACACAACGATACAATTGTATAAGTACAATAAGGCGGTCTTATTGCTGAGAGCAATCTTTTCAAGACAACCTTAGGGTAATGGACTAATTGTTGTACATGTATATATACATACATATATATATATGTATATATATATATATACATATATATATATATATATATATATATATACATATATATATATATATATACATATATATATATGTATATATATATATATATATATATATATATGTATATATATACATATATATATATGTATATATATATATATATATATATATATATATATATATATATACATAAAAATGAGGATCGAGTTCTACACCTGTCTGTAGGCTAACTTAATATGAATTGTGATAAAATATATTAAATTAGATATAAAATTGCATAATAGTAATGCCCATTTGATGTGATTTTAAACTTATTACAATCACATTACATCCAAAGTCAGTCTGCAGTTTGTGTCTAAGCTAAATTATTGCTCATGTGTAAACCAAGTGCAGGTTGTGTATAATTCAAATGTATGTTGTGTGTAAGCCAAGTGCAGGATGTGTGTAAATTAAGTGCAATTTATGTATAAACTAAGGGTTGTATGTAAGTCAAGTGCAGGTTGTAAGTGAAGTATAGGTTGTGTGTAAGTCAAGTGCAGGTTGTATGTAAACCAAGTGTACTGTGTGTAAACTAAGTGCAGTTTATGTGTAAACTAGGTACTATTTGTATGTAAAAATAAAAATTAAGGCCCATTCGAAGCTGAGCGCGATCCATATATCGCGCTTCAGTCAAACTGCGGCCCATAGTGAACTTTGCCGATATGGTCGCACGTGCGTGCTGTACGCAGACTGTGCATTACCCACGGCAAATACAAATAAGTTATACTTAATAAGTGAATTTGGAGTGCTATAGGTCAACTTATATTTCTAGCAATGGGGCAGTTCCTCCCCATTACTAATCATTCTCGCTCAACCTACCCACCCCATGAATGACTCATGAAAAAGGGGAAAGGATTACTAGTAATTGGGATTAGCGACAATATATCTTAGGCCGACCATCATGCGGTCTCCTCTGGAAACTATCTTAGTTAATTCTTGCTATAATAGCAATATGCACACCAGTAAGAGATGATAAGTGAGGATGAGTGACCTATCATCACTTGTTGGTATGCCGTCGGCATATACCTACCATTAACCCAGATGCGATTACCATTCCATTTTGCTAAAATAAAAAAAAAGGTCCTGTGTGAAGATATCATAGATACATAGAAGGATGACGAGAGTTTAATGAACTTACTGTGTTTGTTGCTACTGGCGATTGTTTCATTTTCTCCATGTATCATGGGTACTGTTTGCGATCATTCGAAAATTGACCTCCTTTAGAAAAATAAAAAATAAATATTCGAGTTCTCTATATTTCAAGTTCTTTTGTTAGATTGCTCATGCTTCTTCTAGGAGTCACAAATAAGACGCCATCCTCTTTGTTTGCCTTCTATTAAAATATTTCTCCATGTAACGGATATCATGCGTATCGTATATATAATGTATGTCATGCATATCATGTATGTCGTGGACATAATGTATGTCAAGGATGTCATAGATATCATGTATGTCATGAACATAATGTATATCAAGGATGTCATGGATATATTGTGGTTGTAATGTATGTCACGGATATCATGTATGTCGTGGACATAATGTATATCAAGGATGTCATGGATATATTGTGATTGTAATGTATGTCATGGATATCATGTATGTCGTTGACATAATGTATATCAAGGATGTCATGGATATATTGTGGTTGTAATGTATGTCACGGATATCATGTATGTCGTTGACATAATGTATATCAAGGATGTCATGGATATATTGTGGTTGTAATGTATGTCACGGATATCATGTATGTCGTGGACATAATGTATTTCACAGATATCATGGATATAATAGATGTTTTAACGTTCCAGCGTGGCAAAAGACTACGTCCGGCTACTGAAGTACGGCGACTCGCTGTACCGATGCAAGCAGCTGAAGCGCGCGGCGCTCGGTCGGATGGCCACCATCATGAAGCGGCAGGCCGCCAATCTCACATACTTGGAACAGGTGAACAATAATTATGAATTTATACAATTGTCGAACTGTGGGACAATGTTAACATTTAGATTTACGTATTGTATGATTTATAGTTTATAATCATTACCATATCAGCCTATAACTGTCCATTGCTGAACATTAGTACCTTCCCTATTGGGTGTTTTGCTAGTAGTTGCCACGTTTGGCAGGCGGATTGGCAACCACAGTTAGACTTTACAGATGTTTTAATAGGGACGCTGCTGCCCCTCTTGCTTGAGCTCGCCCTCTTAGTCAGTAGTTGCCACGTTTGACAGGCAGATTGCTAATTGGCAACCGCAGTTAAGCAACATAAGCCTCCTCCTTATGGTTGCTAGTAGTTGCCACGTTTGGCAAGCGGATTGGCAACTGCAGTTAAGCTTTGGTGCTGTTTTAAGAGGGACGCTGCTGACCATTTCTCGACCATTAAGTCTCTTAGTCGCGTCTTACGACACTCATAGGATAGGAAGGGGTGGCTTATTCTATGCTGGGACCACGCGGCTATATAGTGTATAATAGATGATGAAAATTATACTGGCTTGGGGGCTCTATCACTTCTAACACGCTGTCTTACAACTTCACCTTCCGATGGTCCCATCTTCGACCATTTATAACCGAGTGCATTTTCGTTTATTCGTTGCAGGTGCGCCAACACTTGGCTCGGTTGCCCTCCATCGACCCCTACACGCGCACAATCATCATCTGCGGCTTCCCCAACGTTGGCAAGTCCAGCTTCATCAACAAGGTATGAAATATTTATGATATATTTTGCCATGATATATATATATATATATATATATATATATATATATATATATATATATATATATATATATATATATATATATATGTTTTTTAACCGGCGAGCGTATATGAAAAGATTGATGAATGTGGAAGGAGCGAAAGAGGTCTGTTTGAATTGAAGCATTTGGCGTTCCATTGTTTCTGCCTACCCTAATGGGAGACAGGCGTGACAGATATGTATGTATGTTTACGCCTTAGATTATATATATATAAAGTATCTCCATACAAATGCTTCGAGAAAAGTAGGTCAACTTTTTCGTACATTTTTGTGTGATATATAGTTATGAGTGATTCCTTTATAACTTCTATATTTATTTTGTCTTATAATTTCTGCGTCTTTTTAATGCGTAAACACTCATTTCATTTATTAAATAATTAAATATAGAAACGTCAAGATACATTGTGTATGTAAGTATATAGAACACTGATAAAAATCGAGTCGTCTAATTTGACAATTATCTGACAAAAAGTTGATCCGTTTTTGAGACTTGACCAATCAATTTTTTTATTCAACTTAAATTGGCAAACAAGCTGACGGCCCACCTGATGGAAAGTGGTAACCGTCGCCTATAGACATGAGCGGTACCGTGGTCATAACAGAGTATACTGTTTCACCCATGATACTCCACATACGTTACTATTGTTGAGGACTCAGGTGTTATTCCTCTGTATCTTGTAAATTTACTACCATATCCCACCCTTCAAACCGAAACACCGCCATGCAAACATAACTGCTTCACGGTAGAAACACAAATGGGACAGAGGTGCCCAAGCAATCGACTTTTGTACAGTCTCCCTCTGATAAAAATGTATTGCTGTATATACGTAAACATACATATTAAGGCCCATTCGAAGCTGAGCGCGGTCCATATATCACGTTTCAGTCAAACTGTGGCCGACAGCGAACTTTGCCGATATGGTCGCACGTGCGTGCTGTACGCAAACGGTGCATTACCCACGGCAAATACAAAACTATCAGCCCACCTCAAAATCAAGAAGGATCCCTAATGTTTGTTACTTCATAACTCAGTCGGCAAGTCGGTTTGGGATTTTTTTTTGAGTTTCGTACCTTCAAAGCAAAATACACTACCCTTATAGGATCATTTCGTTCCATCTGTACGTCTGTCAACACCCTTTTTCTTAGGAACGCGTGGAGGTATCAAGTTGAAATTAATACCACATACTCAGGTCTGCAATCTCTTAAAGCGGTGAAAAAATCAAGCTTCTAAATCGACGCAATCAAACGATACGGCCGTTTATGTTACATTTATATCGCATATTTTGACATTCGCAAAGGAAATCAAAACCTATAGGGTACTTCCTGTTGACATAGAATCATGAAATTTGGCAAGAAGCAATGTCATGTAGCACAAGTAAAGGATAAAATCCGAAAACTATAAATTGTATAAGTTGTATAAAAAAAAAACTGGTTTAGTTAACCAGTTACTGATTTTTCATTAAATATTATACTTGTTACAGATTACCCGAGCCGACGTAGAGGTCCAGCCGTATGCGTTCACAACCAAAAGCTTGTACGTTGGACACACGGATTACAAATATTTAAGGTGGCAGGTGAGTGGTATATACATATAACTATGTTAACATGAAATTAATTTTTTATACAACTTAGAATGGCAAACAAGCTGACGGCCCACCTGATGGGAAGTGGTAACCGTCGCCTATAGACATGAGCAGTACCATGGACATAACAGAGTGTACTGTTTCGCCCATGATATCCTCCATGCGTTGCCTTTCCTGAGGACTCAGATGTTATGCCTCTGTACCCATGGTACATGGTTACATGGTAGAAAGTGGCCGTGGGCATCATATTGAACAATTTCTCTGAGCACAATCCGTTGTATAAGCGGTAAAACACGCAGAATGAGGCAAAATCTCTCCTAAGACTTAAGGGTTCGACACCGCTTGTAAACCTGTTAACACATGTTGCAACAGCCAAACTTGTTTATTTTAGTTGCTTTCATAAAATTAAGCCATGTGGTCCCAGCATAGAATAGGCTACCCCTTCCTTTCCCGTGGGTGTCGTATGAGGCGACTAAGGGAACTTAATAGTTGAGTTTTTTTTTTTTTTGATGGTTGAAAATGGTATGGTAACCCCGCCTGCGCTAACGGGATACGCTGGCGGAGCACCAGTGAAGGGTGATAGATGAGAATGAAAACAGGCCAGTTAGCCCATCATGATGAATTCATCAGGAATTAATCATGATAGTTTCCAGGGAGAACCGCGAGGAGGTCGACCTGGTTGGGTATATTGCTAGCAATGGGATTCTCAGCCTCCATTACATTCTATTTATGGTATGGGTTCAAGAGAGTCATTACGTCAGTGCTTTAAAGACTCAAATATCCTCACAGTTACTTCACAATACATTTATGAAAATATTATGTATACACGGAAGAACTTAGAGAGTTTTAAAAAACTCAAAGACTGTACAAGTAGAAACTTACGCAATATAAATAAGCTTATTTTACCTAAATGCCGTCTGCACAAAATCAGTAATTCATTCTATGGTAATTGCATAAGATTTTATAATAAACTGCCGGAATCTGCATTAAATCTGACAGAGAGGCAATTCAAATCTTATATTAAACAATTTTTATGTAAGAAAGCCTATTACAGGATAGACGAATTCATAGATGACAACATATCAAGTAAATAATTAGTTTATTAGCATACAACGTTATAATTTTATTTTCTCATTGCTTTCTTGATTTAATTGATTAATTTTAGAAATATGAAAGCGTAGCGGTTTTATGTATTAATTGCCGCATGCATTCTTATGTAAAATGTGAAAACTATAACTATCAGATGGCAATTGTGAGTAGCTTTGACGTGGTCTAGTATTTTGAGTAGTCATGCTCACTAAAATGTCCAGACTTGTGGCGGCGTGGTGGGCCGGGTCATTGGGCTCCCTAAAATATGGTCGAGCGCAGTGATGGCTGGCTCATCCGTCATACTCGTGAACGGGTGCTGCTTGTAGGGACTGGTCTGCTCTAATCACTATGACTGATTTCCTCTTATTAATTGTTTAACCAGTTGGTTATGTATTCAATATTTTTTTCTTTTTGAGTATTTAATTGAATTAGTGCTAATTGGTGGTTTGTATTCACACAATTAAACTTAAAAATGTAAAGTAATAATAAAAATATTTAAAAGAGCATCACGCAAGTTTCTTGCTCGTTCTTCTTGTGATGAGACAGCTTTCCGAACGAGCGGTAAATTAAAAAAAATGTAATGACTTTTCAAAAGTGCTTGAATGTAAGTTTATTTGAATAAATGATTTCTATTCTATTCTATTCTATTACTAACAATTCCTTTCCCCCCAATAGTTGAGAGTTGGGCAGCAGCTTCCCTCTTAAAACAACTCTAAAAGCCTGACTGTGGTTGCCAACCCGCTTGCCAAGCGTGGCAACTACTGGCCAAACCCCCTTTGATGAGGGCGACCAATGTTCAGCAGTGGACAGCTAACTGCTAAAGTCCGGAGGAAAAGGATTGCTAGCAATGAAGTTCGACAGCCCTTATTAGGTCGACCTCCACGCGCTTCCCCCTGGAAACCATCGTGAACAATTCTTGTTGAATTCGTCACGATGGGCTAACTGACCTACTTCATCCTCACCTATCATTCTTGACTGGTGCCCTGCCAGTGTATACCGATAGCGCGGGTGGTGTTACCATTCCATTATCGTCCATTTAAAAACGAAACTGCTAAAGTCCCTATACTATACGGAATAAATAAAGCTGTATTGTGTTTGTGTGGTGATGGCAGGTGATCGACACGCCGGGCATCCTGGACCATCCACTAGAGCAGCGGAACGTGATCGAGATGCAAGCAGTGACCGCGCTGGCGCACCTGCGCGCCGCCGTGCTGTACGTGCTCGACCCGTCCGAGCAGTGCGGACACTCGCTGCCCGACCAGGTCTCTACTCCTTTATTTTATACAACTTAGAATGGCAAACGAGCTGACGGTCCACTTGATGGAAAGTGGTAATTATCGCCTATAGATATGAGCAGTACCGTGGACATAACAGAGTATACTGTTTCGCCCACGATACCCCCCATGCGTTGCCATTCCTGAGGACTCAGGTGTTATTCCTCTGTACCCAGTACCCTTCAAACCGAAACACAGCCATGCAAACACAACTGCTTCACGGTTGAAACACGAATGGAACAGAGGTCCAGAGAGACCAAGCAATCGACTTTTATACAAAGTCGCTTCCTTCCACGCATTTGCATATATATAGCCCATGGGTGTCCGACTTGACTAGACCCAAGATCTACCATAATACCCCTGTGCGATCCACCATTTGCATACTTCTTGAAATCACAAATGAAACGACATAGTAAATTACACAACTATGCAGTATTGTAGTATTTTTTATTTTATTTTTGAATCGAAATAATTGATTTTATTACATTTAAAGTCGATTTTTTAGGGTTCCGTACCCCTTCATAGGAAAAACGAAACCCTTACAAGATCACTTCGTTGTCCGTGCAAAAAAATCTTCTAAATCGACGCAATTAAAAGATACCGCCGTTTATGTTACATTTATATCGCATATTTTGACATTCGCAAAGGGAATCAAAACCTATAGGGTACTTCCCGTTGACCTAGAATCATGAAGAAGCAACGTCATGTAGCACAAGTGAAGGAAAAAAATACCAAAACTGTAAATCTGTAGTTATTTTACAAAAAAAAAATTAAACTTGATGGTTTTATACAGAACCCTCGTTGCGCGAGTCCGACTCGCACTAAACCGGCTTTTTTTATAGGAAACAATCTTTAATTATATTTACGGTACTCTAAACGCTGGTCTTCAACTCAGACCTCACTGGTGGTTTCAGATATCGTTGCTGGAGAGTATAAAGCCGCTGTTCGTCAACAAACCGCTGATCGTGGTGCTGAACAAGATGGACGTGGTGCGGCCCGAGGACCTGGCCCCAGAGAAACGGGTCCTCATCGAGCAGCTGGAGCAGGCCTGCAGCGGGGGCAGCATGGTGGCGTGAGTGTCGTCACCATTATATTTTACTGCCAGCCATTTACAGTCTACTGGCGAACACAGGCCTTCCCTCATACGTGGGATTTTACCAGTAGTTGCCACGCTTAGCAGGCATGTTAGCTACCGTAGTTAGGCTTTTAGAGATGTTTTAATAGGGACGCTGCTGTCCATCCCTCGCCCTCTCTTAGTCGCCTCTTACGACACCCACGGGAAAGGAATGGGCTCCATTGATTTTTACTTGTTTTATGTATTTTGCTCTTTTTTTTTATACAACTTAGAATGGCAAACAAGCTGACGGTCCACCTGATGGAAAGTGGTAACCGTCGCATATAGACATGAGCAGTACCATGGACATAACAGAGTATACTGTTTCGCCCATGATACCCCCCAACGCATTGCCATTCCTGAGGACTCAGGTGTTATTCCTCTGTACCCAGTATCCTTCAAACCGAAACACAGCCATGCAAACACAACTGCTTCACGGTTGAAACGCGAATGGAACAGAGGTACCCAAGCAATCGACTTTTGTACAAAATCTCCCTCTTATATTTTTTATCCTTTCTTTTATCTCTTTACTGTATATGTCTGTTGTTATTTGCGTGCTGTAAGTAATGCAAGTAAATTGTCTATCATTTTTGTATGGCCAGAATATACTATTATTGCCCGCGGCTTCGTACGTTTAGTTTTTGAGGGTAGGTAAACACTTGACCTTTTTTCCCCCCCACCAATGTACGGAAGAACCCAAGATATTGAAGCGGTACTAACGTTATCCAAACCTGTGATACTGTGGTCAGTATAGTTGCGACAGCGTTAACATAATATTCCCGTGTGGTCCCGGAGTGGCCTATTCTACATAGGCCACTCCCTCCTTTCCTGTGGGTATCGTAAGACGCGACTAAGGTAGGGCGAGGGATGGGCAGCAGCGTCCCTCTTAAAACATTTACAAAACTTAACTGCGGTTGCCAATTTTCCTGCCAAGCGTGGGAATTATTGGCAACCCCAAGGTGGTTGCTTATGTTGAGCAGTGGAAAGTTAATGTGATGTTAATGACACTGTGATCAGTACAGTGGCAAAAGTCTACAGTGTTAACGTAATATTTAAATCAACAGTGGGACGAACAGCGAGCTGTCCAAGGTGCCTGTGATGAGAATGTCCACCATGACGGAGGAGGGAGTACAGGAGGTCAAGATCGAGGCCTGCGAGCGGCTGCTCGGCCACAGGGTCACAGAGAAAATGAGGACCAAGAAGGTGAGCTCACTGATTTACTTATTTGTTTTGTTTAATCTTTATTGGCCAATAAAATGTGGTACAAAAAGCGGACTTGAAGCTATAGGCATTAAGTCCGCCTTTACCAGTCAACCTTTAGGACATGCAAATATATTCGATGGCGGTTTAAAAATATAAAATTCTTTATATATATATTTTTTTTTATACAACTTAGAATGGCAAACAAGCTGACAGCCCACCTGATGGAAAGTGGTAACCGTCGCCTATAGACATGAGCAGTACCATGGACAATAACAGAGTATACTGTTTCACCCATGATACCACCCATGCGTTGCCATTCCTGATGAATAATGTGTTATTCCTCTGTACCCAGTAAATTCACGCCATATCCCACCCTTCAAACCGAAACACAGTCATGCAAACACAACTTCTTCACGGTTGATACATGAATGGGACAAAAGTACCCAAGCAATCGACTTTTGTACAAAGTCTCCCTCTGATACATTTCAGTGTACACCTATCCCCCGATTTACACGGTAGATACGTTCCTGAGAAAAACGTGTAAATCGAAAATTAAAAATTTTCAAGTCAAAACCGTGTAAATCGAAAAGCTTGCAGAAAATGCATAATTTTGCTATTTAACAGTTGTAATTTTTTTCAATATTTTTAGGTGTACACAGAAATAAAAATAAAATGCATTGACAGGTTAAAATATGTAATATATTACGGAAACACTGTTTTTTTATTTAATTACAATACATTAAACGATCCAAAGCGACCCAAAATTTCGATTTTAGTTTCTAAAGAAATAACTTTTCTTTTAACTTCTTTCGACATTATAAGCCTATAATTTTTTTTTTTTAATTTATGTTAATTTATAAAAATCTTAATTATGCACTCATTTGTAATTTACGAATATGAAAAATTAAATCTTTCTGACACTGTGAAACTTTCACTCAAATACAATTTTCCGTAGATAAAACTTTAATTTTATGCGAAGAAATACAGACACAGTGTGCATGTGCCGACTTAAGGTCATTCCCCGTGAGATGTGTACACCGCGCACGTGTTCAAACACAGTAGCATTTAGTAGAGTGCGATAAAAACAAAAAAAAAAACTTATTTGGAAAACCGTGTAAAAGCGAAAACATTTAAAACAAGTACCGTGTAAATCGCGGGATAGGTGTATATTATAAATTGCATACATATAAATATAATGAATTAATGTATATATTCATAAATAAATACACATACACGCACGCACATGCCTACGCGCACGCACACTCGCACACCAATCTCCGACCGCCATTTAGTCCACGCACGTTTTGCAAAACACGTTTCATGTGTGTTTTGTTGGCTTGGTATGGAAGGTTGTAGGATTTTTTTTTTTAGGTCGTGTACACAATTTCTTATACAGTGATTACACTAGGCTCGCAGGCCTGTATCGTAGTAGTCAGTGAATGGCTAATTTTGTTCATATTTATTGCCATTTACAGTCCGGTTCCTGTACAATTTTATCATTTAGGTACTCGACTTTTGCACTGTCATTTACATCGTATGATAGATATATGAATGTTGACTTGCAGGTGGACGGCATACTGAACCGGCTGCACGTGGCGGTGCCCACCCCCCGCGACAACAAGTCCCGGCCACCCGTCATCCCGCCCTCCGTGGCGCTCAAGAAGCAGCAGATGGCAGACAGGGAGGCCAGGAAACGGAAGCTCGAGAGGGAGATCGAGATCGAGATGGGAGACGACTACGTGCTGGGTCAGTTGGAATTATTCCTTTATTCATTATTTTTCTATTTTTGCGTTCTGGACTGACTGAAAAACTGTGTTGCACTACATTACGTTTCAACCGTGAAGCAGTTGTGTTTGCATGGCTGTGTTTCGGTTTAAAGGGTGGGATATGTCGTGAATTTACTGGGTATAGAGGAATAACATCTGAGTCCTCAGGAATGGCAACGCATGGGGAGTATCATGGGCGAAACAGTATACTCTGTTATGTCCATGTACTGCTTATGTCTATAGGCGACGGTTACCACTATCCATCAGGTGGGCCGTCTGCTTCACGGTTGAAGCACAAATGGGACAGGTATGTGAAATGTGAATGTGAAAAAGACTCCATTTTCCGCGCTTAGCCTCTCACTTGGGCCATTGTGCGTATGATGGGACAGAGGTGCCCAAGCAATCGACTTTTGTACAAAGTCTCCCTCCAGTGATGCATATTAACAATTAATTAAATAGGTTCCAAATTACAGTCAATTAATTGAGTCACATATTTAAACTTTAAAACGGTTAAAATATTCATTAACCGATTAAAAACATTTTTCTATTAGCCACCTTTTAAGTTTCCTTTTAAAGTGTGTAGTGTTTTCATAACGTCCGTTGGTTTAAGTTTTTAGTTTTTAGTTTAGTTTAATAATAATTTGTTTCTTTCTTACTTTCTTTCAGACCTCAAGAAGAACTACAGTGATATACCCGAGGATGAGCGTTACGACCCGATCCCAGAGTTTTGGGAGGGGCACAACATTGCCGATTACATAGATCCGGATATATTCAAGGTAGGTCACTTGTTGCGCTCCCATTATGTCCCGCTGTCTAGAACACTGATCTGTCTTCATAAGAGAAAGATACTAGTCCACTATTATCAGGGATTTGGATTTTTTAATGGATGATAATGGAATGGTAAACCCGTCTCCCGCTAATGATATACGCTGGCGAGGCACTAGTGAGAATTGTGATGAATGACACGTGAAATTCAGCACGGTAGGTTCCAGGGGGGACCACATGGAGCTCCACCTGACAGGGAATATAGTCCGCATTACTAACAATCCCCATCCCCTTCTGGACTATTATGTTTTTTTTTTTAATGGATGATAAGCCAGTGAAGGATGATAGGTGAGGATGAAGTAGGTCAGTTGGCCCATCGTGACGAATTCAACAAGAATTGTTCACGATAGTTTCCAGGGGGAACCACGTGGAGGTCGACCTAATGGGGCATATTGCTAGCAATGGGGCTGTCAAACTCCATTGCTAACAATCCCTTTCCCCCCGAACTATTATGTTATACCTGTATACCTTGTAATTTCACTGTTACTGTTATGTTTACCAGAGGGAGACTTTGTACAAAAGTCGATTGCTTGGGTTCCTCTGTCCCATTCGTGTTAGGAATAACACCTGAGTCCTCAGGAATGGCAACGCATGGGGGGTATCATGGGCAAACAGTATACTCTGTTATGTCCATGGTACTGCTCATGTCTATAGGAGACGGTTACCACTTTCCATCAGGTGGGCCGTCAGCTTGTTTGCCATTCTAAGTCGTATAAAAAAAAAAAATGTTATCACCCACCCTTCAAACTAGAACAGCTATGCGAACACAGCTGCTTCACAGCAGAAACACGAGTGGGACAGAGGTGTATACATACGAATGTTTATTGTACAGTCTCTCTCACTCTCTGGTATTGAGTTTACCTCTTATAATGTCTACCGTAGAAACTAGCAGAGATGGAGAAGGAAGAAGAGTTACGCGAAGCTGGCGGCATGTACGCTGTACCCAAAATAGAACTGGACCAGACCATGCTCGAGATACGGGACCTCGCCAGGCAGATACGGTGAGGGAACACACACATTACACAAACATACGCCCCGGCTGATGGTAATAAGATCCCTTAGTCGCCTATGATAGCTCCCACAGAGGGAGTGGCCCATTCTATATCGGGAACACACCGCAAAAAAAATGAACTAATTATGCAGAAAATGGCTACGTTATTTGGTTTGTCCATGTCCAGAATGAAGTGTGTATGTCTAATGTATGTGTTTGAGTGCGTGCGTGCATTCGTGCGTGCGTGCGTGCGTGCGTGCGTGTGCGTGCATGTAAGTGTAATTTTAACACTAAATATAAACTCTATTGGTATCTAGTATGTCATATATATAGAAAGAAATCAAAAATATATTTAGGGCGAGTGTTCTACCAGAGAAATTGAAGATTTTTTAGCAAGACAATAAGAGTTGAGTATAACAAAAAAAATTTAGAGTCCATAATACCGCTGCGCGTCCAGCTGTCAATATGGTTTCAGAGATGTTTTCTCCCACGAACACTCAGGTAATGGAATGAGCTCCCTGCCGAGGTTATCCCAAGAGACTACAGCATGGGGTTCTTCAAAAGGGGGGTAAAGAGGTTTCTTCAGGACCGGCGAGGCGCGCGTAATACCTCTGGTATTGTAGGCGATCATAGGCTACGGTAACCGCTTACCATCAGGTGGGCCGTATGCTTGTTTGCCACCACAGTGGTATAAAAAAAAATGGAAGGGTCAAGATTTTTTTTTTCAAATTTAATTTTCAAATCACGACATTTTTGTCCCATTAAATTTTATAACCAGCATTTTTAGATTGAATTCTTAGTTTCACGCACGACTATTGATTTCGATTTCATTTCGATTCCTGTATATACGTAGACCTATGGGAGACAGTAGTGAAATGTGTTAAATGCCACTTTACGACGCTACTCACGTTGCAGCAACAAGAAGGCGATCCTGAAGGACGAGTCGCGACTCACCAAGCAGTCGACCAAGCCAGTGATGCCGCGCACGTCGAGGGCTCGCGCCCGCGGACGTTCAGCGTCGCAGCTGCGCGACGAGATGGAGAAACTGGGTATGTATATATTTACAGGTGGATTTACAAACCTACCTATTGTTAGTAGTGGAAAGTTTAGTTCCCATTGCTATCCCTATCAGGTTGACCTCCATACTGTTCCCCTTGGAAACTATCGTGACTAATTTATCGTTGAATTCATCACAATTGGCTAACTGACCTGCCTTTTCATCCTCATCTGTCACCTCTCACTGGTGCCCCGCCATCGTATACCGATAGCGCAGGCGGGGTTATCATGCCATTTTTACCCATTAAAAAAAGCTAGCCTACCGATGGTCCGTGCACTTACCCAATTATGACGAAGCCAAAAGGAACTGTTATTTTTTTGTACTCCTTGTATATATGTTACTTTATGGGGTGAAAATGGAATGGTATCCCGCCTACGCTACTAATTGACGCTGGTAATTTAATTTATGCAACTTAGAATGGCAAACAAGCTGACGGCCCACCTGATGGAAAGTGGTAACCGTCGCCTATAGACATGAGCAGTACCATGAACATAACAGAGTATACTGTTTCGCCCATGGTACACCCCATGCATTGCCATTTCTAAGGACTCGGATGTTATTCCTCTGTACCCTGTAAATTCACTGCCATATCGCACATTTCAAACCGAGACACAGCCATGCAAACACAACTGCTTCACGGTAGAAACACGAATGGAACAGAGGTGCCCAAACAAACGACTTTTGTACAAAATCTAATGGGGTACCAGTGAGGGATGATAGGTGAGGATGAAAACAGGTCAGTTGGTCCATCGTGATGAATTTACTGTAAATTAACCGCGCAGGTTTCCAGGCATAGGCATATATTTACTTTATGTATGATTCACGCGGACATAGCCGCAGGATACACTAGTATCATTGTCTAAGTTAGTATAATGACTCTGTAACTTCACTACGTACTTGTTTCCCAGGCGTGGACATGTCGGACACGAAGGAGGCCCACTTCACCCGGAGCCGGTCGAAGTCGCGCGGCCGGTCCGCGTCCGGCCCGTCCGGCGCGTCCGGCCCGGCCGCCAAGCGTGCCCGGATGGATTCCCGCGTCCGGTCCGTCAGCCGACCCGCCCGGGACGAGCAGGGCGTCAAGGATGTCGCTGTAAGTTTTTTTTATTATAAAATACTAGGTTTTCCCCGTGACGAGGTCACGAGGGGATTTTGATAGTTCTACCCCCTTTATTATTATTTCAGCCGGTAACTATCCAAAACAAAACACAGCTGGAAATACAACTGCTTCCCCAACGGAAGAAACACGAATGGGACAGAGGTTGGCAACCGCAATCAACTTTTGTATGTTTTAAAGTCTCCTATGCTAAGTGATTATGGCGTCCCTATTCTTAATTTATATGGCAAAAAAACGATTACAACCAACAACGAGAACAAAGAACCACGGGTCAGTTAGTAATAATAATAAAAAACATCAAGTCGTTTAAAAATCGAATACATTTATTTTACTTTTTTTTTCCACAGATGCAAAAGAAAGCCAAGAAACTCGCCCACGTGGCCATCGCCAAGAAAACCAAGAAGATGGGTCTCAAAGGAGAAGCGGACAGGTTCATCGGAACCAAAATGCCCAAACATCTGTTCTCGGGCAAGCGCGGCGTCGGCAAGACGGAAAGACGATAATTTTTATATATATAAACGTAATATTTCGCGTAAATATATACTAAATACTGTTGTGTGTAGTTTTTATTAAACCTCGATACCAAACACGTAATTCTTAGGGTTCCGTACATCTAAAGGAATAACGGAACCTTCGTTGTCCATCCGTCCGTCTGTCAAGATCCTTTTTCTTAGGAACGCGTGGAGGTATGAAATTAAAATTAATATCATATACAACTTAGAATGGCAAACAAGCTGACGGCCCACCTGATGGAAAATGGTAACCGTCGCCTATACACATGAGCAGTAGCATGGACATAACAGAGTATACTGTTTCGCCCATGATACCCCCCATGCGTTGCCATTCCTGAGGACTCAAATGTTATTCCTCTGTACCCAGTAAATTAACGCCATATCCCACCCTTCAAACCGAAATACAGCCATGCAAACACAGCTGCTTCACGGTGGGGGGGAAAGGGATTGTTAGTAATAGAGACTGAGAATCCCATTACTAGTAATATACCCAACCAGGTCGACCTCCTCGCGGTTCTCCCTGGATACTATCATGGTTAATTCCTGATGAATTCATCACGATGGGCTAACTGGCCTGTATTCATTCTCACCTATCACCCTTCACTGGTGCTCCGCCAGCGTATCCCTTTAGCGCAGGTGGGGTTACCATACCATTTTCACCCATTGAAAAAAAAAACTGCTTCACGGTTGAAACACGAATGGGACAGAGGTGGTCAAGCAATCGACTTTGGTACAAAGTCTCCCTCTGGTGATATTTATAATAATAAATAAAAGGTAGAACATGAAGGACTCATTAAACATGTAAAAATCATATTTAAGCAAATACTATAATCTCATCTCCCCTCTTAAGGAGAGGAGATGGCAACTAACCCCCGGCAGAAGCACAGTCGGCCGGGGTTCAGGGCTTCTGGGAGAGAAACCGGCGTACAATGCGGGCAGAATCTAAGAGCACCGCTTTCTGCATCTTTCCCAGGAGTGAGCCGCCTCGGAATCCCAACCGTCTGAGATGTTGTTCCAGACTGGTTGGGACAAGACCGTTCACCGATTGGGATGATTTCGGTAGATGTCACCCCACACATTTCGGTCACCTCGTGAGCCAGATCGAGATAGTTTCTCTTCTTCTCGGTTTCGGCTTTCACGAGGTTCTCGTCATAAGCAAATACATTATTGTCAGTATTGAACAATAACTACCTAAACTTTTAAGTATTTTGCAGGTGTTTTAATAAAATATGGCAAAACAAAACACGTTTGTTTAATGTATTTATTCGCCAAATTGTTATTAATATAGGTATATATTGTATTGTTATACTTACGATGCACCCCGGTTTTGCACAGTACATAATTTACATTTATTTACATTATTACATTTCGATATTTAGAAATAATAGAATTTTCATCGTGCCTCCAATCAAACTGTTTATAATTATTCCTCTCCATCCAAAGGTTGCCTGCAAGAGATCGCTCTTAGCGATAAGGTCGCCCATTGTTTTCTCATTATAATTATTTCTTGTAATTATTTATATTTATAATAAGTTTACTATTGTAATCTTTTGGAGGAAACAATAAAAGAGTATCTATCTATCTATCTATAATTTTGTTGTATCTCTCTAGCACCCATAACAATGTGTTTTAAACTAATATGTCCAAAAGGTAAACATAAGTTTTTATTTTAAGGTTAAAAATGGACTGGTAACCGCGCCTACGCTATCGGTAAACACTGACGGGGCACCAGTAAGGGGTAATCAGGGAGAATGAAAGCATGTCAATCAGCCAGCCGCCCATGATCACCCGCAACACCAGAAGCATTGCAGGTGTGCTGGCGGCCTTTTAAAAAGGAATATGCTATTTTTTTCATGATTATGTTTGAAGCAAGTCCCCAACTTTTGTACTGGCTGGTGGGACAGAGATTGTAACAGCTTTATTGTTAACATTATATCCTACTAGGTCGACCTCCACGCGGTTCCCCCTGGAAACCATCATGGTTATTTCTTGTGGATTTCATCATGATAGGCCAACTGACCTGAATTCATTCTCACCTATCATCTTCCACTGGTGCCTCGTCAGTGTATCCCGATAGCGAGGGCGAGGGTTACCATTTTCACCCATTAAAAAAAAACAAATAACCAGTGATATGGACTTCCGCTATATGGTCCCGGCATAGAATAAGTTACCTCTTCTTTTCCCGTGGGTATCTTAAGAAGCTATTAAGAAAAAAGGTCGAGGGATGGTCAGCAGCGTCCTTCACCAAAGCCTAACTGAGGTTGCCAGGGGGAGAGGGATTGTTAGTAATGGAGACTGAGAATCCCATTGCTAGCAATATACTCAACCAGATCGACCTCCACGCGGTTCTCACTGGAAACTATCATGGTTAATTCCTGATGAATTCATCATGGTGGGCTAACTGGCCTGTTTTCATTCTCATCTATCACCCGTCACTGGTGCTCCGCCAGCGTATCCCGTTAGCGCAGGCGGGGTTACCATACCATTTTCACCCATCAAAAAAAAAAAAAACTGCGGTTGCTAATCCGCCTACCAAGGCTTACAACTAATAGCAAAACCTTCCTTTGTATGGAAGTCCTATGTTTAGCAGTGGACAATTAACAACTGGTATGATGATAGACTTTCGAAAGATAACAAGTTTTTTTTTATACAACTTAGAATGGCAAACAAGCTGACGGCCCACCTGATGTAAAGTGGTAACCGTCGCCTATAGATATGAGCAGTACCGTGGACACATCACAGAGTATGCATAACTTTTGTAACAAAGTCAGTAAAATTGTTACAAAAATCGTTGGTAAATGCAGGTGACTTGTCCCATACGTGTTTCAACCAGTTGTGAACGCATGGCTGTGTTTCGGTTTGAAAAAATGGAATACCGCGCGAATTTTTTTACACATGACAGAGGAAATAACATGATAAATGAACGATGGGGGTAATGGACGCAACAATATAAATCATTTTATGTCCATGGTACTGCTCATGTCTATAGGCGACAGTTATCACTTTCCATCAGGTGGGCCGTCAGCTTGTTTGCCATTCTAAGTTGTATAAAAAAAATGCAGGTGACTTAAGACCGTTCCTTATGGCAGTCTATGGGAAGGTCTATGTTTGGCAGTGGACAGATAACGATATGATGTTGATGAAGCCAATAGTTGTGTGGTTTAGGAGAAGTAAGTGTATAAACAGACAGACGCGGACAATACCTTCGTTTTTGTTATCGTATCTAACGTTGATACATGTGGCGGACAGCTGACTACATTGTTCGCAGCTGCGCCAAAATATTTTTGCCTAAACATCTGTAATTTATTGCTATTGTATTTTCAAAACTAATGTTTTTGCAGCTTTGTTACAGGTATATTTACTAACTAGGGTTGGGTATGCGAAATACAAAATTTCTAATACCTAAAGTCATTTATATTTGAAAGGTAAAAATAAAACAGCGATATAAGACGACCTATTTTTATTATTTCTTCCCTGTTTTCTTATAAATCTTTCTATTTAACTTATTTACAGAAACGTAGTTCTCACCCAAATACTTTTTCCACCCGGCAGCCATGTTACTTATTTTCCATCTGTCTGTCTCTCTCTCGCACCTTTTTTTTCGGCCCTAACATTTTGTTTCCTATATCTTACTATTTTTTTTTGTCATGATAAGGTAACCTTATTTTTTTTTTTTCGTTTTAGTACCCACTATCGGTTTCCAGTATTTTTGTACAAAAAGTGTGAGAGCACCTTACATTCATGTTTACGTCGATACGTTTGTATGGACTTTAGTTTCCGAAACTATCCGCTAGAGGTGCTAGTAAGTTTACGAAGCACAAAAACAATTAAATATATATGGGGCGTCAAATTATTAACTTTATATGAAAGCGCTCAAAATTGCATGTTGTTACAAAATTTTTGATTCACATAATTTATGTCCTATTTTATTCTATAGCAAAAAGGGAATTCAGTCCTCATTGCTAGCAAGATATCCTATCGAGTCCCTCCACGGAATCCCCCCTGAGAACTATCGCGATTAATTCGAGTCACCGTTATAGACCGACTGACCTGCTTCACCCTCATCTATTATCTCGGGGGATAGGGATTGTTAGGAATAGCCCCATTGCTAGCAATACACTCCATCAGGTCGACCTCCACGCGGTTCCGCCCAGAAATCATAGTGGTTAATTTTTGTTCAATCGGTCACTATGGGCCAACTGACTCGCCTTCATCCTCACCTGTCACCCTTCACTAGTACTCCACCAGTGTATACCGACAGCGCAAGCGGGGCTACTATACCATTTTCACCCATTAAAAAAAACACTTATCATCCCTCACTGGTGCCGTCGATGTGCCGTGTATGTCGATAGCGTAGGTACCATTCCATTTTCACCCATTAAAAAAGATATTCTACAAAATTCTATAAAATAATTGATTTTGAATTCAGTCTTTAAAGAAAGAACCTGTTTACCTAACATAGAATTGGTAGGAGGAAGGGATAGTTAGTAATGCAGACTACCAGGCCCATTGCTAGCAATGTACTCTATTAAATCAACCTCAACGTTGTTTCCCTGGAAACCATCGTGCTTAATTCCAGGTGTATTCATCACGATGGACTAACTAACCTGCCTTTTCACTCTCACCTATCATCCCTAACTGGTGCACCGCCAGTGTATACCGTTAACGCAGGAGGTGCTATCATTCTATTATCATTCATTAAAAAAACGTTGACTTAGTACGGAACCCCGACTTCTCCCAACCGCAATATTTGTATAAAACGAAAGCACATGCCTTGTTTGTTCATTTATCTAATTGCGTATTCTAATACCTGTGTTTGCCCGCTACTTCGTATGCGTAGATATTAGAAGTAGATAAAAAAAGACGTATTAGACTTTAAATTCACACCTTCAGGAACACAACTGCGTAAACCGCATTCAATATGGTGCAGTTGTTTTGCAGGATGTAGGATCGATATTATATTAGTTTCTATTCGTCTTGTTAAGACGTCTTTTTGTTAAATGCCGTCCACGTACAGACGTGACCTAGTAACATATTTATTATATATATATTGATTAGAACAAGTATAAAAGAAGCGGCAGTTTGAATAACTACATCAAGTTTTCGTAACGTTTAACAGTTCTAAAACTAATTCGTAGCTAACATGAAACTGTATCTGGTAAGTGAAATACCTGTTCATAATTATTTTGAACTATTTATTGCCTTTTATTTATTTATTTTTTTTTATTTTTTTATACAACTTAGAATGGCAAACAAGCTGACGGCCCACCTGATGGAAAGTGGTAACCGGTCGCCTATAGACACGAGCAGTAGCATGGACATAACAGAGTATACTGTTTCGCCCACGATACCCCCCATGCGTTGCCATTCCTGAGGACTCAGGTGTTATTCCTCTGTACCCAGTAAATTCACGAAACACAGCCATGCAAACACAACTGCTTCACGGTAGAAACACGAGTGGGACAGAGGTACCCAAGCAATCGACTTTTGTACAAAGTCTCCTTCTGGTTCATCAGCTCCGTTTTAAAGTAAGAGCACATCGGTATACGACCCTGTCCTCTGACAAGTACACTCTACGCAACTGCATTGTCCCTCTTTCCCTTAAATCATTCCTAATATACCAACTTTCTTTACTTACTTCCAAAGTTTCCCTTCTTTTCCCTCGATCCTTTCCTTCATACCGTAGGTGGTAGTTAGCGCTAACAAATGCATTCCTAAAGGGTTTTTTATGGGTGAAAATGGTATGGTAACCCCGCCTGCGCTAACGGGATATGCTGGCGGAGCACCAGTGAAGGGTGATAGATGAGAATGAAAACAGGCCAGTTAGCCTATCATGATGAATTCATCAGGAATTAACCATGATAGTTTCCAGGGGGAACCGCGAGGAGGTCGACCTGGTTAGGTATATTACAGTAACTGCACAACACTGCCGGTAAAAGTTTGCCCGTATATGTCACAGAGGTGTGCATTAAGCGGTTAATGCAGGGCTGCTCAAACGATCGATTTCGATTGACCGTTTGTCTTTGACTGAAAAAATCATATTGAGCCAAAAACTAATATCTATGTCTCGATCCACCCTACCCACACAACAATCCTTGCAGCTGGTGGGAGCGGAGGGGGGAGGATTGTTAGTAATGTGGACTACCAGTTCCATTGCCAGCAATATACCGTCAAATCGACCCCCACGTAGTTCCCCTGAAAACATTTGTGCTGAACTCTAGATGATGAATACCATCATGATGGGTCAACTGATCCGCCTTTTCATTCTCACTTATCATCTCTCACTTGTGTTCCGCCAGCGTATATTGTCAGCGCAAGCGGAGCTACCATTCCATTACCATCCATAAAAAAACATCCTTGTAACCTCTCAAAGTCGTTTGGATGGTAGGTCAGCATGATAACAGGTCAGTTAACCCACCGTCACGAATTTCACAAGAATTAACCAAGATAGTTGGAGATAGATAGGCGTTAGATAGATAAACTAGGGGGATGTATTGCTAGCAATGGAGCTTTTAGACTCCCATCACTAGCAGTCACCCACTGTAGTACCCATTGGGAGGATGGCATTGTTAGTAATAGAGAAAGATATCCACCCTATCAGGTCGACCTCCACGCATTTCTCCCTGCAAACTATCGTGATTAATTTATCGTTGAATTCGGGCTAACTGACCTGCCTTTTTATCCTCATCTATCATCTCTCACTGGTGCCCCACCAGTGCATACCGACAGTGCAGGCAGGGTTACCATTCTGTTATCATGCATTAAAAAAAACTAGTACCTATTTGGACGGAGAAAAATAGGTGGTGCTATTTTAAAGTGGCGAGTAAAACTTAGTTGTATATGCCTATCTTGTATGTACAGATCGTGTTGGTGGCGCTGATGGCGCTGGTTTCCTGGGTCGCGGCCGAGCCGCAGGTCGGTGGCGGCGTCGGCGTCGGCGGCGAGGCGGCGCTGGACGCGGCGGTCGGCGCGGGGCGCAGCTCGGCGCCGGAGTGGTCTAAGCCTCTGATTATGTACATTTCATCCCTTGCTCCGATGTCCACGTAGGCAAATGTTGTTATTATAATTTCAAATAAATGTACGTGTTAAATAATTTCGATGTATTATTTCATTCTCATAGTTTTTTCTAAATTTAGAACACCTTTTTTTTTGACACTAAGAACGGCAAATATACTGACGTTTTATCATCATCGTCTTGTCAGCTCTTAACTGTTGAACATAAGCCTCCCCTTGCGGGATTTAGCCAGCAGTTGCCATGCTTGACAGGCGGATTGGCAACCACAGTCAGGCTTTAGAGATGTTTTAAGAGGGACGCTGTTACCCATCTCTCGCTCTCCCTTAATCGCGTCTTACGACACCCACGGGGTGGCCTATGCTATGTCGTGACCACACGGCCAACGGACGGTTCACCTAATGGAAATTTGTAACTGGCGCCTACCGTCCGGAACTTGATTTGAAATCAATAATAATACACGAAAGCGATTTGTTGGAATTTATATACGACAAATTACCCAACCAGGTCTGTTTTCCCCCTGAAACTATCATGATTAATTCCCAATTCATCATGATGGGCTACTTTTATTCTCATGTATAAATGGACGCAGGCGGGGTTACAATTTTTTCGAAAAAAAATAATGAAGTCATATAAATACGTGAAATGTTCAATTTATTTAAGAATGTATAAGTACTATAAGCTGATACCCAGTTCGGAGGCATGTTACCCGAGAGAGACTGTACTATCGTTGTCTAAATGAGTACTTGTGCATTGTTTTTTTTTACTGTATGCACACTGCCCGTTGGTAATTAATGCTCCTTTTCATTCAGGGTTTGCTGGAAGAGAACTCTTACAGAGTGTTTTTTATAGGTGATAATAGAATGATAACCTCGCCTGACCTATCACAATATGCTGGCAGAGCACTAGTGAGGGGTGATAGGTGAGGATGACATCAAGTCGGTTGGCCTTTCGCGACGAATTCAACAAGAATTAACCACGATGGTTTCCAAGTAGAACCGCGTGGACGTCGATCTAATAAGATAAATTGCTAGCAATGGGATTGCTAATCTCCATTTCTAACAATCCCTTTTCCCCCAAACTTTTTGGTTATTTATGTGAAAATTCTGAGGGTGGGTTAATTTACTTGCTTTCATCCTTACCTATCATACCTCACCAGCGCAATCAGGTTGCCATTCCTTTATCTATATTTTAGTATTTATATGAAAAATAGATTTGCACGGATAGCTACTGAGAAAAATATTTTTAAAATTGTCCATTTGGGGGGAAAGGGATTGTTAGCAATGGAGTTTGACAGCCCCAATATGCCTTATTAGGTCGACCTCGACGCGGTTCCCCCTGGAAACCATAGTGACTAATTCTAGTTGAATTCGTGACGATGGGCTAACTGACCTACTTCATCCTCACCTATCATCCTTTACTGGTGCCCCGCCGGTGTATACCGATAGCGCGGGTGGGGTTACCATTCATTCCATTGTCATCCATTAAAAAAAAAAAGCTTCAAATTGGAAATTTAATTCAAACAGACATAATTTGTCGTGTATAATATCCTAAAACATTCCCAAAGCCTAACTGCGGTTGCCAACTAGCCTGCCAAGCGTGGCAACTACGACAGTTATGTTTAGCAGTGGACAGTTAAAGGCTGACATAATGATGATGATTAAACAAACATTACTGTGTTCCACAAAAAAAAAAATCACCTTCAATTGTCGGAAAACAAAAAGTATATTCGATAAAAAAAATTGCCAAATTGGTTTACAACAGACGGAGTTATGAGGTAACAAATATAATACACTTTTTTGGGTTCTGTCCCATTTGTATTTTTTTATATACAACTTAGAATGGCAAACAAGTGATGGCCCACCTGATGGAAAGTGGTAATCGTCGCCTATAGACATGAGCAGTACCATGGACATAACAGAGTACACTGTTTCACCCATGATACCACCCATGCGTTGCCATTCCTGAGGACTCAGGTGTTATTCCTCTGTACCCAGTAAATTCACGCCATATCCCACCCTTCAAATCGAAACACAGCCATGCAAACACAACTGCTTCACGGTAGAAACACGAATGGGACAGAGGTGTCCAAGCAATCGACTTTTGTACAAAGTCTCCCTCTGGTAATTGTATTCAAACAGACTTTTATAGACCTCTATAATTTACTAGAGAGTGACCTCTGATCCTCCTCTCCTCTCCTCTCCTCTCCTCTCCGCCACATTCATAAAATAAATAAAACACAATATTAGCAAAATGAATGGCACATTTAATTAATATTATTCATTTTTATAATTAAACCTTTCTTGTAATTATATGATTTTAATCTATGCATTTGAACTGATAAGAAAATATCAAATGCTCTATGTTACACGTCAGTGTTGCCACCATTAAAAAATGGAAAAAAAAAAATAACAAAAAAGCCTCATTTTGTACATAATCTCCAGGATTACAAACAAGGTAGTTGCTATATCGACCATTCATAGGCGTTTTGCAATAAATTACTGAATATCGAATATGGATACCTCGGTACCGCGCGTACGTACAACAAAATTATATAATAATAATAATAAAAAAAAAAAAAAACTTAAATTTAATCGATTGGAAGAAGTCAACTAATCTAACTAAAGGGTTCCAAAGTGCTTACATCTAAGATTACTAAAAAAATATTTGAACTCTATAAATAAGAACTTCGTGTGTGGTGTTCGGGTTTGTATTGCGCCTGCGCCTGCGCCCGACACAGGCGACATCTGTACCGCAGCCACCTTGGATCAACTTACAATTTAATGTATTATATAATATTATATTGCGTATTATTTACAATTTTATTTTTTTTTTGTACATTTTTTAAATGTTCAACTGTTTTAAATAAGTAATACTACGTCTAGGGAATTAGGTTTTTTTTTTTTTTATAAGATTTTTACACTAAATACAAAAGAGTTAAAAAGAGTATGTCAAGCCAAAACGTAGTGTATTCAGAAAACTGCACGACTTTCCCCAAGCGAAATGGTCCAAATTGAAAGATCTTTGAACCTTTCATACAAAACCAATTACGTCACCGTGCAATTTGCATGGAAAATTCAAAAACAATTTCCACTCATTGAAAGTCGTTCAGTTTCACGAATAACATCACGGCCGTTCGGTTCGGTATACCCTTCCCGACTACTGTGACGCGCTTGATAAATAAATCCTTTCAAATACCGTCGATTATAAGTTGATCCAACAATTGTGATACGGCATCCACAATCAACTTCACTATAATCAACTTTGTTATCTATCGAGCGACAAATATCATGTCTAGTACAACTGAAAAATCAACCTTACAATTATATAATACATTTTAGGGGATTATTACACCATCGTACATGTATTACCATATGTGTATGAGAGCCACGAATAGTGGAAAGGGAGTTGGTAACACTGTACAAAGAGTTATAAATTTTCCATTCATATTCCGAGTGTGTCAACAGCTTTAAGAGTTGATCCAATGTTGATCCAGTGTTGATCCTACATATACGAGAGTGCAATAAACTATTTATAGTGAAAATTAATTACTAAATGGTGTGAAACAACTAGCGCTTATGTACTTTACTCATAATCTTGGATTACTGATCCAGTACACAAAGTAATTGTTACAATTGGGAGAAATGGTTCCGTATTAGTTAATGTCATGAAACGAAAATATTGTCATAGTTTTGTTTTGTTTTTTCTTTTTAGTATTTTGCTGTTCACCTATAGTTGTGTTCAGGTTACTCGGCTCGACACTTTAGTCATTTTCTAAACCTATCTCTAAATTTTGTAATTTTTAGAAACAGGGTTTAGAGAAGGACAAGTCAAAGTATGTTTGTATGTATATGTACTAATTTTAAAACGCTATTATTACAAAAGAGCTTATTTTTCTTATTTCTTTCTAACAGTGTGACGTTCATGCAAAAACATTATACCTCTGTACCCAGTAATTTCAATGTATTACATTATGTAAAAATATTATAACAAACGAATTGTCACTTTGCTTGTTAGTTTATTGTCCTGTTACTTTTTGGAACCTCTTGGTACGGGGCCGAGAGCAAGTAGCGTGAACACAGCTGTAGCAACAACAAATACAATATACAGTCAACACGAAACACATTCGTTTTGATTACCACACAAATGTATTGTTTATAATAATTTATTAAACGAATTTGTCAAGTTTTTGTCATAAACATAACCAATTACATTGAGCTTTATCGTATCTTATATACAAAATTAAGATTATGCAATCGAGTGTTGGGACGACACACTGTAAACAATAACGGGTCACATCACTATCGACAGAATTTTACCATTATATAATCAAATTAAAAAAAAATATTAATCACCACAATACTATAATTACATTCAAAAATCATAATCCATAATCAAACTCTTCATTCCATAATGTAATATTAGTTTCATTTAAAATAGCTGATTATTAAATGTCATAATCAAATGTCATATTACATAATCAAAGTTCAAAATATATAATAATAATAAATCACAATTCATAATAAAATTTTAATAATATAACTTCATACGTAGTCATTAAGATTTGTTTATTTACTTCACATAATCAAACTTTATAATATATATTTGAAATTGACATTACATAATCGTATTGTTACATTACATAATCGAATACTAGTTACATTCGTACAATACTTAAACGTATGGTTCGTGAAAATCATTAAAGACTTTATGAATCAATAAATCATTATTGTTTACAGTTTGACATCTAAATTAAATGTCAGACAATGATTTAGAATCAGCAACCGATTTATATGTATATATAGAGGTGCACAAGCTAGACACACACATGCACGGGTAATTCATTACAAATAACTATATATGGTTACAGATTACTTAATGTAATCTCGTATCGTGTCATAAATAGAAATAATAAATAAAAGCCTATAAAGAAGGCCGCATTCCACTTATAATGTATAGAAGTATTGCGTCATTTAAATGTAATACGTTTCTGATATCAAGTCATTGTCTCACATTATAAGTACACCATTCTAAAGTCATATTTCTCATGATTTCATGTCAAACAGCTATCAAATAAATCTAAAACGTAAGTATATAAAAAATTATACTAAGGCAAGTCGCCCGGACCCGCAGTAAAACGTGTCTACGCGATGAGAGATAAGCCGCAATATATCAACTATATCCACTGGAGTTTTGGTACAAAAAAGAGAGACAAAACATAATAATATCCCTTAAGTACATCCTTAAGTTAGCAGCCATTTTATTTTTAATTAAAACAGATAATAAAATTCGTGTATCGTTTGAAAATGTGTGGAAATTTGATTTTTATACTGCACCATATATAATTCTCAATAGAAGAATCATTATAATGTAAATAAATAAATAAATAATACTGGAGTATTCACTGATACTCGAACTGGGACTGTTTAATACCACTCGTTCACCGCCACCGGTTACACCAAATGTTACTTTCCGCTTAACTATATTACGTTGAACATAATTAATTGTATTAAACAAATTTTATAATTTAAACGTAAAACAAAAAGTATAATTCCATAACGTCTTATTCACAATTGAGAATATGACGTTTCAAGTTTCATAGTGGAGTTCCCACCATCGCCTGGCAATAGAACTCTACGTTACATCCAAACCCCACACATTTCCAAATAAATATCAAACCATAATTCGCACCGCTTCCATGTCCACATTCAAAAGAAATCACATAATATGCATAATCATAAATTCTCCGATCACGGACTCCGTACCCGACGCGTTATTGTCAAGCGCTTAACGATCCCTGGGGATGATGTAGAAAATCATCTGTTTTCGCCCGACAAAAACAGAGATAGAATGGCAAAGAGGCGACGGTGAATACGAACATTGTTATGCGAGTACGGAGCCCGGACCGACCTTAACTACGCTTATGGCAGCAAAAAGAACAGTTAAAATCGTAATTAAAAATATGTTCTTCGATAGATTAAACTATAATATACCTATACATAGATGTAAGTCTAATATTTTACAAAATCTGGCTCTCCGTCTTTGTCTTTGGGCAGACAACGCTGTTCGAATCTCATGTTGCACGCGATGTTCGTGGCGTATAGAAAACTATGTCTAGCGCTAATAATATACACACTTACGTACTATATAGTCCGAACGTGGCACTACGCACTGCTTGCTCTTTGGGACATTCGCGTCGTATCGACCAAATCTACTGCACTGTACTGTACCGTCCGTGACACGCGTTGACACGCGACGCGTTGCAATTAGCAAAAAAAAAAAAAACTACATAATTATAATAATATAATATACCAATTTAAATTCTAAAACTTATACAAAAGACATAAATTTCATTATTAAAAACAACTTGTTACTTTAATGTCATATTACATTCTATAATTTTATGAGTTTGTCGTAGTAACAATAACTTGTTACTAGAATGTCATATTACATTCTATAATTTTATGAGTTTGTCGCAGTAACAATAACTTGTTACTAGAATGTCATATTACATTCTGTAATATTTGATGACTTTGTCATAGTCGTTAATTTGTTTTATTCTGCATTCGTCCTTATTCAGTCGCCGATTTATATAAAATGACAAATATGTCAAAACATGTCACAGACGAGTACGTTACAAATTAAGTAATCAATGCCTTTTAAGTTACAAATCGTGTTTAACTAGCCATGTGTGTATGACGCTCTGCGAGGTGTACGTATGAAATCAATGTTACCAAATGGTATATTAAATACTTTATATGTTATTTGTTTTCCTTTTTTCTTTTAAGTTTTAAAATTATTTATATTAAATGTTACAAATGAAATTTTGTGTACAATAAAATAATACATAAATTATAATTCGATAGTTTATGTGACATCGTGCACTACTAAACTGGTTTGGACCAGGTGTGTGACTATGAATCAATAATTGGTAAAAAGGTTAACGCGTCAGTACTAGTAGTGCATCGAAATTCACAATAACAAACTAAGAGTTTATGCGTAACAAAAATTTATAAAGTTTTCAATTTTGAATTACAAAATTCAAGATTAAAACTATTAAATACTTCACAAATGATTCGACGATAAAAATGTACTCAGATTCATTTAAACAAATGATTTCTCTATTTATTTCAATTACTATACTCTAACGTATGACATATTCAACAACCTTCACAGACGAGAGAATCAAAACTCATGCCATCCTTTTTTAACTGCTAGAGCAAAAAGAGATAGCACGCATTTGAAAGGTGAAACATTGGCGTAGTTTACAATAGTGAAGAGTAATACACACACAGCTAGTTAGTGAGCAGGGCGGCGGGCGGCGGGCGGCGCTAGGGCGGCGCGTGCGGGCGGGCGGGGCGTCGCTATTGCGGCGCCGCACCCGCGCCCGGCCCGCCCAGCTGGCCCATGCCCTGCACGACCACAAGCAAATATATACATTTGTACTGTTATACTGTTACGCAATAATAAAATATACCGGCTAGTGTGCGACTTGCAGGAGCATGAGCATGAGAATGCATGAGAAAAGATTACGAGTTATAAGGTGTACAAATAGTAGAATGCTCGAGTTCTGAATAAGGGAATTGGGAGAACAAATTGTGGTGATACAAGTAGTACAGTATGCGATTTAGTGAAATGTGTGAGTTGTAGGTGTGTAAGTTGTCTGAAATGTAGGATGTACGACATAGGCGTATGAGTTGTGATACGTACGATATAGGCATGTGAGTTGTCTGATGTACGATATGGGCGTGTGAGTTGTGGATTGTACGATATAGGCGTATGAGTTGTGATATGTACGATATAGACGTATGAGTTGTCTGATGTACGATATAGGTGTGTGAGTTGTCTGATGTACGATATAGGCGTGTGAGTTGTGGATTGTACGATATAGGCGTATGAGTTGTGATATGTACGATATAGACGTATGAGTTGTCTGATGTACGATAGATGTGTATGAGTTATGATATGTACGATATAGGCGTGTGAGTTGTCTGATGTACGATATAGGCGTATGACATGTAAAATGTATGAGTTGTAATTTGTGTAAGTTCTAGGCATGCAAGTAATTAGAGGCGTGTGGTATGCGTACGAACCGGCATGGGCTGGTAGTGCTGCAGGGGCGCGGCGAGGAGCTTGGGCGCCTCCTCCGCCTTCTCCTCCTCGCGTCGTTTCAGGCATGCCGCCTTTGGGTTCAGGTTGCGTTCTGTGACAACAACACACACACACTATAACTAAATAATAAATATTTATTTTCACGTTGATTCGTTTATGAGGTAGAGTGATACACTGTAATATTTAATTATTCATAGATAACATAGTGGATTGTCGCTATATATTCAAATACAGCAGCTGCATGCTGAAATTGTTGCATTTTGTCGACCTTAATTGTACAACAGTTTTACAACTCACCTTGGGAGAGAAAAGGTATTAGTAATGCAGACTACCAGTCCCACTGGTAACAATATAGTTCAAATCTACCTTTACATCATTTCCCCTAGAAACCACCGTGCTAAATTCCAGGCGTATTCATTACGATGGGCTAACTGGCCTGCCTTTTCAACCTTACCTATTACCCCTCATTGGTTCCCCGCCAGCGTATACGGTTAGTGCAGGCGGAGATTCCATCCCATTATCATCCATTATTTGATCCCTGTATCCATCACGATGGTCTAACTGACCTGCCTTTTCATCCTCACCTATCATCCCTCATTGGTGCCCCGCCAGCGTATACCGTTAGCGCAGGCGGGATTACCATTCCATTATTAAAAAAAATTTGATAGTTATGGGGGGGGGGGGGGCAATTAAAAAATGGACTCGAAGCGATTTCAATCCTCTTGCTCCGAGCCATTTAAATGCAATGCTACGAGTAGACATCGATGCCAAATTTTACAAAAAAAAATTTTATAAAAAAATCCTGTAAATATTTATTAGGTATAATTCCATTTGACGTTACCAAAACATCGACTGGGCGATTAGTCGTCAAGTAAACTTTGTCGGGAAAAATTACGTATGGGGGCATAAAGATTTTAGAAATGTCCAAGTGAGGGCATGGCACAAAAAAGATCGGGAAAAACTGATCTAGATTCTGACATGTACCTAATAAGGGAATTTAATATCTTTAGTCATAATCCCCAGTAATTTTACCGCCAGATGGAACACCCGTCACCTCACTCATTGGGTCTACCATGAAACGAAATTCCGAATTTTCAGACCCCACTTCGTGTTTATGCCCGTAACGAAATTGGCCCAGTAAACGGAGGTTAACATTTCATTCGTCATAAATCCTGCTATGTATTAATAATCGAAAGGAACGACATTTAATTATTTTTAATATCGGGGCCAAAAATTGGGAAAACACTTCATGGTGAGCTCTCTGTGGTCTGCACTCGGCGCACCTCTGACTTGCTGCTCGAGCGTCATGATGACCTCGACGGCCATGTTGAGTATGCCGAGCTTGGTCTGCGGCTTGTCGCTCTTCAGGTGGGTCATGCACATCCGCCCGAGCTCCTTCAGCGCCTCGTTTATGTCTCGTATTCTTATCCTGCGCGGTCACATCAACTGTATTAGTGCTTAGTAACTAGCTGCGTCTGCAGGGGGGGGGGGGGTGTTGTCAGTAATTCGGACTACCAGCCCCGTTGCTAGCACCCAACGCAATGGTCCTGCACAGGGAACCATCGTGCTAGATCCCAGGTGTATTCCTCACGATGGGCTAACTGGCTTTTCATTCTCATCTATCACCCTCACTGGTGCCCCACCTGTGTAGGGATGAGTAAGGATGAGGGATGGGCAGCAGCGTTCCTTTTAAAATATCTCTAAAAGCTTAACTGCGGTTGCCAATCAGCCTTTAAAGCGGGCAACTACTAGCAAGGGAAATGATAAAGCTTTTTTAACCAATAGTAAAGATTTCATCCCCTTGCTAGTAGTTGCCACGTTCTGGCGCGCGAATTGGCAACCGCAGTTAGACTTTGTAGATGTTTTAAAAGTCGCTGTCCATCTTTCGCCCTCCCTTACTCGCCTCTTACGACACTCGCGGGAAAGGAAGGGGTGGTCCATTCTATGCCGGGACCACAAGGCATAGAAAAGCTTATACGTATAATAATATTACACTAAGCGACGCCTGTACATAGGAGATGTTTAGGAAACTATCCAGAAGGAGATGTTAAGCTGACTGACTCCATAGTGCTTCTCTTTTGTCTGGGTCATTCATTTATTTTTTATTTATTTATTTATTTATACTTCATTTGTACACAAAAAATTACATTGTTATAATATATACTTATAATAAATCTGTAGAGAGGTCAATTCTGTACATGAAATATATTTCCAAAATAACTATCAGGCGGTGATTAGTGATCGATACTGATGCCAAAAATGCACTCAGTAAAATTTTTGTCTGTCTGTCGGTATGTTCGTTATAGAAACAAAAACTGCTCGACGGATTTTAACAAAACTTGGTACAATTATTCTTCATACTGCTGGACAGGTTATAGTATACTTTTCATTACGCTACGATCAATAGGAGCAGAGCAGTGAAGGGAAATGTTAAAAATGTCCACCCGTGCGACGCCGGGACGGCCGCTAGTTTATATTAATTAAAGATGTACAAGAGGCAAGCTTAACTCTGTAAGAGAGTTCTCTACCAGCAAACCCTGAGTGGTAAGGAGCATTAATTACCAGCGGGCAGTGTGCGTACAATGAGAAGTGGTAACAGTGTAGTATATACAGTGGTACCTCGACATTCGAGTTTAATTCGTTTGTAACCTTGCTGGTATCTCCAAGCAATTTCCCCCATTGAAATGCCATTAATCGGTAGTCCCAAAAAACCACGTCAGTTGTTTTAGTTAAATGTTAGTCTCAGGTGGGAGAGACTTAGACACCAACAACCACACCACAGAGGGGGAAAGGGATTGTTAGCAATGTAGATTGACACCCCTATTGTTAGCAATATACCCTATCAGGTCGACCTCCACGTGGTTCCCCCTGGAAACCATCGTGAACAATTCTTATTGAATTCGTCACGATTGGCTAACTGACCTGCTTCATCCTCCCCTATCATCCTTCACTGGTGCCCCGCCGGTGTATACCGATAGCGCGGGTGAGGTTACCATTCCATTATAACCCATTAAAAAAAAACATCCACGCCACATGTGGGGCTCGTGTGCAGCGGTGTAGTGTACGATTCTTCGCATCTCAAATCTTGCTCAAATCTCGAGCAATATATATATCGAGGTACCGCTGTTAATTTATTTTTGTCTGTTATAAAAAATTGTGTAGAATTAATCACTGAAGTAACATCTTCAATCGTGAACGCGCCGGTGAACGACGAGATGCGTCATAGTCGCCTATATCTTACTGGTACAATAAAACCAAAACTAAACAGTATCTGTAGGTTATTTTTTTTTTATACAACTTAGAATGGCAAACAAGCTGACGGCCCACCTGATGGAAAGTGGTAACCGTCGCCTATAGACACGAGCAGTACCATGGACATAACAGAGTATACTGTTTCGCCCATGATACCCCCCATGCGTTGCCACTCCTGAGGGCTCAGGTGTTATTCCTCTGTACCCTGTAAATTCACGCATTAAGGTGCGCCTTGCGCGTATTAAGATTATTCATATCAGTTTTCCTTAAATATTCTTCCACTTCCACATTCCACCAGAGGGAAACTTTGTACAAAAGTTGATTGCTTGAGTACCTCTGTCCCATTCGTGTTTCAACCGTGAAGCAGTTGTGTTTGCATGGCTGTGTTTCGGTTTGAAGGGTGGGATATGGCGTGAATTTACTGGGTACGGAGGAATAACACCTGAGTCCTCACGAATGGCAACGCATGGGGGGTATCATGGGCAAAACAGTATACTCTGTTATGTCTATGGTACTGCTCATGTCTATAGGCGACGGTTACCACTTTCCATCAGGTGGGCCGTCAGCTTGTTTGCCATTCTAAGTTGTATAAAAAAATACATTTAGTTATGGTCTGAGATTGTGTTCCGCGATGAAAAACTAAATTACTTAACCAATTTTGATAAAATTTCTACGGGACCAATTTGTAAGTATAACTTTTCAGATAAAATAAAAAAAAAAACAAGAAATTTCCAAATCGATTTACAACTGACGGAGTTTCAGATAATAAAAAAATAAAATACAACCGAATCGAAAACCTTCTTCTTTTTTAATTTGGTTTATAAAATGAGTCACAGTATGTATTTATATACGCATTGTCTGAAACAAATATATCTAACAAGATATTTCAATGCATTATAATTCGATATATTCTATAATGTAAAAATTTGACGTTCATAAGCGGCTAAAATGTCCTACATGAATAAATGATTTTTGAATTTTGAATTTTGATAGGTATTTTTGCATACAAATACAAGTCGAAACTAAATATAATATATAATGTAACTAAATATAATAATATAATTATAAAGTCATGCCATTAAAAATATAAGAACAATTCACACTAGACGGAGCGCGTAGAAAAAAAAATTAATAAATAATTATTTTTACTATATATTTAAAAAATAATTTTATATAACATAATAATACTAATAAAATATACAATTGAGTTTGGAAAAATGATAGATAATTCAAACATTGCCACCATTCGGCATTATCACTTTTATATATATTTTTAAATATATTTATTTAGAAATTTTGCAGTCAGATTTGTGACTGTATCATGTACACTGACATCCTCATCTTCTGCCAAAGTTTGCCGGTCATCTCTCAGAAACATTTCAAAAATATCAAAAAAAAAAAAATTCAAAAATATCTGACAATTTAGCCGTTGCCACATTTCGGAAGGAACGCTCTTAAACTCACACACCTCTTAGTGTGAGATTCCCTCTTAAAGTCACTCTAGAGATTCTCCTTAGTAATAGTATTATTCTGAAACTCACACTTAAGACTGTACCTAGTGTGAGTTTGTGAGCATTCGTATTGAAGTATGCAACGTCTGGATTTTCTGCGAGAATCCCTAGTGCGAGTTTGAGAGCGATTAGAAATGTACATACAGGGTATGTGTTTGTAACTTGGCCACATGTTCTGGTGTAATCCATACCTCTCTCTCGCGTTGTTCGCCTGCCGCCTCTCCTTCTCCCGCATCGCCTTCGCCTGCGGATCTGTGTCGTCATCGCCCTCGTCCGCCGACGAACAGCTGACCAAACATTTACCATGTAACGTTCCATTCATAAAAACTTACAAACCTATTTTAGCTGTCCAGATGTTTTGTTTCTTTCTTTTGAACTATTCACGATTTAAATTGTAAACAATTGTTAAAATAGGTTTGTTGGTTTATGTTTTTATGAATGATGGTAAGATTTGGATAGATGATGAATTAGCTAATCAAATTAACACACTCAAGGGGCACGTTTATAGTGATATAAATCATTAATTAAAAACCCATTGATAGTATTTTCGGTAACCTTTTTTCCCAAAATAGTATGTGATTGAAATTACAATGTATGATTCTCGAAACATATAATTATTTACATATTTTTACATACACGTTCCTTGGAGAAAATTGTTTAATTTCGTTATCTCTACTGATGTATTGGAAAATAATATTTCTTTACGAAATCATTTTCATTTCTGTATTAATTTAAAAAAAAAAGGTTAAAAAACATAAATCCCATTTTATTACATTTTAAAAAGATATTAATTTGATTAGCCGTTTGAAGTTATTTTGTAGTTTTAACTAAAACAACTGTAGATTATCAATGTTACCTCGGACACGGCGGCGGCGCGCGAGAGAGAGTACTGCTGACCTCCTGTATGGTAAACGCTACTTACTAAACAAAATACAGATGGCCGAATGAACCAAGTTCCATGAAGGTAATGGACTTTTACAAAGTGATTCATGAGATAGGCAGGCAAGATATGATTTTTATAAGAAGTTATTTTACTATAATTTTTTTTTAATTAGTAAAATATTTTTATATAACACACGATGGCAACAATGTGACATATATACAAAACACCATATAATGTGTAGTCTGTTTTTCTATAATTAACACAATTAGTCAACAATCTTAGCGTTTCTTTTTATAGAGTTATATAAAATTAACATAGATACAGAAGTAATATTATCCAATAATAATAAGAATAACCTATTAATATAGAAACATTTTTATACTATTTTATTTACTGTAGACACTGTTAATTCGCCAAGACTGTTTACTAATTCGAGTCATACACAGAATGACAGACTGTTATGTATATTTTTTATATGTATCGTATGTATAATATGAATGTTAGAAACTGAACAATAGCATGCAAGATACATACAAACAAGTTACATATATATTTAATCGTAAATATTTATAATAAAAATGTATTTTATTATTATTACATTGTAATTTAAGTAATTCACTAATATTAAATAATCGTTAAATAAACTATCCTGTTAAATCAGTTGATAAGTTTCATTATAAATTATCATTTACATGGAAACAATTTTATATTTTATTAACATGATTGGTTAATGAACACTACCTTAATAAGTTTTAACGTAGGATAAAAATATGCCAATAGTTTGTGTAACCATTGATAGATGGCGCTGTATATAAGCAAAATAGTGGCTACACACAGTCATATTTGATGTAATATATTATTTTTGTTAAATTCGTTTTAACCTATTCAAATGTTCTTATATGTATTTACTTATTTCAAAGTTAGTTTATAAGAAAATAAAAACACTAATGAACCAATCTTAAACACATTTGTCTTTTTTTTAATAAATATTTTTTTCTTTTTTCATTTAATGTCATTCGATACACCTACTAAAGCCTACGACGCTCCAGAACTTACCGTTTACCTATTTGAAATGTAAAAAGGGAGAAATACATAGAAATGATTGGTACAACAAAGAGAATTCAGACAATGGCATTGCGTTACATACTGTGACCCGTCTTGTTAGGATGACGAAGCTGAAACTTGCAATTACACCTTTGTTAGTATTATATATGGAATGAATGCACAGAAATGTCTTATGTTCAGTTGTGAATAGGGAAGCCGGCGCGAAATAACGTGCAAGATGTTATGCATGAGTAGTGTCCGTACTGTCCCAATATCTATATAAAGTCATCGCTCGCCCCAATTTAATACCTCTATATTCATTTCGATCAGGATTTTCTTCTCAATATCTAATATATAGGTGATTTTCAGTGAGACCCTCTGTCCAACTACGGCGGACTTTTCCACTACGCTTTTTATTTCAAGTTGTTAGAACATGTTGTATGAAAATATATAAGAAACGTTTATAAAATGCTTTTTGAGATCATAAAATTTTCTGTAGACTCAAAAACAATAAATTGCACTTGTTGAAAATCACTCATATTCGTGATAAGATTAAAATAATAACATATTTCAAATACTAACGATCCATAAGAAAAAGAATCATCAATATCGAAAATTATGTAATATATTAAAAGATAAACAAAACAAATTGAAAACCTCCCTTCTTTCTGAAGTGGTTAAAATAAGATTTAAATTTATATTGATATTTAGTAAAATTATCTTTTAATTTTAAACGATAAAAAAATGTTAGTAAAAATTATAAATGTACAGTTGAAAGGCGGCAATTGGGAGATGGATATGCGCTCCGGTAGGTGTGAAATGCCCTTAAGTAGGGATATGCGATCCAGTAGATTTGAAATGACCTTAAGTATAGATATGCGCTCCGGTAGATGTGAAATGACCTTAAGTATGGATATGCGCTCCGGTAGATGTGAAATGACCTTAAGTATGGATATGCGCTCCGGTAGATGTGAAATGACGTTAAGTACAGAATAGACTATATAAATTTATTTAGTACTTTAATTACTTTTTTATGATACTTAGAATGGCAAATAAAGCGATGGCCCACTTAGTGGTAACCATGGTAACCATCGCCTATAGACACTTAATGATTAGTAATAACCGTTGCCTATACACACGAATAGAAGCATGAATACACTGTGTCGCCCATGATACGCCCCATGCTTTACCATTCCTAAGGACTAAGGTGTCATACCTCAGTACCCTCTAGTTACCTATTTCACTGATTACTACTTTGTTTTTATTCCTCTAAATTCATTTCATTCTAAATCAGCGTTTCTGCTTTTGCAGGAACCTTTAGCTGAATTAGCATCCATTTTCTTTACCATAACACTGACTGATTTCTACTACATATCAAGAATATATAAATGTAAACTTTTTTTATATATATATATAATTTTTTATATATATAATTTTTTTTTTAATTTGTTATTACTTATAATTTAAGTATATGTAAGTGTTATGGTTTTATTAAAATAAATTTTTATTCATTCATTCATTTTAAATTTATTTCGTAACTTTTTCTCCCGAAACAAAATCTATTGATAGACTCGCGTTTCCGTGTTCTAAATTGTCTACGAAGCATCTTGCCGTTCATCGGTGTGCGTCTGTGTACGTATATACGCACGTATGCGTGTGCGCGGGTACTTGTGCAAGTTCTACGCGTGTGTGTGTGTGTGTGTTCACGATTGAAGTCGCTTTTTGTTGCGAAGCAAAATGGAGTCACGGATTTTTACAAATGGGAAGTCAATATATTACTTTATTTATAGCTGGTATGCTGTGGGCATGTGGAAACAGTTGTATCAACAGGTGGTGACAAGTCGAAAAGGTTAGAAATCGCTGATGAAATGGTGTTAGTAAAAATATACAGGCGACAGGTAAGAAAAGCGCTGTACACACATCTCCGTGGCACTGAGTCCACAATGATACTTTAGAGCTTTAAACATAAACGAATTGAATTATTAAAGATGTTTCATTAATCGTAAACATTTGACAATAGGTTACTTTTGTAATTTTTACAGAAAAAGCAATCCTGCATCTTTCGTCTTCAAAATATGGTAACAAGGTAACAACAACGTTTATTATACTTTCAAGCGAGACAAGTATCTAACGACGAGGCCCTCGCTCGGAGAAGTGTGAACAGTGCTTAACGATATACAGACATACAGGCGATGTCGAAATTATTATTTGAACAATATACTACTAGTGAAATAGAACATTTTAACAAAACAACAAAAATAAATAAATAAATAAATAAAAATCAATAAAATTGAAGCCCTCATACTGAGCATTTAAATTTGAAACCCAGCTTTATCTTTTGTCGTGTTCAGTTTCACTAGTAGGAAGACGTTCAGTTCCCGCTGTACAAATATACAGTATATGTGATTAAAGAAATCCATTCCTTAAAACTAATGTTAGTATTCATTAAAAGGGTTTAAAAAAAAAAACTTTCCCATAAAAAAATTGTTTTACATTACCAAAATGTAAAAAAATATAAACGAACAACCTGTATCTAAATCGACACCACTAATAACTGTAGCGCTGTTGACATATATACAGATTGTTTTTTTTTTTCGAATATATTTTTATTTTTGGTAATATAATTTTTTTTTCTAGAAAAAGAAAAATCTTCGAGTTCCTATTAATGAATACTATCACACTAGTTGTAAGGGGCGTGTTCGTGTCCCGTGACGTGTGTGCCTGCGTGTGTGTGTGCCTGCGTGTGTGCGTGTGCGTGTGCGTGTGCGTGCGTGCGTGCGTGTACCTCTCTCGCACGTTGTTGGCCTGGCGGCGCTCTCTCTCGCGCGCCGCCTTCGTGTCGGGGTCCACGTCGTCCTCGTCCGCCGACGAGCAGCTGCGCCCGCGGCATTCACTTATATTACGTGCCACGTTACACATTAGCCATATGCCGAGTAACACACGTTGCGTATTGCAGCACTTTGTGATACTCGATTAAATAATATCGAGCCCTGACTCGAATTCCAGTACTCGAACGATTACTCGAACACTCATGTATGATTATATTCAAATACTTCATTAAACTCGAAAAATTTCAAAGGAACACACACATAAAGACTTACGACTAGCATATGATCACTAATATTATTCGAATACCATAACAACGATAGAATTAATCGTATCGTATATTCAAATTCTTCAAATACACATTGAGTACTCGAGTGTTCGAGTACGTATTGTAAATTCGAGTCAGCACTCGGACTCGGCACATCACTATTCATCATATTTTACTTGTAACCTATACAGGTCGCTATACAGGGTGAAGTCGACACCGTTAGCATGATTTTAAAGAAGCGTTCCACAAATTAAACTTAAATATTTTACTGATGTAGTAACATTAAAACTAGACTAGGCTTGTGTATGGTAGTAAGTATAGTTAGGGAACATTAATATGAAGGGTAAAACCCTTCAATAACAGTAATACACGTCAAAACAATGGCGTATCGTAAAAGCCTAACTGCAGTTGCCAAGAGTGGCAACTACTGGCAAAACTCCCCTTGTGGGCAAGCCGTTAATTGTCCATTGCTAAACATTGCTCCCCCCATAAGAGAAGGTTAGAAAAGTATCCCATTTAAAAATATAGAAAATTTCAAATTTACCGTAAATACGGCCTTTTTATTTTTTTTATACGACTTAGAATGGCAAACAAGCTGACGGCCCACCTGATGGAAAGTGGTAACCGTCGCCTATAGACATGAGCAATACCATGGACATAACAGTACACACACATACTGTTTCGTCCATGATACCCCCCATGCGTTGCCACTCCTGAAGACTGAGGTGTTATTCCTCTGTACCCTGTAAATTCACGCCATATCCCACCCTTCAAACCGAAACACAGCCATGCAAACACAACTGCTTCACGGTAGAAACACGAATGGGACAGAGGTAAAATTGACAAAGAAGCTCGAATCTCTTACATTACCTTAATTTTATGTCCGTATTGTAAGTTCTAACTTTACTTATGACTACGATTCGTTGGGAAACATCTCCAGTTACAATGGAACACTCCTTTAAAAGCAACGCTAATGGGTTCAATTTCATCAAAAAAAAAAACAAAAAAATTATACAAAAAGTGTCGGAACTTCGTTTTATATGTATTTAAATGCACACATTGCATTATGGGCCTTAATTTGTTACGAATAAAGTAAAAAGTCAATTATAAATGATATTCACTTACTGCCTTATACAGTTAACCAAAAACAAAGAGTACAGAGACAAAAGTACAGGGAATATCGTAATGAATACATTATAAGATAATTAAAGATCGTATCTCACAAAAAACAAACTTCGTTTATTGCAAAACTAAGTATTTTGACCTAAAAACTATACAAATGAATCCATTTTGATAAAAATTTCTGTGGGACCAATCTGCAAGTATATCCCTTCAAAAAAAAAGAATCTTCCAAATCGGTTTACAACTGACGAAGTTATGAGGTGACAAACGTAAAAAACCGAATTGAGTACCTCCTTCTTTTTAAAGTCGGTTATAAAATACAATTCAAAGTTTAAAAGTTATAATATTTCTATTAATATCAAAGTATGCAGTACATATGTAGTATGTACAAAAGACGAATCCATACTATGTATACAAAGAGGAAATATTTGATCGTTTGTTTGTTTGTAGACTCATCAAACAATACATTAATAATTTTCAAAATTCTTTCACCTATAGACAGCTAATTTATCAGTGATTAACATAGGTTATACGTATATTGTTTACAAAAACTCTACCCACCCGAGTGAAGCCGGGTCGGATCAATAGTATAATAATAATAATAAATTCCCATTAAACATATTCGAGTTAAAATCAAAACTTTTAAAATAAAATAAGAGAAAAAACGAAAACTTAGACATTTCCTGTCCTTTGCCTGTACCTTCACAAATAGTTTATTCAAATATATGTTTTAAACTACTACGTTTAAAGCACAATTTCAGTTGTACCCAAATTGTCCCCTTTAAACGACGTTCAGACACTTTTCGCGCGCAATCGGAATTATAACCCCTTAATGATAAAAACAACAATTATAAATATTCTATTAACTTTTTTTAAAATTAAAAATTTTGTACAAAGGAAAAAATACAAACAGCTAAAATGCTGGGCATTTGACGTTTTTACGAATAAGGGGTTAATTGCTTGTATCCAAGGCACTTAAGATATTTTTTAATATTAAAAAAAGGCTACATACCGTATACAGGGTGAAATAAAAATCGATAGCAATCTTTATGAGTCCAAAACATACAAAAAAAAATATGGAACATACAATATAGTATCTACGTTAAGACGGCATGTCCCAACTTTTTACCCCAATTTGTGTGATCATGTACCAGTTTCGTGCTTCTTTCATGTTTGTGAGGACACGTCTTCAATAGCAATTGGAGATAAGTCGATCTCCTAAACTGTGGTACGGATTTCGATCATGTATAAAATAGACTTTCATGTTATTGAAATAAGGTTTATTTTTACATTTCACTTTTCTTGTCGATTTTAGAACGTTCCATGCTCCGTGCTAGTCTATGTGAACGGACACTATAAGGACGCTAACGATTTCGATATCCCCCTGTATATATGGTATGTATCACCTATGCCTAATGACAATATACGGTCTTACTACAGAAAATATTTAAAACGCTGTTTATCTAAACAGTGTTTAACCTAACCCTGTTTAAGCGTTTAAACATTGTTTAAGAATGTTTCTTAAACAATGTTTATTTGTAATTTTTTGTGACAAAATCTGTAATTTATTACTTTAATTTTTCCCACAATTTCTTTTATTTCGATACAAACAGACGTTAGATCAGTTATCATCTAAGCACGTAGCGAGCACGTGTCTATCGCGTTGAATATTGTCTGCAGTAAGGCGCGTGGCGCGTGGCGCGCGTGTGTGTGGGTGTGTGCGTGCGTCGGCTGTATACTCACTATCTGCGCGAGCGCTTGTTGCCGGGCGGTTTCCCGACCAGCGCGTCCGCCGACCCCGACGACGAAGGCTTCGAGTCCAGCCCCGAGTCCGGCGGCTCTTTACGCTTCTCTGTAATTTATTTTACAATACACATGAAGAAACAAATATATATACACATAAATAAAAAAAAAAAACTTACACATTTTTTAAATATTTCACTAAATTAAATGATAGTTATGAATTCAGTATATCACCAGACACTATATAACTGTGCGTGGACTGAATGACGGTCGGAGATTGATGACTTATTAAGGTGCTCAATCTTCCAGTGTACACAGTCATACACATACTAATGGGAGCGAAGTTAAACGAAATAAATTAAATAACTATTATTTTTAAATAGTCACTAGGATTGTAACGCCCATTCGGTATGTACAATAATTTCAAATTAGACCAACGAGCAAATATGTGAATGCACACCACTGAGCTTTATCATCATCATCATTTCAGCCATTATTCATCCACTGCTGAGAGGACATAAGCCTCCCCCATAGACTGCCATAAAGAACGCTCCAGAGCCACCTGCATCCACTGACTCCTTGCAGTGCATTTCAGGTCGTCACTCCATTTAGTGGGGAGTCGGTCTACAATGCGTTTACCCGTACTTACAAAAGTCGATTACTTGGGTACCTCTGTCCCATTCGTGTTTCAACCGTGAAGCAGCTGTGTTTGCATGGCTGTGTTTCGGTTTGAAGGGTGGGATATGGCGATGAATTTACTTGGTTTAGAGGAATAACATCTAAGTCCTCAGGAATGGCAACGCATGGGGGGTATCATGGGCGAAACAGTATACTCTGTTATGTCCATGGTACTGCTCATGTCTATAGGCGACGGTTACCACTTTCCATCAGGTGGGCCGTCAGCTTGTTTGCCATTCTAAGTTGTATAAAAAAAAAATGTTCGCCACTCGAGAACCTTCTTCCCGCTCGGTTGTCATTCTTCGAGTGTATCAGATCATAAAAATTTATAGTCTTCTGAATGGCCTGTAATTCCATGGACAGTAGTAACTGTCAAACTGACAGACCCTGAGTCGCATTTGAGTGCAGTATGTTTTACCAGAGGGAGACTTTGTACAAAAGTCGTTTGCTTGGGTACCTCTGCCCTATTCGTGTTTCAACCGTGAAGCAGTTATGTTTGCATGGCTGTGTTTCGGTTTGAAGGGTGGGACATGGCAGTGAATTTACAGAGTACAGAGGAATAACACCCGAGTCGACACGGTATACTCCGTTATGTCCATGGTACTGTTATTTAAATGTACATGATCGACTAACACCATGAACGCTTGTCATTCAAGTAATCGTTTAGAGCAGTGTTTCCCAACCTTTTTTGTGCCATGCCCCACTTGAACATTTCTAAAATCTTTATGCCCCCATACATAATTTTTCCCGACAAAGTTAACTTGACGACTCTAATCGCCCAGTTGATGTTTTGGTAACATCAAACGAAATTATACCTAATAAATATTTAAAGCATTTTAATTAACTTTTGTTAAATTTGGCACCGATATCTACTCGCAGCATTGCATTTAAATAGCCCAGAGTATTTTTTAATCCCCCCCCCTGAACTATTAAATTACCCCCTGTGGGGCGTGGGCCCCACGTTGGGAAACACTGGTTTAGAGTGTAATAAACAACATATAATACGTAATAATGACCTCGTGTTCGCGGTATAGAATAGGCCACCCCCTTCCTTTCCCGTAGGTGTGAAAGGAAGTGACTAAGGGAGGGCGAGGGATGGGTAGTAGCGTCCCTCTTAAAACATCACTGAGAGGGCAACTACTGGCAAAACTTCCCCTTATGGGGAAGGCTTATGTCCAGCAGTGGACAGCTAACGGCTGAAATTATCATAATAATCATCATCATCTTCCTACCCTTATCCCAATTATTATTTGGGGTCAACGTAATATGGTTTTATCCATATTACAAAACGATTTGGCCTATAGTTTTACGACCGGCCACCTGCCTGACGTCAACCCTCTTTGGGAATGCATTTATTGGTGGTTTCCGCCACATACGGTTTGGAGGAAAGGACTGAGGAGAAAAGGAAGAGAAACGTTGGAAATGCGTATAGGAAATTAGTAAATGAGAGGAATAAGGGACTTATGTGGGAAAGAAAAGGGCACTGCAGTTGCGGAAAGGACTGCGAAATAATAATAAAAATGAATGTAATAAAGTATGGAGTGTGAACTTTGTACTGACTCGTGTTGGGCAGCACGTGCCGCTCCATCTTGACGGGCGGCTCGGGGTGCAGGTGCGGCAGGCCGGCGCCCACGCCCAGCCGGGACACTGCCATACCACAACCATCATTACATTAGTTTGTACTAACTCCCTACATAGTTTCTTCACGAACAATTACCAAATTATTCATATTTTTTTTATACCACTGAGGTGGCAAACAAGCATACGGCCCACCTGATGGTAAGCGGTTACCGTAGCCTATGAACGCCTGCAATACCAGAGGTATTACGCGCGCGTTGCCGACCCTGAAGAAACCTCTTTACCCCCTTTTGAAGAACCCCATGCTGTAGTCTATTGGGAAAACCTCCGCATATAGTATTCCTAGCTGATTACCTGTTTTTAAATTGTTGCATGCCTGATACTAAACTGAACCGAACTGTTGATACTGTTGGTGATGTCGAATCCAAAGCAATGTTTACTGCTATATATATATGTACACAGTTGGCAAATAAAATTCTATTCTATTTTCCATGGATTCTTGGTAGTATAGAATATGGATGATTGGTAGATAGATCTTGGTAGATACATGGACTCTACTAGTATTAACTAGCTTTTAGCTCGCTCTTTGGTACGTATGCACCTCATAAGTGGGAACAACAATGTAACAGAACACTTTTAGATGGACATATCAAGATGAAATATACACCAGTGAAATTACTGGGTACAGAGGAATAACACCTGAGTCCTCAGGAATGGCAACGCACAGTGGGTATCATGTGCGAAACAGTACACTCTGTTATGTCCATGGTACTGCTCATGTCTATAGGCGACGGTTACCACTTTCCATCAGGTGGGCCGTCGGCTTATTTGCCATTCTAAGTTTCATAAAAAAAAACAGGTTTTTAAGTTACACGTTCAGAAACACAACTGCGAGAAGCGCATCCAATTAGAGGCGATAGTTTTTGCGTGATGCCGATATAAACATACAGACAGACAAATTTACTGAGATTTATTGTTTTTACTCCCTTCGGTCTGGTTGAGGACATTTCATATCAATCTTCCATGTACAGACATCACCTAGTTACAATTTTATTATACGAGTATATAAGATATGAAAGTCAGCAATAAAATCTAACAGGCCCATAACTAGTAATATACCCATCAAGTCCACCTTCACGCGGTTCCTCCTGGAAACCATCATGATTAATTTTTGTAAAATTCGTCACAATGGGCCTCATCCTAACCTATCATCCCAGGGGGTAAAGGGATTGTTACCAATGGAGTTTGACAAACCCATTGCTAGCAATATACCCTATTAGGACGACCTCCCCTCCACGTGATTCCCCTTGGAAACCATTGTGAACAATGCTTGTTGGCTGACTGACCTGTTTCATCCTCACCAATCATCTGTCACTGGTGCCCCGCCGTTACCGTTTCATTATCAGCAGCGTTGTCGGTACACCGCCGGCGGGGCTAGTGACGGTGTGCTGTGTGCTGTGTGCTGTGTGCTGTGTGCTGTGTGCGGTGTGTGGGGCTCACCTGCGGGCGGCGGCTGGTGGTGGTCGTGCGGGTAGAGGTCGGGCGCCTCCGCGTGGTTGCGCAGCACGTTGATGGCGTCGTCGAGCCGCTCCTCCATGCGCGCGCCCTGCACACCACACTTCGCGCTGTATTGCAACCCGCCTGCACTCACACCCCTCACACGCCTCACACGCCTCACACGCCTTACACGCCTCACACATACGGCATACTGCATACTGCATACTGCATATATACCAATATACAATCCACTCACGCACACACGTGTGTACAGTACACATCTTATCGTCTTAGTCATAAAAACGACAATACTATTTTAGCTAATTATCTGTTGCTGTCTCTTTCTTTCACACTAAATTACCAACTCGAATGAAAGTGACAAAACATTGTATATTAAATCTTTTAATGTATTCAGTATGAATTATGTACAATAAAGATTTTACAATACAACACAACGTAATAGATAGACTATATTATTCACATATTTGTATATAATATATATAAAATTTTGTATATAATTGATATATTTATATATATCAATACCAGAGGGGGACTGCACAAAAGTCGATTACTTGGGTACCTCTCTTCCATTCATGTTTCAATCGTGAAGCAGTTGTGTTTGCATGGCTGTGTTTCGGTTTGAAGGGTGGGATATGGCGTGAATTTACTGGGTACGGAGGAATAATACCTAAGTCCTCAAGAAAGGTAACGCATGGGAGGAATTTTGGGCGAAACAGTACACTCTGTTATGTCCATGGTACTGCTCATGTCTATAGGCGACGGTTACCACTTTCCATCAGGTGGGCCGTCAGACTGTTTGGCATTCCAAGTTGAATGTTTTTTTTTTTTATATTGACATTATAAATAATTTAATTAATATATAAAATGATCATTAATATATTCTAATGGTGGCCATGTGTTAGTTTGTGACTGCTTTATTCTATTTTCAACTTTATTGTATATGAATGTAAAACAATTATTATGTAATTAATTGTATTGTATGCCCGATGTATGGGTAAGCTGTTTTCCTTTAACGTGTTAATAACATCTTATGAAAAATTATAATGTACAGCTCACAATAAATATTTATTCTATTCTATTTTATAAAAAAAAAACCAAGATCATTAAATAAAAAATATCCGAATCGGTCCAGTCTCTCTCTAATATTGCGGTAACCAGCGGTTAATTTTTATTTATAAAGGCGACCGTATGTTACGTTCCCACACTTGAAATTTAATGGGGAAAAAAAACAAAACTTTATAACAATTTTTTTGGGCCGTTAAAAGTTTCATTGAAAATTATAGTCATTTGCGAGCGGGGACAGACTGGATATTATATAATTAGCTGACACAGGTTACGAATGGATGTGTTGTTGTGTTGTGTGTTGTTGTGTTGTGCGTTGTTGTGTGTTGTTGAATTGTCCGAACTTTAAATGGCAAAAGTCGTGAATTCCATTGTGCCCTACATTAATGATATTAAAACTTTAAACCGACTTCAATAAGGAGGTTCTCGTGTCGGTTGTATTTTTTTTTTAAATGTTTGTCACCTCACATCTCTGTCAGTTTGTTGTAAACCGATTTGGAAATTTCTTTATTTATCTTTTAATTAAAAGGAAATTTTTAACAAAATAATTATAAACTATGGGTTTATATACCTGACGATATAAGATTTATTTTTATAGATTAGTCTCATAGGAATTTTATTGTAGTCTAGCAGTAATTCCGCACGATTTATTTTTAAAATTTTTAACCGACTTCAAAAAGAGTGAGGCTCTTATTAGGTTGAACTTTTTTTACATTTGTTACCTCATAACTCCGACAGTTGAAACCCAATTTAAAAAAATTCGGAATACAATTTCAGTTGAAAAGAACGAGCAAAGAACACAGCTGTTGCTTTTTTTTTCAAATATGAGCTAATTGTACAATATATATATATATATATATATATATATATATATATATATATATATATATATATATATATATATATATATATATATATATATATATATATATATACATAAAATGACTACCACAAATTTTGCATTGATAAAGGAGAAAAAACAAGCTACATGATCTGATATGACCTCGGCGGTGTAGCGTCTTAACACACCTCACCTACCGATGGTCGTGATTTGATTCCCGTACAATACAAACATTTGTATTCACGATGCGTCTGTTTGTATTGGTTTGGGCTATATATAATATGTATTTACACGTAAAAAAAAAATGTCTAATACTCATAGCACGTGCTCTGCTTAGTTTGGCACCGCACGGAATAGCTCAAAATAAAAAAATAAAAAAACTTTACTCAAATAGACCTGTTTACAGATTATTTTAAATTGTCAATTGTTTTACAAATGTACATACAGGGTGTTCCGAGTGTTATCTGCTGAGATGAATCCGTAAAACTCAGCAGTTTCAATTTAAAGTGATTGGTAACTAAACAAAAATAAACAAGAAACATTAGATGGCGCTGGAATCGAAATGTGTGATTTTTGCTGATTATTTTGTAATAAAAAATTATTTCAATGTAAAATGTCTAAATTGGCCAGTGGTTTTTATAATTACGTATGAATGTGAAGTGACAGATGATAACACGCGATCATTTCCTGAATAAATTATAATCCATACAATCGCAATGTCTTTGTTACTAGCAAGTGTTTTTTATAAAATCGTACAATACATGAGAATAAAGACAAAAATTATAATAAACCATTACTATATCGGTAAAAAATAAATAAAAACACCCGCCAATTTAGAAAATTTGCTTCCAATTATCTTTAATTACAATAAAATCAACAAAAACCACCGGCCTCGATTCTAGCGCCATCTAGTTATTCACGTCCAACTTTGTTTAGTGGCCAACCACTTTAACTACCGAATTTCTCGGGTAAAGAGTTTATAAACAGGTCTATCTGAATAAACGCTTTGTCTAACATGTCCAAAGAAGCGTATAAAAGGAATATGTTTGGCTAAAACAAAAGCAATACTTACGACTACATCGGAGTGCTCTCTCAAGAACACCATCGCCTCGTCGAGCTGCCGCTGCTCGGCCGGCGCGCCCTACATCGCAGGTTTAGTTTACAGCGGGGGGCGGAGCTCGCGCCCGCCAGTACTCTACGGAGCTCTGGCATCGCTTGGGAGGGTCGACAAACTAATTCAGACGGGCCAGGGGGGGGGGGGTGGAATACAAAGTGAACAGAACCGAGCGACACTTTTAAGGGACAGCAGTTTCGGACGATTGAAGTCACAAGGACTCCATTGAGAATATTGAAGAGGGCAGATGGTAATGGATGCAACTCTGAGGGACTACTCCGCTATGAGTGGGGGAGAGTAGGAAGATCGTCGGATGGAAGGGTAACAAATACAAATGTGACGTTGGAAAGCGAGCAGTCGACGAGACTTCGGAACCGGCGCGTACGCATGACACGAGATATGGAATCGAATGAAGCAGGGATTTAAAGAAGCCACCTTCTACGTATCATAACGTAAATTATCAACTCTCTTTGTCTGCCTCGAACAGAACCTGGCGTGAAGGTAGGTTTCACGGCAAGAAGATAAATATGTATACTAGTAGAAACATGCCGCTCATGATTAAGGGTGCTTCCGAAACTAGTCGAACATTCTCGACTGAAATACACGTAAGTCAATCCGGAGAATCTTACTTTATAAATGAGAGATGAAAGCGTAACAAAGAAGAGTAGAAATCATAAAAAAAATTCATAAAAAAGTCGAACGTCAATAAACTTATATCACTTATTGACGTGTGGGTGTTTTTTCTTTCCGCGGTAATTTTTTTTAATTTTAAAGAATAAAAGTGATAAAACACTATTTTAGAAGGGGGGGGGGGGGGGCAATATTTAATGGTAGATAAAGTTCATTTATACTACGTCTACGACATATAAGAATTCAATGTTTTCGATGCAAGAGAATAATTTTCTCAAAAAAAAAAAAACAGTCGAATAATTTGTAACTTTCTATTTATTAGCGGCAAGAAAATACTAACTACAAAATTCCACATAAACTATATATCTACGGTAACATCTAGGGGGCGCGGGCGCAAGCTCCACACTGTCGCCGGTAAGAAAACGAAAACACAAACTTAATGCGGTAGCAATATGGTTCACATTCCACTGACGTATAAAATTTAAAAAAAGAGAAAAGAAAATAAATTAATTTAGATTTTTAATTATGGTAACATCTTTTGAGTATGCAGTGTTCAAATTACGTTCCTGAAGTATTCAAACTGTATTATTATTATTATGTGACAGGTCGCAACAACCGCTACCAGCACAAACATATTGGTACCGCATTGAAAGATTAATACTAAATGACAAAATTAATATTGAACAAATAAAACAAATGTTATATAAAAAGCTATATAATAAATAAAACACTTGTAAAAATATAAAACAGCACGGCCTGACCAGGATTAGGGCACATTTTTTCTATAAGACGTTGTAAATTCGAATGAATGAATGAATGAGTATAATTTATTTGCATTATACAATATAGGAAATAAGGAAATTTGATTAGAATAGAATAGAAATAGAAATTGTTATATTAATAAATAGTTATATGTATCTATACGTCTGCCCGGTGGCACCATCTACCGCTGCCCATTGGTTGCACAGAAAATCAGCGTTTAGGAGTTATGTATGAATGCCTAAACACTTAGTCGAGTGGAGACCATAATAAGGTCGCATAATTTCTAATTTATTTTTGTATTTCCTTTTTCTTTAAGTTTATAATTGTTCGTGTTTTAATTGTAAACATTATTAATATGCGTTAATTAAATATTTTTCTTTCTTTCTTTATTCAACAAGACTTGTTTGCAAGCACTTTTAAGTTGTAATCATTTATAATTCTACTGCTGAATTCGGAATGTTGTTATCTGCTGAGAAGAGTCCGTAGAAAACTCAGTTTTTCTTTTCTAATCTCCGTTAACAGTATTTGTGTTTATTTAAATGTACTATGTCTAATATAACACGGTCATTTCAAAAACCCGTTCTTTATAATCTGTATCATTCATTGAAGGGGACAATAAAGAGTTTTCATTCATTCATTAATTCAAAAATGTCCCTGATCCCTGGTCGGAGCGTACTGAACGAGACTGCATTGATCCAAAAGGTCTAACCTCAAATTTTAGTTACATCCATGCATGTAGTCATGCCCACTAAAAACAAAGTCTATGGAAAAATCTCGTTTGAGCATTATGTACATAGAATTAGCGAACGAGCTCGGCGGCGACCGGTCGTCTGGGATAAAGGTCACCGCTGTACCAAATGTTCATTGGCGGTCGATCATTCTAGATCAATCTAGTGGAATAAAACTGCAACGAATTAATTATTTAATTACAACGACTTGCAACACACACGAAGCTCTTAATTAGATTTTTTTTTTTTTATTCTTTTTTTATTTTACGTTACGCGTTATTATCGTATTAATACGATATTTTGATTATCGTTTCTAGCAACCGATAGTATCCACTCCTACGCATTGGCGCCATATTTAATTTGTTACGGTTGAAATTGTTTTTTTATATTTTTTTTTTTTATTAAAAACTGCACGTTACTAAATATAATCTATTTGTACGATACGATTCAGCGTTCTAAATTCAAATATATTCCATCTAACGTGTTTATTAGGAACAATATTCATAACTTTTTTTTTTACACTAGGAACCATCCAGTCAGTCAGGATAAATCTTTGACTAGTTTTTTTTTTACATCTTTAGAAACCAACTAAAAATGTATATTCTTTTTAATTTATTCAGACAGTTAACCAGCCAGGATAAGTTATTTATTAAGTATAACATTTATTTTCGCCGCGTGGTCCCGACATAGTATGTGCCATCCCTTCCATTCCCGTGGGTGTCGTAAGAGGCGACTAAGGGAATATATTAGTCGAGGGATGGGCGGTAGCATCCCTCTTCAAACATCATCAAAGCTTAACTGCGGTTGCCAACCCGTCCGCCAAACGTGGTAACTACTTGTACAACTCCCCTTATGGGGGAAGCGTATGTACGGCAGTGGACAGTTAACAACTAATCTGATAAAGAGGAAAAGGGATTGTTAGTAATGGGATCAAATAGCCCCATTACTAGCAATATACGCTGTCAGGTCGACCTCCACGCGGTTCCCCTGGAAACCATCGTGGCTAATTCTAGTTAAATTCATCAGTATGGGCTAACTGGCCTGCTTCATCCTCACCTATCATCTCTCACTGGTGCCCCGCCGGTGTATACCGATAGCGCAGGCGGGGTTACCATACCATTATCACCTATTAAAAAAAAAACTAACACGATGATAGAATAAACATTTCTTTTATATATATAATACGTTCTTTTATATATATAATTATGTAGATCTAGATACAAGTCGCGCCGCGGCCGCGTCCACTTATATACATAGTATATTTATTATTGTTATACATAGGGCCGTATTAACAGAAAGTTTTTCCTTAATCCAAGTTTAATGTATAGTTCAATAAAACCGTTTAACCTTGATAGTTGGGTCCGTACCACGTATTATATTAAACACAGAGGGCGAGCAGAGTTTTTACAATGTTTTATTCTTTGGTCATTTATACAATGACGACTCGAGAATGATTCTTGTAATAATTTATTTTTTCAATAGATGATAATGTAATGGTAACCCCGCCCGCGCTATCGGTATACGCTGGCGGGGCACCAGTGAGGGATGACAGGTGCGGATGAAAACGCAGGTCAGTTAGTTAGTCATGTTATACGGCTGTATAACCCTACCAAACTCAGATGCAACCTGCTTGCATACTTTCTACATAATCTGTGTTGACTATATAATCTAGTAATGTAAAATTTGTCATTGACAAATAATTGACATATCAAACATTTTCTATACACTAGCCTGCTATGAATTGGGAAAAATAGCAATTGATGGTGTATCTTTCGTCCTCTTTTTACTACTTATATTTGTATAAGAAGAAAGGAGGCAACCATATGATTTACAGTTTTTATTATTCTTTCATTAATTCCTTGTTCTTAGGTCGCGACATAATTAAATATAGTATTTGCTTTATATATATATATATATATATATATATATATATATATATATATATAATTTTTACTTCGTTCGTACCTACTGCAACATATTGATTTGTCCAGGACAAATATTGCAAATTTTATGACAGTTACTCGAGCCATTTTTATGCAACTTAGAATGGTAAAAACCTGACTGACTATAAGTATTTTTTTTTATTGTAGTATGATGTCACGTGACTACGCCGCCCTGAGCGAACACAGGAGCGATATGGTCCATGAGTACGATCACCCCATAAGAGAATATTCTACAGTCGAAAGTTGGTCGCACTACACCGGCTGATTTAGTACTTTTACACGCTAAGTTTGAAAGAGCCTAATTTATAGGACGGAAAGAACACGCCACGAAAAAGGCTAAACTTGTTTATACTCATTTACGTATTAAAGTAATTTGAAACTTTACATAGTTTGATCGACCGCCGGTAGTGCCACAAGAGCCTCGCTCCCAAGCGACCGGTCCGCTGAGGGTGTGCACTCACCATGGCGGGCGGCGGGAACACGGCGACGTGGTGGTGGTGTCCGTTGGGCAGCACGGCCGCGCCCCCCAGCGGCGCGTGCGGCGTCGCCGCGCTCGGCGGCGACGACACGCCCGTCGACACCCAATTTGATTGCTGCCGATAGAAAAAAAATAGTATTACAACTATGTTACTGCTTCAGAGGGTTACCTTCCGTGAACGCTCTAGCTCCACGGCGAAGATCCTAGAGACTACAGTATGGAGTTCTTCAAAAAAGGTACATTAAGGTTCCATCAGGGTCGTCAACGTGCACGTAACACCTCTGGTGTTGCAGGCGTCCATCGGTTACAATGAATTTGCAGATTGCAATCACAAATTATAAAGTGAGTAATTTGGGGGGAAAGGGATTGTTAGTAATGGGGTTTGATAGTCCCATTGCTAGCAATATGCCCTATTAGGTCCACCTCCACGTGGTTCCCCTTGGAAACCATTTCTTGTTAAATTCGTTACGATGGGCTAACTGACCTGCTTCATCCTCATCTATCATTCTTCACTGGTGCCTCGCCGGTGTATATCGATAGCGCAGGTGGAGTTACCATTCCATTATCACCCATTAAAAAAATGTGATTTATCTGACAGCGAAATTATGCAAGTGGAAATAATGGCCGAGTACACTTAATGGAAAGTGGTAACCGTCGCCTACAAACATGCACAGTACCGTGGACGTCACAGAATGCACTGTGATGCCTATAATATCCCTAATGCGTGGCCATTCCTGAGGACTATGGTGTTGTGGTCCCGGTATAGAATGGTCAAACTTTTGTGAGTTTCGTAAGAGGCGACTAAGGGAATTTGATGGTCGAGGGATGGGCAGTACCTTCCCTCTTAGTGATAAAACATCATCAAAAGCATATCTACGATTGCCAAGCGTGGGGATTACTAACAAAATAAGTAGAAGCCTTTGTTTAGCAGTGGACAGTTAACGCTATACAAAGTCTTTGTTGATTTTTTATATAAAAGAAAATAATGTTTTTTTTTTTTTTATTTAACACTCACTATTACGCTCTTGTACAAATCACAATAAACATCCGGCTAGAAGGACCAAAACTTAAATAAAATCAAATCTTAATCTTGTATTTTTATTGTAATTTGTAAAAATGCACAAGAATGAGAAGTGTCGTTTAAAAAACACACTCTATATACTGTCATATCTTATCCTTCAAGTCAAAACACAACTGCTTGGCAGCAGAAACACGAGTGAGACAAAGGAACTCGATTAGACGGTTTTTGTAAAAAGTTTGTCCATATTTATCGATGATTCGTTCAGGTGAGGAATGATAATCGACTGTGTGTTTCAGTTCACTATTCACTAAGCGTCGCCAGGAACTCGAGTGAAATCTGAACGCAACGATTCAGCGATTTTTCACTTAATGCTAATTGCATTAGGATCGAATTAAGGGTATGCAACAAACTATATGAACATAAATAGCAGATGTGACGTATAATGTTGTGTATGGTACTATATTGCGTGTAGCACTAGTGAAGCACTGACCTGTCCGTTGTGGTGCTGCACGTGGTGGTGCGCGGGCGAGTGTTTGAGCGGCGGGTAGAGGCGCGCGTGCAGCGGCGGCGGCGAGTGCACCGGCGTGGACGGCGACGAGCCGTAAGACGACAGGCTGCCCGCCTCCGCGCCCGCGCCACCGCCGCCGCCGCCGCCGCCGCCACCGCCGCCCACCGACGGCGTACTCGCCGCGCCGCCGTACATCTGGCGGGGAGGACAAAACACTGACCGTATAACATCCTGCTGTGGGAAAGGTATTGTTAGCAATGGAGTTTGACAGTTCCATTGCTAGCAATATGCCCTATTAGGTCGACCTTCATATAGTTCCCCCTGGAAACCATCGTGAACAATTCTTGTTGAATTCGTCACGATGGGTTAATTGACCTGCTTCATCCTCACCTATCATCCTTACTGATGCCCCGCCAGTGTATACCGATAGCACAGGCGGGGTTACCATTCCATTATCACCCATTAAAAAAAATAACTATCCTACTAATCCTATATACAATCCTAATCCTACTTTTTTTATACTATTAAGATAGGCAACAAGTATACGACCCACTTTATAGTAAGGAATTATCGTAGCCTATAATAGAATAGCCTTCAATACCAGGGGCAGTACCTGCACATTGCCGATTCAGAAGAAACCTCATTCCCCTTTGTTTTGAAGGTCTTGCAGTTTTCTGGTGGAAAGGACCATCAGCAACGGAATTAAGCGGCCCCATTTCTGGTAATATACTTTTTTAGCTCGACCTTCACGCGATCTACTGTGGAAGTCATTTTGGCTGGTTCCTGGTTAACTGTTGACCTGACTACACCCTCACTTATCATCCCTCAATGGTATGTCGTCAATGTGTACCGATAGCGCTGAGGTTACCATTGCATTTTTTCCTATAAAAACACCCCAATTCTACTAAAATACACGTACATGTAGGACATGTATTTTTAAGTGACTTTCAAAAGAGCGTTGTGGCCCTGTGGTATACTATCCCGATTTATTGATCTCAAAGGGTGAAGGTCGAATCAAACCAACTCTAAATTTTTGTGTGACAACAACCGCCTCTATCCGGTTTCCTGTGGAAGCCACCGTGATTATTTCTTAATGAAATCCTCTCTATGGGCTATCTGACTGGAGTTGATCCTCACCTAACATCTCTCATTATTATTAGTACCCCATCGATGAAACACTTCTTGATGACAAATCTTTTAGGTAGTATAATCAGACCAGCGAAATTATTTATTGGTATTCCATTGCGGAAGACCAGAAATTGAAGCTCGGCCTAATGCGACTAAAACTTGAAGGGTTAGACTCCATGTATGACTCTGAGATCACTGATAATTGCCATAGAATGTATGAATTTGTTAATTATGCACTCACCGGCTGCAGCGGCGGCTTGGCCACGAGCATGGGGTCTGTGGGGGAGTGGTGTGGCGCGGCGGCGCGGAACGACGACATCGGCGGCAGAGGCAGCTCCGCGCCGCCGCCGCCGCCCGCCGCCTCGCCCGACGGCGGGCCCGCTATACCTGCACCGTCCACCACACCATATATATTCGATCCATACATGGAATGATTATTATCCTCTTCGATCGATCGAATGATCCATCACTCTAACATATCGACAGAGGAGGAAAGTGATTGTTAGTAATGGGGTCTAACTGCCCAATTAAATTCTTCTTCCAACTGTCACATTGAAAACAATATGTCGGTCAAGTTCAAGAGAACGTATGCGCGGGAGTCTTTAGACAAGTGCTCCCAAATCCATAAAATGTTAGCATTCAGTAGTTGAATGTTGCCAAGTATATTGTTGGCTTGACTTGGCAAAACTGCGTTTGAGATGGACGATCATTGATAAAAAAATAAATTTCGTTGTTTATTTAATTGGATATGAAAACCAAGCTAACGGCCCACCTAATTGAAAGTGACAACGATCGATAGCGAGGGTTATCCTTCTGTTTTCATTCCATTAAGTCTGCGTCCTCACCTATTATCCTTCACTAGTACCCTGCTAATATGTACCAATAGATAGGTGGAGTTACCAGGGGGACAGGGATTGTTAGCAGTGAGATCTAACAGACCCATTACTGGCAATATACCTTAACAGGTCGATCTCCACGCTGTTCCCCCTGGAAACCATCGTGGTTAATTCTAGTGGAATTCGTCGATGGGCTAACTGACCTGCTTCATCTTCACCTATCATTCTTCACTGGTGCCCCGCCAGTGTATACCGATAGCGCAGGCGGGGTTACCGTTCCATTATCACCTATTAAAAAAAAAGCGAGCAGTGCACTGACCTGGCGATGTGGCGTACGGGTCGTGCTGGTAGGGCGGCGGCGGCTGGTAGTAGCCGGCGGCCCACTCGCCGCCCGCGTAGTACGGCTCCTGGTAGGCGGCGGCGGCGCCCGCGCCCGCGCCCGCGCCCGCTCCCTTCGGCGACGCGAACCGGCTCGGCGAGTCGTGGCCGAACTCATCGCTGCCGTACTGGAAACGGACAAGCGCACACGCTATACTACATGTTACGTTTGCATTGAAAAAATAATCATCGGAATCGGCGTGAAATGTGCCGTGATATCGCGCAACGTCGTCACATAGACGCAACATTGTACGATATTATAGGGTCCATAGGTGTCACAGAGTATACTGTGACACCTATGGACAGTTGTATAAAAATTAAGTACAAACCATTTTTAGATCAAATACATTTATTGAAACACGATATTAACAATGTTTTTATATAAAATAAGTACTAAGTTTATTCCCTTGAACATTCTATAGTTTTCTTTCAGCTTCTCAAAGTTGACTGTAAAAGATTCCTCTATGGCAGCCTTTCCCAAAGTGGGCAATAACGCCCCATTGTGGGCGCTGTGGGCCTAAAGTGGCGGTAAGACCCAGAAAAAAAATGGGGCGTTGTGTAAATGCGTGGGAGGTAATTTATTAATCTTAAAGTAACAGTGGTTTTTAAGTAGGTGAAAAAATAATTTATTCTCAAAGTGGGCAGTAGACAAAATAAGTTTGGGAACCCCTATTGTATGGGATAAGTCCGCCATTGTATATTAAATCTTCTAAAACGACCGATATAAATTATGTACAATAAAGATTTTACAATACAATACAATGTAATCAAATTATTAAATTGTCGTAAATATTTATAAAGAGTATGTTTTGCTCCGCAAGTATGGAGCAAACAGCGCTTTCAATCTTTACAAGACACGTCTATGAACGATGAGATGTATCATAGGCACATTACATTTAAAACAATTGAAGATACATTAAGTCCGTAAAATAAAAATAGCAGTTTCAATGATCGCAAAATGAAAATGAAAAAACACTGTAATAAACCCCAACGACTGCAAAAATAATCATTGAAATCGATACATGATGTACAAAGTGTGTCGGCGATAGCTTAACATACAAATTAAGATTGTATTAAACAAAAAAAAACTTTAAATATAGCAAAACTAGTTATTTCAATTTAAAAATTAAACTACTGAATCGATTTTGATACAATTCCTACGGAATAAATCTATAAGTATATATTTTTAGATAAAAAAAGAATTTTCCAAATCGGTCCACAACTGACGGAGTTATGAGGTGACAAACATAAAAAATAACAACCGAATAATATCTCCTTTAGAAAGTAAATTATAACAATTAGGTACTTGTTTAATTAACATTTTACAGCCACTTCAGAATAAAATAGGTTTACCCTATGCTCGACTAAATAATGGACATGTTTCAGATACCTCCGACTACCCCATCAGTGATCACAGTCGCAATCATAATCAAGATAGGATTACAGATTTATAAGGGCAATATATTTATTTGTTTATATTTATCAACTAAGCAATCACAATATCATCATCATCATCATTTCAGCCATTATTCATCCACTGCTGAGAGGACATAAGCCTCTCCCATAGACTGCCATAAAGAACGCTCCAGAGCCACCTGCATCCACTGACTCCCTGCAACGATCACAATATATACAAACAAAATGTTATTATTGGACACTTTCTAAATAATGTATTGCCTTTCTGAAAAACTGGACATCTTTACAAGTCAATATATCTAAGTCCTGGCTTATGATATCGTTAAGTAAAGTCAATACTAGTGGAAGAAGAGCCTAGTATGCTGGAAAAACTCCTTTCGACGTGCTTGATATACACACACACACACACACGCACGCACGCACGCACGCACGCACGCACGCACGCACGCACGCACGCACGCACGCACGCACGCACGCACGCACGCACACACACACACACACACACACACACACACACACACATATATATATATATATATATATATGCCCCCCATAACTATCAAATTGCCCCCCCCCCCCCTGTCGTCCAATGAACAGAGAACACCGTCCGGTGTTAAGTCCGCCAAATGTACATAGAATTTTACTGTGCATTAAAGATTAAATAAATATATAATTATGTTTCTAATTAAAATTATAAATATAAATAGGCTTGGGTTAAATCAACACGCAGGTACAAGTTACGAAACGCGAGCGAGCGAGACACGCGGCGTAGTGTCCGACCATTTCATAACCGGACCAACCTGCGACCCAATTCGGACACACTACAGTTGTCCACTCGCCATCACTACACGTTATTTATGTAGTTACCACAGTACAAAATAATAACTACAATCAGTATACTGCTAGATGTAGGCCTCCCCCGTAGACTGCCATAAGGAACGCTCCTGAGCCACCTGCAGCCTGCGCCACTGACTGCCTGCAATGCATTTCAGGTCGTCCATCGTTCATCTGAGGGTCTAATCATGAAATAAAACAACGAATTTTCGGACACAGTTACGTGTTTTTCATGCCGAAATCGGGCCTGTTATTGAAAACTTAATATTTCGTTCGTCATAAATCCTACAATAAAAAGCTAAATAAACGTTATACATTTTATATTTTTACTAAAATTACATAATATCATCACGTATCATGTAATTTTAAAAGCAAATTTAAGTTACGTTCGGCCCTGAAATTTCGGAAAACATGGTAGACTCTCTGTTGATATACTGTGCTGCTTTGGTTTTAAACGCCTTTAGGACCTTAGTTTTTTCTCTTACATCTATAATTGCAAGTTTTACTTTATACATGTGTTTGCATGGCTGTGTTTCAGTTTGAAGGGTGAGATATGGCGTGAATTTACAGGGTACAGAAGAATAACACCTGAGTCCTCAGGAATGGCAACACATGGGGGGTATCATGGACGAAACAGTATACTCTGTTATGTCCATGCTACTGCTCATGTCTATAGGCGACGGTTACCACTTTCCATCAGGTGCCGTCAGCTTGTTTGCCATTCTAATTTGTATAAAAAAAAAAATATTTTTACACAAAATCTCTCCACCGGTAAAATCTATTTAATCTTATTTTAATATTACATTTCTCGTGCGAACCCCAAACAAAGACTTCTCATTTCAATAAGTCAAACAAGTATAGCGTTATTTCACTATCAATACATGACAATGGTAAAAGTTGCAAGTGTGCAGTTAGCCATATCTGTAGGGATGCGATTGCGACACTAGAAAGTCCGTGTGTAATTAGCCTATTGTGGGTACACAGCGCGCGCGTACACTCGCGGCCAACGCGACGTATGCGAACAATTAAATTTATTATTATCGCCAATTTGTGTGTGTGGTGACATTTTTTTGACCTGATGTAAAATGGTACTCGCCCCTTATAAATATGAACAGTGCATTGAATAACTGATTTACAATGTACATATAATGTACTTGACATTTTGCTTCGCAAAAAAACCACATCTTCCATCGTGACAAAGCACACCGATGAACGACCACCTGTTCCGTAGATACATTAGACTGAATTTATTTTAAACTATCTTTTAGTCGCGGCTTCGTCCGCGTTACCGGGATATATTCATTCAGCAGGTTAATAAGTAGCCTATAGCAATCTCCGTCTAATACAGTACGCATATATAAAATTTCAGAACGATTGGTAGAGTGTTTGAAGCCCTAAAAGGTAACAAATAAATGCTTATTATCACATTTATGACAGCATGGATAAGAATTTAATCATAAAATCAAAATTGACAAAATAAAAAACATAAAAAAATCATGATGATAAATGAAAATTAATTGCAAAAAGAATAATATTTGGATTATTTCAGATTTGTTGGTTCAGTCGGCTAATTAGCCGACATAAACTGTTAACGACTTTAACCATAAATCGCCTTGTACTCATCTAACCACTAAAACAACCACAAAATTGACCACAAGAGACAATCCACTTACTAATAATTATACATTTTATGACCATTTTTTGAAGTTTCATTTTATAAATAACTTGTAATACACTTGAACTTGAAACGTTAATTAATTCAAATCTATTAGAAAATATCACTAAGTGCGCAGCTGCCAATTCCGTATACATTCATATTTAATATTCATAATACATACATAAATAAATTTCCATAATTTATTACAATTATAGTTTTCATATTAATGTAACAGATAAAATATTTAGTTATTTTTTTAATTTAAATACATATATATATATATATATATATATATATATATATATATATATATAGGAGTTCAAGATACCGGTGAATGTAGCTGTCCATTTGGTACAAGGTTCGTGATTCACTGCTCATCCCAAAGGTTGATTGCTAGAGAATGCTACTAGCTTTAAGTCCACCTTTTGTACTAAGAGAAAAAAGATCATGACAAATGAAGGAAGATAATAAAAGATTTTGGACGGGATCGTGATCCTCAGGAATGAAAGACCGATTAAGAGAAAGAGAGAGAGAGAGAAAGAAAAAAGATAAAAAGATAATAATAATAAAGATAAAAGGCATACTTTTTAATTTTTTTTAAAATGAAAACCCAATATTAAATCCAGGGCATCCAATCGATGGAATCCTACATTAATCCATGTTACCCGTATATACGACTATGATATTCTGTAGCCCCGTTATCGAGTGATAACAATTTACTTTCCGCGTATTAGTAAACAAAAATTCAGCATGACTGGTTATTTGATTACAATTATTTTGTTTAATTCCGCTACCATTAGTACGTGTGCGACTGCCAACACTCGAAGACTGACCACCACTATTACTAGTAGAAGTTCTACAACCTTCCCTATCGGCTATCAATCTCCGACTGCCATTTTGTCCGCGCACGTTTTGCGACACGTGTTTCACCTCTAAACGAGGCATATTCAAGCAAATTATTAGGTCGCTGCTTGGAAAATGATTCTAAATATATATGTATATATATGTATATATATATATATATATATATATGAGTAATATTAGCGTTTGAAACAGTATTAGTATGTCAGTATATTTCACGCCGCTATATATATTAATATTAAATATTGCTAATAATTTGTCGTTAAATTTACTACTGTTATAAACGCGACAATTTGTAAGGACAGATGGAAATATTTGTTACTGTTCCACAAGAAAAGTACTGAACAGATTTGAATAAAA